AAAAAAAAAAAAAAAAAAAAAAAAAAAAAAGTGGCAGCAGAGCGTGTTTTGTTGCACTCAGGGAAAAAATTCAAATGTCGAGCGGAAGCTGAAATCGCGGTGGCGGGGTTAGATTTTGTCCATCGTAGAGTCGCTACACTCTGCCTTCCGCATGCGCATTCAAGCGCCTGGATCCCTGCTCGTCATCGTCATCCCGGCGTCTGGGTAGGATGAGCAACGCCGGAACCGAGCCTCGTCCTATCATTGGTCCGTACACACTGTGGTGAGCTGCGTGCAAAGTTTCGGGTGACACGGTGAATCGCAAGCTCAGCAAGACACGAAGGCTCGTGATGGTGTTTCAATCGTTCCTGCAATTCGATCCTGGTTGCTGAGCAACGGAGTCCGTCGACACGCGGCGTTGCCATTCTCACGCCCCGTCATTTGGCCATACTCCGATGGAGGCGGAAGATGCCAACGCCCAGCTTTGTGGCTTCGACTTTGTTGACGACGACGACGCCCAGAGTGTCTCTTGTCGTGAGAGTATTGTCCGGGTTCGTCATCAAATGCCGTGCCGTTCGTAGCGATTGCCGTGCCGGTCGGCGTTGCGGACAGTATGCTAGCCTACCATCTCGCGTTCTACAGCAGCAATGGCCCACACGAAGTTGTGCCAGAAGATGATTGCGTTTGAACGACAACGACGATAAGCGCTCACAACGGCATTTGGTCTTTGCTGTGTTAGAAGGAACTGCCGTTGCATGTCATCCCCAGCCCTTCTTTTCCCACTAAGGCTCACCCTTCCGTCGGTCGAGCGAAAACGATCGGTACCGAAGAGCCGTCTGCCAAGAGCGGTCCCGCGAGTCGAACCCCACAAAATCAAAGTTCGGCAGATAGATCCATCGGTGCGACACACACTTGATTCTGCTTTGCAAAGTACAGGCCAAATAGCGAAGCGTCCGAGGATCGGGGAACCCCAATCTACGCGAGACGAGGCGACCTCCAAGGGCAGGCAGTCACTTCGGCGAGAATAGCATCGCTTGGCACGTCTCGCCAGTGAACGGACGCGAGACACTATTCTCGACTCTTTTGCTTCCGTCTCTTCTGCCCCTCTGCCGGGCATCTCGGCCTTAGCAGACACACGCGAGACCACATCTCGACCTTTGCCGTCCATGACAAGACTAACCACTTCAAATGGCGCGGCTACGGCCAGATAAGCGCCGTTCGCGCACTATCCACATGCCTCGCTTCCGAAAAAAAAGGCTTGGATCTGTCTAGCTCGCTAAAATGCGAAGGATGAATACTGCTTCGATCGCATCGAAGCACCTTTCTCCGAATGGTCGACTGCACATGCTCTTCTTGGTCTCCCACTTGAAGTTCTCCACGCCCGAGAACAAACGTTTGCTGGACGCAGATCGTCGTTGTTTGCGACACCTCCGACGGAGCATGAAAACAGAAGTTCGCTTTCGCCCCCATCTAACGTCACTCGCTCGTCGACAGGGACGAGATAGGGAACCCCCGTTTCTTGGTGTTCATGTTTCAGAAAGAGACGAGACCAACGACCGTCACAGTTAGCAGCAAAGCTTGGACGTAGCTTGCTTTGCTCGTCAATTCCAAATGCCGCCCGTCGGGATCGAAAATACGCCGATGCCGACACGCAAGACCTGGGCGTTGACAAGGCTTGACTTTTTTCACTCTCTAATTCTAGAGCTTTATATCGATCTAACAAGATTGATCCTTCGATGGACGCGCCGACCTTGTGAGCGAAACCAACCTTCAGCCTGGCCATCCCAGCTTTCACACTTTGTATGACGGTGAGCGGGTTTCTATGATGCGATGTACAAGCGCTTCTCTTGCCGACTTCCTTTGTTGGTCTCCTTCAACCTCTGGATCTCGCTCTGGGTGGCGATCTCGGCAGGTCAGCCATCGACCCTCGCTGCTCCATCGACGGTCTCTCCCTCGCCGCCTCGTCCGCCGTCGTCTCGCTTTCGTCCTCTTCATCGTCGCTGTCCACATCAACATACCCGGGCAAACTCTCGTGTCGTCTAGGAGCATAGTCTCGCCCCGTATCGCCTTTCGTCGCAGCTCTTTCGTCGAGTTGCTTTCCGTAATGCTCTCCCTTGGCATCGGGAACCAATTTGCTGCGTAATCCTTCGATGAGAGAGGCTCGTTTTTGGGCGTGCGTATTGTCTCCTCTGACGTCTAGCGCTGGTGAAGTTTGCGTGTGTTCTTGCTGGGGGAGATCGTGGGTTTGGTGGGAAGCGGTGGTGGCGAGCGATTTCTTCCTCAGACTGGCCAGCTTGACGGTGGAAAAAATGCCCGTCTTGTGCACTCCCTCGTTCCCCGACTCCCCCAACAGCTCCCCTTCGTCCATCAGCTTCTGCCGATAGGGCAGCGGTAGATCGCGCATGATCTTGAACGAATCCGTGTTTCCGATCTGCTCGTTCTCCACTCGAAGGTTGTTCCAGCACACCCTGCGGATCATCTCGACCAAGGCGGCTAGGAACGATCGCAGGGTCACCGTGGCGCTCCCCGGAAGCAGGTAGATGATCCAGACGGATCGACCGATAACATCGACGAGCATGAAAACGTAGTAGATGGTTTGTGGGAAGGAGATTTCGTTTCGGAGGAGAAAGTACTTGGCTCTGGGTTTGAGCAGCGACCAATCCATCAGCAGATCCCAAGCGATGTGCCAGAGCGAGTAGATCGTCGCGAACAGAATCCACAGCGCTCGATCCACCCCAGCGTATGAGCCGTTGCGTCGGTAGTGGATGTACATAAAGTTGTTCAGCACCGCACTAGAGTACTTGCCGGCGTTGACGAGATGCAGGTGGGTGCGGTAGTCGCTGTCGATCCAACGTCGGATACACTGACCCAGCCTCAACCACGCCGGAACCGACAACAGCACCGCCGTCCAGTACGTGCTGTTGGGACTACACCTGTCCGGGAACTCCCAATCGTGCCTCCACTCGCACCCGATGTACCAGAAGTTGCTCATCGACCAAGCCACCGAGTTCAACTCATCGCCTAGGAAGAAATCCCGGAACTCGACCCTCTTCCAACCGGCGGTGAACACTCTCGCCCAACTCTTGGCGAACCAAGCCCGGCTCGCAGGCATCCAGATCGGCAACGGGTTCAGCAGCACCACCGCCACGATAACCAACCACACCGTAGGCCACACGGTCGGTTCGATGGCTCCCGGGAACGGGTTGACGAACGACACCCAGAAGCAGCACGACAGAAACAGCATGAGCAGGGCGGGGATCTCGAAGAACTGTCGATGGTCCATGGTGGTGCGTACGTCCCATTCAAAGATGAAGACGGTGTTGATGCGTACGGCGTGCCACCAAGCGAGGTTGAGGCCGAAAAGCAGCGCGAAGAGCGTTGGGATGAACTCGGCTCCGTATACGCGCAACAGAGCCTGCCACTGCGGAATGGCACGTTGGGTGTCCGGTTTCATCGCCTCTATCAACCCGGCCACCACAGCACACAGCGAGATGCCCAGATAAAATCCACTTCGAAAGACGCTGTAGTGATGTGTCGTGTGATCCTCCCTCGCTCGCAACCTGTTGAGCGCCTGCTTTCGATTGCCGTGCTCAAAGTAGGCCGTGTAGATGTCCTCGGTAGCCTTGCGCAGCTTCTCCACCCGATCCGACGTGACCAAGATCGTCGGCGCCACGCGATCCTTGTAGTACAGATCGGTGCACGGCACTCCCACCGTCTTGGAAAACTTCTTCATGACTTTGGCGAAGCCGGTGCGGTTGAGGATCTTGTAGTTGGTGAGCGTGTCGAGGAACTTGTAGTACTCGAGCACGGCTGCTTTGAGCTTCTTGCGTGCAGCGGCGTAGGCTTCGGGATCGTGACTCATGGCAGCGGCCTTGTTGGCCTGACGGATGGCCTTGTCTGTTTCGTCGTCCCAGCCGCGCAAGCTGGCCTGCATCTTTGCCAACGCCTGCGCTCTACGTTTTCCGCCTGCATCGTCGTCCTCGCCGCTACTGTCGCTGCGGCCCTTGCCGTTGTTGTTGGTCGACAGATCGGTGGAGAAGCGCGACGGTGGCTGCGGCGTCGATCCCTGCGCATCGCGCGTTTTCGAGATGGAGAGCGCAGGAATCGCCTTGACGCGATTGGCGACTTCGTCTGCCGCAATCAGCCTGGATCCGGGCAGGTTGGAGAGCAGCTGCGACATCCGATGACGACGCGAACCAGCACCGGTACGATCGGAATCGCTGATGTTGTACTTTGCTCGGTACTCGCGTCGATGCTCTGCGAGTTCCTGGAGCTGTCGTGCAAGCTGCGAGTACTTTTTGGCGGCGGAATGTTCTTGGGCTTCGTAGAAGTCGACGATGCGTTCGAGCTCGGCATCGCAGGCGAAGAAGAGCTTGGCTTCCTGGTCGTCAAAGTTGGCGGCGATGAGGTCCTGGAGCGTTTGTGGAGGGTCGTCTTTGAGGGAGCGATTGGACATGCGAGCAGAAGAGCCGGATCGGTCAAGGAGTCGTTGCTTGCTGGAGCCGCTGGAGCTGTCGGCCCTGCGGGAGGTTGCCGATCGTGAAGGCGGAGAAGCGTCGTCTTTGTAGCGCACGTTGGTGGTGGTGGTGCCGGCGGCGGCTGCAGTGGGTGCATCTCGGTGAAGCGAGACGGACGTGTCTGCGCTGGCTGCTGTGTCTATGGATGGGTGTGTATGAAGCTGCGAGGATGTGTGTGCTGCCGGAGCCGATGGCCGGGTCACGGCTTGAGCCTCGAGATCCGAGTCCGGATCGCGTGGAGGAGTGGACCCATCGTAGGAAGGGCTGTCGGAGGAGAGTCGAAGGCCCGTCCCCTGAAGCGTGACAGGAGGTAGTTGTGGTAGCGAAGGAGCGGGGCCATTGGTGCCTCCGTAATCTGTACGCTGCTTATATCCGGAGCTGGAGGCGAGCGTCGACTGTGCTTCCCGGTCCGAGTTGGTGGAAGAGGCACCAGCAGGGATTCTACGACGAATGTATGGATCTGGTGATGACGCAGACCCAGCTATCGCTGTCGAGCTGGAATGGGCGTGAGGAATATCCAGCTCGGCTTGCAAGCGTAACCTTGCCTCGCGATGCTCTGCGACGCGCTTGATGAGCTTCTTGAGACCGCGATACTGTATGTAGACTTTTCTCCACTCTGGGACGGTGTTTTCGTCGAGGTAACGTGCGAACTTCATCTTGTCGAGCCTAGAATCCTATGCAGAAGGGTTATGGATGGGTGGGATCTACCATGTCGAAGTGGGTTTGCGATGCAAAGGTTGGTGGGGCGATGGTAGAGTGGAGGGGGATTCCTCGAGCAGGAGAGAGCTGGCGTAAGACTGTCGTTGCGCTCGGCCCGAGTGTGCTGCTGGTTAGGCTAGCGGTGATGTGGTTGTGGTCGATGGACGATGTCGCACAAATCGACGGCGATGCAATAAATTGTTCGGTCCGATGCAATTTTACTTTCGGCTTTTTTTGGTGAAAAAATCAAGCATAAAATCCAGACCCTGAAATCCAATTCCAACACAGTGTCAGCACACTACATATAGCAATACTGTAAACTCGCCTGCATCTGCGGCCACAGGAAGTTGAAAACACCGCATCCCGTCCGATCTGCGAAGTTAAGCAACTTACCGCCTAGTCAGTACTGCGGTGGGGGACCACGCGGGAATCCTAGGTGCTGCAGTTCTTTTTTTTCTTTTTCCTTTTGGGCCGCTCAGCCAACGCGCTGATCTGTGCGTTTCTCTTACAATCCCAAACAGCGAGCGTGCTTGCGTGTGGAGAAAGACCAACACCATCATCTTTCTTCAACGACACCATCACAGCTCGCGGAGCCACGCCTTCGCATCGCCATGTCCAGATCACTGCGTACGCGTCCTATGACGCTGTATGCACAGGACGGTCAACAGCCACTCATACCGCCCGTCCCCTCCACCGCTGCATACGCTCACGACACCGCTTCCACATCTTCATACTCGCAACAGCAGGCATCTTTGCGGCATTCTCGATACGATGTCGCCGCCTCTTCTGCAGCTGCAAGCGGTTCTGGCGGCGGAGCGCTGCTCAAAAAGTCCAAGAAGAAGGCGTCCGAGGTCGGCAGCAATCTCAAAAAGCGTCTTTCGATGCGCTATGCCGAACCTACCCAACTCGGTCCTGGCGGGTTCAGCGCCATCCCTTCCGTTCCGTCCCTCCCGCCGATGCCCGAGATCCACATCGATGATCGCCCGCATCGCGATATCGAAGATGATGCCTTGCGGCATGCCATCGGTGAAGCTTCCGGCGACGTCGGGTACGATCCGAACGACGATCAGCTCGACGCCATTCGCAAATCCTCCGATACGCAACGCTCTCGCACCGACATTTTTAGCAACGATCCCGCCGTCGATCTTCACCTTCTCAGCCAGTCCGACTTTGATCCACAGGCCTACCTTCGTGCCAAACTATCGCACCATTCCGAATCCAGCCTGCGCAACTTCAAGCAGTCGCTTTCCGCTGCCAAGCAGGCTGCCAACGACGATCTCAAGCGACAGGTGTTCAAGAACTACTCCGAGTTTATCACTATCAGCAAGGAGATCGCGACGTTGGAAAACGATATGTTGGAGTTGAAGGAGTTGCTTTCCGAATGGAAGCAGCTGCCGCAAGCGCTTGAGCTGGACGACTCGTCTTCCACCACCGGCGGCTTTTCCGATTCTTTCCATAGAAAAGCCAACGGTGGCGGTGGGAAGGCGAATCGGAACAGCACCGTCGATCTGCAACAGATCTACCGCGCACAAATCACCTCTCTGTGGGAAGGAATCGAAGGCTCGCAAAAGTTTTTGCCGTATACACCGGGACGTCACCTGATCGCCGAAGCCAGCAGTTTCACCGAACTCAACGCCGCCACGTACAAACCCCAACAGAGCATCGCCCTTTTCCTGCTGGACGATCTGCTGCTCATAGCGACCAGGAGGAAGAGACAGATGAGCAGCAAGGTCAGGTTGGTCGCCGAGAGTTGTTTCAGTCTGGCCGAGATTGTGGTGATCGATTTGAAGGATGGAGGGGATCTGACGAATGCGATCAAGATCAAGCGCGGGAGGGAGACGTACGTGTACAGGACCGAGAGGGGGGAGGATAAGAGGGCACTGTTGAACGCATTCAGGAGGGTGGCGGAGGAGTTGGCCAGGAAGAGGAGGAATGGAGGTGGCGAGGTGGTGGATGGAAGCAAGAGGCAGTCGACGTTGTTGAGTTCGCCTGCGGGCAAGCAATTTGCAGCAGCGGCGAGGGGGTTACATAGCGAACTGTTGACGCCGATCGGTGAGCTGGGCGATGCCATGCGTGACGCAAACGAAGGAGGGATGATGGCAGCAGCAGCGGCATCGGCTGCGTCCGAACGCAAAGATCCAGGTCGATGGAACAACGATTTCGCCGACCAACTCTCGGTCTGCATCGCCCTACGAGAATTCGACCAAGCTACAAACCTCATCGAAAAAGGTCGTGCCGTTCTATCGACCTACACGTCCACCTCGGATGTCTCGTGGATGCATCTTTCCGCCAAACTCACCTCCCTCACCTCGGAACTCGTCGCTGCCATCTCGGCGGATTTCACGCGTCAGAACCTCAAAAAGTCGATGGTGGTTCGAAATGCTTCCTTCCTACTACGCTTGGATCAGGGCGAGAAAGCGCGACAGCTGTTCCTGGATGCACGAACCGAACTGCTGAAGAAGCGAACGCGACAGATCAAGTTCGAAGGAGATACCGGGCTGTACATCAGCGAGCTGGCCATGGTGCACTTTACGCTGATCAAGAACACGTCCGAGTGGTACATGGCGGCGTTCAAGGATGGGAGTATGGCGAGCGGGTTTGTCGAGTGGGCGTGGGAGCGGGTGGAGGAGTACGCGGTGTTGTTCCGGAGGCAGGTTTTTGGTGTACAGCAGGAGCAGAAGGTGGTGGGCGAGATGAGGGAGATCAGTTTGAGGTTGGCGGCGCAGTTGAACGAGGTCGGGCTGGATTTCGGGTTCTTGTTGGAGGGGTTGTTGCAGCCAGAGCCGAGGCCGGTGACGGGCGAGGAGATGAGAGCGAAGATACCCAAATTGGTGTTGACCAGGTCGAGTAGGATCGGGATGGAGGCAGAGCAGATGAAGGAGGAAAGACAAAAACCGATGGGACCGGGGGATACGACGTTGGCTCAGGAGTTGCGCAGACAGAGCATGCTTCATCTCAATTAGGTGCGGGGCTCGCACAAGGCATATCTTGCAATTGTTGTGATTCGACTGGTATTTCGACGCACAGTGCCAATCAACCACGAGCGATCTTGGGCTTTCCCGGCACCACCACTTCGCCCTCAACGGCCCTCGCCTCGATGCCGATCCTGGGCAGGATGGCGTGATACCTCTGCGGGCTCTTTTTCTTCAAATACTTGAGGATTTTTGCCCTTTGATGGGTCAGCAGAGACATGCTCCTTCGATTGGAGTTGTCGTGCCTGTTGACCTGCAGATGCTCGTGCAGGTTTCGGATGCGGTAAGTCAAGACGGCGGCTTGCACTTCGGGACTACCCGTATCCTTTTGGTCGCCAAAGTGAGCGATGATGCGACGGATGTTTTCCACCTGGATGCCCTTTCCACTTGCATTTCGTAGATCGAGGATACGTGCGAGGCTGTGCTTGTTGGTGTCTTCTTCGGATTGGACCTTGGCGTATTCGGATTCAAAGGCGGAGACGTCGGCTTGGTTGGCTGTGCCTCGAACGAGAGTGCCCAAATTCCACGAGTCGAGGATCCGATCTTTGACCATGACCTGCGGAAGATCCTGGAAGAGCAGCTGACGGTCGCTTCCATCGAGACCAAAGTTGAGTCGTAGCGGACCTCCTGCAGCAGCCGCATCTTTGGCAGCGACCGAGTCAAACACGTTTCGAGTCGAGGCGGATTGCTCTTCGGAGGAGATGGGTACGAGGTTGCCACGTCGATCCTCCTTAACACCCCATACAATCTGCTTGTTGAGGACGATCTGGGCGAGCTCGCTGTCGGTCCACACCTTTTGGCCGGCAGGGGTAGATTGGTGGCCAAGGACGGCGTCTGGTTTGGAGGACTCGAGCATGCGTACTTTGAGATTGCGTTGGTCGAGGTTTGATTTACGGTTGAGACGGGCTGTTCGCTTCTTGCGTGATTCGGAGAGGATGGAAGAGGTGGAGAAGGAGGACTTTTGCTGGGATTGGATCGCGGAGAGCGTCTGCAGGTGGGAGAAGCCGTACGAGGTCGAAGGGAGGGCGGCCGAAAGGGAGGAGAGGTTGAGTGCGGACGAGATGCATCTCGAGCAGGAGGCTGTGATGCCGGGGACCATTTTGGGCGGTGCGCAGCTGTCGCCAGAGCAGCAGAGATGGCAGAGACGGCAGAGATGAGGGTGGTGGTGATGATGATGATGACGAGGACCACAATGACGACGAGAAAGACCTTCAAAAGTCACTCTCAGCCAAAGCGCATTTTTCTCGCTTCTGTCCCGGTGTGAAATTCTTATCGCGCGATAAAACACACTGGCGCTCCACAGCTGCTGTGATTGGAAGAAAAGTCGCCATTTCGAAAAGGAAAAAAAAAAAGTGCGAAGGGCAATCGGCCGTTGGTTCGGTATAAGAAGCTGACAGGCTCGAGCAACTTTGACTCTCTTCTCTTCGATCAAAAACAAGTGTAGGTAGCACACCCCATACCATGCCCGCTTCGGTCTACAACGAATCCACTGACCCTTTCCTCTCGATGCTCTCCATCAAACAACAGCTGCCAGCCACACCCACTCGCGACTGCCTTGGTAAAACAGGGCGCTTGGCGAGGTTGCTTTCGGGTGCCAGGGCTGCGCTCTTCTTCGGAGGACGCAGCCGTGGTGGACGAGAATGTTGTGATATCCCAGAACGCTATAGGAATCTATCGCTTCGTGCAACAGATGGAACGATGGAGCCAAACTGTTCTGGGACATTTGTTCCGCTTTCCCTTTCCTTCTCTCTATCCTTCTCTCCTACCCCTTCCTGATCCATTCTCTCTCTTTTCGTCCCCATTATCCGTCTTCCGAAAGGTCGCAAATCGCCGTCGAAGCGACTCCTGCAATTGCAAAACAACATTTCAGAAAGACGCACTTGCGATCACACACGGCTGTTCTTGGCGTCTTTGTCGCAGTGTATCATTGAATGGAAAGTACATGAGTTGAGTGTAGCACAAGCGCTACTGCCGCCGTTGCGGCTGCGATGGCGCTCTTCGCGGGTCTTGTTTGGCTGCAGTGAAACTTGGCTTGGCGGGTAATGAGCCGAGTCCGATGCCTTTGGGTGATGATGGTGCAGGCGCCTTGACCTGTCGCAGCTTGGCCAACTTTGCCTCCATGGCTGCGATCTTTGCATTGGTGCCGTGCGGCTGTTTGGCGTTCTTGCTCAAGCTCAACTGCGTCGTCTTGGCTGTATCTGTCTCGGTCGCCGCTGCTCTGCGATCTCGCCGATGTGGACCGATGCCGCCGTGATCAACACCTGCACCCGCATCCGCGTTCTTGCTCGCAAACGTCACGGAAATGCTTCGGCCCCTCAACGTCTTTTGGTGCGCGCCTGCGACCGCCTGCATCGCCTCCTGTGGTGAAGCGTACTCGACGAACGCATATCCGCGTGGTTGTCCTCGTTGCGGTCCACTCTTGTGAAAGAGAAAGTCGAGCTTTGAGATCTTGCCGAACTTGGCGAATGTCTGGATCAACGTGTACTCGTCTACCGCCGGATGCAGGTTGCCAATGTACAGACGGCTTTCGTGCTTGGTCTCGTTCGCAGACGAGACGCTCGGCCCAGCCGCGGATGAGGTATCAGAAGCTGAAGCAGGCCGAGAGAGGTACGGATTGGCCGACGCCGAGCCGGGCGATGGCGCATGGGATGCCATATTCGAGTGTTGGTCGTGTCGAAAGAGCACGCAGCTGTGATGCAAGCGAAAAGGTCGCCGCGGAACAGCCGAACTCGAGCCTATGGCCTGTTAAATTGCACCGACACGCGCTCTCGAGCCAACACGTTTAGCGATAGAGACCAACACTTTTGGTTCGTTGACTGAGCACCATCACCATGATCACCATCTAGACATCATGTCCAGCCCAATACAGAGGGTGTCCAGCAACGACACCGCATCCCTGCGCGCATCTCGCATAAAGGCAAAAGGAAGCTCCACCTCGCTCAGCTCCTTGCCTTCGCGCCTCGCTCCTCCCCCCACTCTCAAACCCTCCTCCGCAGAGGTCCAACTCGACTTGAGCTCGGCGTCGTCCGAGCCGCACGCCTCTTCATCGGCCAACAGGCCCAAGTCGGTGCTGCCTGCACCACCATCCACCGTATCCCCCAAGGCACGCCCAAGAACCAGCATCACCGACTCCAACCACCTCTGGAAGACCACCGCCGCCAAACGTGCCGAAATCAATTGGGCTCTCCAAACAGAACGTGCCCTCTACTCGGACGCCAAGTTCAAAAAGTACCTTGCCCTCGTAGAACGCACCCTCGCCTCTTTCGACAACGTCAGCGAATGGGCCGACTTCATCTCGTTCCTCGCTAGGCTCCACAAGGCTATCCAGGCCTACCCCACCTACAACGCCATCCCTCGCAAGCTCATCGTAGCAAAACGACTCGCACAATGCCTCAACCCTGCCCTCCCATCAGGCGTTCATCAGCGTGCACTCGACGTCTACCATCATATTCTCAGCACAATCGGCCCCGATGGTCTTCGGCGCGATCTGCAGGTCTGGACAAGCGGCCTCCTCCCCTTCTTCCAGTATGCCTCCACCTCGGTCAAGCCATCGCTCATCGCCATCTACGAAACCTTCTACCTCCCTCTGCAGGATGATCTGCGCCCACTCACCAAGGCGCTCCAGATGGCGTTGCTTCCCGGTCTCGAGGAGGAGACCAGCGAGTACTACGAACGCACACTGCGCCTCCTCGATCGAATCTCGGACGCCGTCACCCAGCCCTTCTTCCTCCAAAATTTGTGGCTCACCCTCATCACCACTCCTTCCGTGCGATTGGCGGCGCTCAACTTTCTCAACCGCAGGATGCCTCCGCTCCACGACGTCACCGACCCCTCCACGCTTGTCGGCAAAGACCTTGGCCTCATGGTGCGTGGCCTTGCGCATGCTCTCGACGACCACCTCCTCCTCGTTCGCCGCAACGCGCTCGAGATCCTCGTCACCCACCTCCAGATCGACAAGCCCACCTTCATTGCTGCAAAAAAACCAGATCAGATCCTCCTCGTCCGCTCTGCGCTGAACGTCGTCCTTCGCAAGGATCTTTCCCTCAATCGTCGCCTCTACACCTGGCTTCTCGGCCCCGACGAATCTCCCGAGGCCCAGATTGCCTTTTTGCAGCAACACGGCCTCGATCTCGTACGCAGCGCGCTCAAACAAGACTTTGACGACGCCGCCACCGAAGCTGCCGAACGACAGAACCCATACCGCATCTTTATCTCGCTCCTCGACAAGTGGGAGATCGGCCAGTCCCTGACGCGCGTCCTTGCCATTGATGCCTTTCACGCCATCAGTGTTCAGGTCGTCAGAGGACACCAGGAAGAGCTCATGACCACCGCAAAGATGCTCTTCGAAGTCGTCGACCCCTTTTTGCTGTTCGGTCGCTTCCTCGACGCAATCGTCCGCTCGTTCCGTGAGACGCCGCAAGGAGCCCCGCTGCCACTCCTCTGCTTCATCTTCAAGGCCTTCCACATCCACGACGAAGAGACAAAGCAGATCCACGTGCCTCTTCTTTTCGCGGCTGTCTCGCAGCTGCTACTCGAACAGCTCCAACAGAAACAGTCGCAAGACGACGTCGCAACAGCAAGAACGCTCGATGCGCTAGAGCTCCTCAAACTGCTCGTCACCGTCATGCCGTCCCGTGTGTTTGTCCGCATCGCTCCGACGACCAACATCGCCTCGACGCACACCGACTTTCTCGAACGAGCGCGCCACTTTTACGCTTCCAGCGACACCGACAGCCAGCAAGCAGCACGCAACTTTCTTAGCTTTCAAGACTGCGCTTCCGCCACCGCCCTCGTCGAGCTCTTGGCTGAATTGTGCCTCTACACGATTCCATCTGGCAACGAGGCCTGTGTCCGCGCACTCGACGTGTTTGCCGACGCCATGCGCGTCATCGACGGTTCCGAAGCGTCTCACGAGATCGCCCTCGTCACGTCGTCAGACAGTGCACAAGCAGTGGCTACGCACAAATTACCTTGGAATTCAGATGCCTGGGCCAACTCGCTTTTGCCGCATCTCGACCGCATCACCACCTTTGCGCAAGTCGAGCGCATCGTCGAGGTGCTCATCTCGTGCTGCATCTGCCGAGCGCTTGAAAAGCCTGTGCGCCTCGATCCGCCGCAGGCGCTCGACCGCATCGTCGCTTGCCTTTTCAGGTATCTCGCACCAGAGATGGCGCCCTTCCACGTTCGCGCCGTCGAGCTGCTCTGGGCCACGTGCAAAGTCACTCAACGATCTCGGATCGAAACCGCCGTGGGCCAGCAGCTCACGCGCGGCGACGCAACCGCCCGCACCGCCGCTCTCACCGCGTTCGGCACATTTTGGCGGCTTTCCGAGGATGTATCGACGGACGAGCTCCGCACGCCGCTCCTCATCGTGCTCGACAAGCTTCAGTCGCACGACGCACGAGATCGGCAGCAGGCCGAGATCTGGCTCAGAGCCAACGTCCGCTCCTATCTCAAAGTCGTTGATCCTCTGATGCACATGCTCTTGCGCAATCGACCCACATCGCTGACGGAGACAGACGCAGACATTGATGGCATCCGCATCTCTTTTTCTCGGATTGACGAACCCTTCAACCAACAGTTGATCCAGTACGCCCTCACAGCGTTGTCGGCGCTGGCGCGCTTTGGCGGACCCGGCTTCGCCAAGTCTCTTGCCCCGACTCCGCTCTCGGCTTCGCTCAGCGCCACCACCAAGCAGCTCGTCCGAGCCGACATCCTCACCGGCTCTGCCGCCTACCTCGACGCCTTGCTCGACGAAGCTAGCTTTTGGATCGGCGCTCAATTTAACGCAACGGCTTTGACGGCAACGCGGGCTGCTGCCGTCGAGCTTGTCCACTGCCTCGTCCAGCGAGGCGCGACCTCACGCAAGCGAGCCGATCAGCTCGAGACCCTTCTCATCGAGTCGCTCCTCGTTGCAGTCCACCAGAGCTCTATCACCATCCAGAACAAGATGCTCCACACGCTGCACACGCTTCTCGCCGCTAAGACTAGCCCCGCGAGCCGCCCAGATTTTGCGCAAAGACGAATGTCTAGCACATCACAGCCGGCGAGCCTCCATCAGCGCGCCGACTCTACGGGCCGCAGCGACGGCCGCAGTGAGATGGATTCCGCACCGACCGTTCAAACGCAAAAGCCGACCAGCTTGATGCCGACGCCGATGCCGACGTCCAAACCGCACCGTCTTTTGTTAAGGCTGCTGCAACGCGCGCTCGTCACGCCCTCCAACCGCCCCATCCTCCAGCATTGGTCCGATTTCATCCTCATGACCGCCCCTCTGTACCGCGCCAGTCCGTCTGCGCTCCTATTGCCGCTCAACCGCACCGTCTGCGACCTGATCGCCAGAGCGGTGATCGAGCTCGGCGTATCGTACGCCCCAGGCGCCAGCAGACCCACCTTTGGCGCTGAAGGCATCGTCCAGACGCGCGACGCGACGTGCTCTTTTCTCGAATCAGACCTTTTGCTGCTCATCAACCTCGCAGAGCGCACATTGATGCTCGCCGGCGGGACCACCAACGAAGCCCCGACGTCGGCGGTGCGAGGAGACGAGTCTACCGACAGGTCGTCACAGGACCAAGGTCTGCTAGGCTATGTAGCCAATGTGTTTTCGTCCGACTCGGTCGGCGCGGAAAAGTCGGGCAATTCTGGCGACGGGTGTATTCTACAAACGGTCCAGACGCTGCATCGTGTGTGGACCATGTGCAGCATGGAGCTGCCACCCTTTGACGCAAAGTCGCTCTCGCTCGATGCCATGACGTCCAAACTGCAGCTGCGATGTCGTCGCGCCTTTGAGCGCATCTATCGCGCCCACCCTGCCGCAACGGTCGAATCACTTCTCCACTGCTGGCAGACGAGCGTCGAGCACGCACGCACGGACAAGGCGGCTACGGACGCCGTCGTAAACATCCTCGACATTGTCACGCCTAGCGCGCAGATCCTCGTCACTTTTCTCTGCGACGTACTCGCAGCGCGCATCGCCAAGGACGACCGTGCTCGCAAGAAAGACGCTGCTGCATCGAGCGTGTCGGACGCAACGCTTTTCCTCTTTTTCGACGCGGTGCTGGCGAGGATCGAGCCACAGGAGGCGATGCAGGTGTGGCCGGTCATGCTGGTGTTTGTCAAGGAGTTTGTGGCGAACGGCCTGGCGAGGAAGGTGCATGTCTATCCGATGCTCAGGATCTTGACGGGCGTGGGGGAGAAGATTTGCTTGACGGCAGGGTTGGAGGATCGGAGGACGAGGAGGGAATTGCAGGACAATTTGGGCAAGTTGGTCGATTCGTGCATTTTGATCGCGGGTAGATCGTTTGACCAGTCGACGTGGATGAGGCGGTCGGGGAGGGATAACGCAGAAGATCTGGACAGGGAAGCTGCCGAGTTTGCAGCGGAGATGTCTGCGCTGGATGCCGAGGCAATTCCGGGCGGGAATGTGGTCGATGCGATCAACCATTTCCTCGCCAGCCGTGGACTGGCGGTGCTGCGCAAAGTCCAGATGGATGCCGATCGTATACAGGCGATCGTGTCGAATGCCGTGTACTACATTGTGGCGCCCGCGGCGAGGACGAGGTCGAGGACGTTGGAGGTGGATGCCAGCGTGATCGATGTGGTCGGCGAGCTGGTCAGGATGCCGGGGACCGTCAAGGCGTGGAAGAGTACGGTGGCGGAGATCTTTGGCGATGGCAGGTTCTTTTCGATGCACCTGGGCAAGGCGGAGAGGTGGAAGCCGATCGTGCTGGCGTTGATGATGCAGGACAAGGAGCGCGTAGTCGACCTGCTAGCCAAGGTCAGTGCCACTGCCGGTGCCGCCAACATCTTTGCCAACAGAGAACTCGAGATGCTCTCGCGCGCGCTCAACCTTCGTCGGCTCTCGTTCACGCTCTTCTCGGGCGAAAGGGATGCATTCCTAACTCAACTGCCTCTGATCCAGGAGAAGCTGGTGGATCTACTTCGCTCGTCCGTATCGGAACTGCTTCAAGCCGAAGTGTACCTCTGCTTGAGGGTCGTGCTGGTGCGCTTTTCGGCGAGGAACTTGACGAACCTCTGGCCCGTGTTGATGACCGAGCTGATGCGGTTGTACGATTCCATCGTGATGGACGAGGAAGAGGGCAAGTCGATGGCGAGCGTGGATGGGAGGGGGTTGTTGGTGAGCACGTTGAAGTTGTTGGATCTGCTCGTGTTGGTCAGGCCGGAGGAGTTTATGGTCAACGAGTGGCTGTTTGTCACGGATACGGTGGATGCGATGTATCCGGCGGACGATTGGGTGGCGGCGACGCTGTTGGATGCGTTGGCGGCGCGGTTTGCGAGCAGTGGGAAGGACGGGGCGAGCGGCGTGGTGGACAATGGGAACGGCGGGAAGGCGGGAGGCAAGAGGAGGCTGCAGATCGGCAGGCTGAGGAGCGTGGAGAGCGTGGCCGAGTTGATTCCGTTCCTGAACGGCGTCAGTCAGAATGCGTTCGAGGCGAACTATAGGGACGAAGAGGTGGATTGGACGGATGTCGATGCGTGTTTGTTGGGTGACATGTTTGATAGCGATGGAAATGAGGGAGAGGCGAGGGATGGTTCGACGGCGCAGCTCAAGAGTGGATGACGACCGACGTTCGCTATGTCAGAGCATGCTATCCTGGAACGCAGACCTCAGTGCCCTTCGACAACATCATTGAGTTGTTCGTGGTAATTGACAGAAGGTGAATTTGTGGAGACCTTGAAAGGCTGCATCGCCGATCGCTTGTAGCGAAGGTGATCAGCGATGTGAGGGACTGTGAGGGAAAGGAGTCCATCCGATTATTGTCCTGGCTGCATGCGGAAGGGTTCCTTGACAACGTCGAGCATAGACGCCAGGAAACTCATCCACAATATCGAAAATCTCGGGTGCTGACGTAAGATCCAGTGGTTGACACGGTGAACGGCGTGATCATTGTGGTCGGAAAAAGCGATCGATCAGACTGTGACAACGCTTCCCGAGGGAAAGAAACCCGTTCGCTACTGCAGGCACACATGAAGCATACAGTATCCCCGTCCACTGCATCCATATCGCTTTCTGTGGAAGTGCAAGCATGCGTCTTCAAGCAGACTACAAAAGCTGAAACCAGGATTTTCGGTGTTACTCCCATCATCTTTTGTCTGCCGGTAACCGTCGTATGGCTTTTTTCTTCCAAGACTGTATGACAACGCTTTCTCTTTTGTTCTTCTTTGCTGTCGATCCAATAGGCGGGACGAATGAGGGAATCGACACGCATGCCTATTGTCTTCATTGTCTTCATGCGTGTTTGAAATTTCGCTTTTTTGCCTTTTTCTGCTCGCTACCGGAAACCTGTCGATCGCGTAAGCCCAGAGAGAGTACTGTAGGCTGCAGACACACACGCATACATCGACCATTGTTTCAGCCGATGTCGTCAGGTGCAGTACATCTATGATTGGACGTTTGACACACGCTATGAAATGTCGCACGCTGTGCAACGAGAAGAATAGCCAACGGATGCAGGTGTGCATGCTCTTACGATTTGGAAGCCGGCAACCCGGTCAACCGGGATGCGCGGTGCTGAGCCTGCATCTAGTACAGCACAAGAAAGGCCTGTCAAGATGATGGCCAGGTTGAGGGAGTCTGTGATGAGGAGTTTGATAGGAAGAGCTGCAGAGATACAGACATAGCGGGTGGGGAACGTCCGCTGCAGAGGATGCAGCGTTGTCCGTGTCTCTGTTGCTCTGTCGTGACAGGCGGTCGAGCCGCCATGTAAATGCTGCTGTAGGGGCCAAGCTGGCGCTCAATTGACCACGCGAAGCTCTGTGCTGGTGACTTCGAGCTTGGACAGCCCGAAAGACCGGGTTCGGCATCGCTGGAATCTACATAGAGAGACCGAATCGTGAGCAAGACCGTACGAATGCCCACTCTCCATCTCATTGCACTCCCCTCGATATATACACTGTGCTCGAAGTCAAGCGCGTATCGCCGTTCCAGTCGCCATCTTGTCTCCTTCTGTGGCCTGTTCGATTCGATCCTTCACGATGGATATCCCAGTCGCATCAGCAGAGACGGTCTTCAACGTCCTCTCCCCCTCCGACGGCAAAGCTTACCTCATCCTCCTGATCATCATGTCCCTCTGCCTCGGCGCTCTAACCATGGACCTCTTCAACCACCTCCGGTTCGACTACCGTCTCGTCACCAAACCAGGCTGGTCCAAACCCGCCATCCTCGCCTCTCGCTCCGCCTACCTCTGCTGTCGCTACCTCTCGGTCGTCGTCATGACCCTGATCCTCTGCTTTCCCTTGCTCAAACTCGGCAACTGTACACCGATTCCCCTGGTGTACGACATCTTGGCCATGTTCTTGCTCGACTCGGTCGCGTACATCTTCGTCTCGAGGACCATGGCGTTGTATTCCTTCAAGAGGAAGGTCTGTGTTCCCTTGGGGATCTTTTTCGGGATGGTGTTGATCGCTGCAGCATTGTGCATTCCCAATTACGGGGAAGGGGTGAGGATCGAGGGTACTGAGTTTTGCTTGTTTGTCTCGCACAAACACCTCACAAGGACCAAGGTCATCAACATCACGTACAAGACGCTGTCCATGACGCTGGATCTCACCCTTCTTCTGCTCACGCTTCATCGGCTGCTCGAAGGTGGACTCGCTTCGATCTTCAACACCAAGCGTCAACGCTTTGGAGCGAACAACCTCAGTCTTTCCGGCTTCTTGATCCGTCAAGGATTCCACTTCTACGCCCTTCAGTTTGGAACCGATGTCTTCCTCATCACCGCCTACTTTAGTTTCCCCAATGAAGCGTACAAAGATCTGGGAACTATCTTGGGCTTTTGCATCCCACCGATTGTTGCATCAAAGGCGTTCAGAGAGATTGGAAAGAAGGCCCACGAGATCGGCATCCACAACGCTAGGCAGATCAACGAGATCGTCACCGATTCAGCCAGCGGTATCCGTCCCACCAAGAGCGGAGCAGCGTCGAGGCCTGCAGCACCAGCGATGGTGGTCACTTCGGCCGCACCCATGCGAGACCAAGATGGTGTGGGTACGCAGACTATCACGAGACAGTACTGGGATGGAAGGCGGACTTTCGATCACGGACGTGCTGACCTCACGGGGATCGTGGTTACCCATGGCGTGGTCTCGAGAATAGATGAGGGGGAGTGGGGGAGAGATGCTCAGGCGAACGATCAGTACGAGATGAAGCGACAGTGGTCGGGTTCTGCTGCGAAGAGCGACGAATCGATTGCATAGAGGTACAGAATGGACGCAGCGGACAGTGGCCATGCTACAAGGGTGTTTCGTGTGTCACTAGAAATGGGGACATTTTTGAGGAATATACACTTTCGTTTTGATCAATCAGGTCTGGTCGGCAGAAGCCGTCGGATACATGGGATCGATGGGGAAACGGACGTGAACGTCCACAACCCCGTTCAACCAGCGAGTGAATCTGGTGATTGCTGGGAGCGATTGCTGTGTCTGCCGTTGAAGCGTGTCAGCGGTCGGCGCGGAGAAGTTTTGGCCTCGAGGACACCACACGCCAAAGTGAAAATGCGAGTGGGAGAAGGCAACCGAAGCGGCATCTGGAGAAGGTGATGTCATCATCGTGCGAGCGCTGAAGACGCCGTAACCCTTGGCGCTCTCACAAACTTTGTCGGGCAGTTGTTGTCCAACTCTCTCGAACTTGTAAACCCTCCTACGGTGCTGCTTTGCTGTGTTCTTGACCACTCTCTGTCAGGCAAGGAGTTGAGCATAAATACACTGCCTGATCATCATATGCAGAGAGACCATTAAAGAAAGTAGTTCAACATGCAGTACAGATACATGTCAGACCCGAGTCAGCTGGCTCCACAACGTCTGTTGTGATCGGAAACGTTGACATGGATGTGTTGATCCAAACCGTCCCTCTGATGGACGTCCACCTTTCGGATCGCAACCAATTCCTCCGCCTCCAGTGACAGCCTTGGATCCACCTGCTGCACGTGCGAGTACCTATATCCGAGATGCTTGTTGACGCTCAGCGTTGCAATGATGCGCCGGTCAGCCCTCCTGATAAAAAAGAAAATTTTTGATTCAAACACAAATTGTTGAGCCTATTTATTGAACTCGTCGCCAAGCGTTTCGGGATCCGAAGTACGGGAGCCGTGATTCGCTTGCAGGCCGTGTATGGCATGAGCGAACGAGCAGCACAGAGGATGAAGATAATGGCGGAGGGAGCTGACCATCTTGAGCCCTGTACCGTGGCATCGTCGGATCGTGCCATTCAGATACGACTGCGTAGACACGATTTGCATCGTGAAAGTGCTGTTGTTCGCAGCAGAGTACGATGACAACCCTCTCAGAGCTGCAACTTCCAGGTCGAAAGCGGGTTGAGGGCCCTCCTGGAAGTTGTGCTGTGTATCGCACTTTGTCGCTCGTCGATGTTCGAGCCTGTATCCCTCCGACCACACCAATCTCAAGACCTCGGCCTGATTGTGGAGGCGATCAGTGTCGAGGTCGAATGGTTCCGGAACCCCTCGAACCCATCTGAGCTTTCCCTTATACCTGTCTTCCATTACACCCGACAGACGCTGTGGGACCATCTAACTCGATTCTGAAATATCACTGTGCTGCTCATGGTATCTTGCCCGATGGTGGGGCTAATGGGAGAGAAAAGGCTTACAGGTCCTGTCAAATTGCACCATCCACACGATAGAGGTGGGCGTCAGCAATTACACAACGCATTAGGGTTTACACATGCGTTAGTGAGTTTATGACACATAAGACTTCGATTTCAAGCTAATGGTAGAAGCGGAACGAGATACAGACACACGACACCGAATCTTGAGACAGAACTCGTGCAACTATGATATGCGCAAGCAGGGCGGGACTGTGCCGAAACAAGAAAACCTTTTGGACAACGGCCGCCTGAGACCCGACCACCGACGTCCGCCGTCCGCCGTCGCTCGGCGGCATTGATCTTCGAGCAAAGCTGCAGTCGTCATGACTCAACATCGATGAGGCATTCGACACGCCCAGATCGACTCATTCAGAAGCTTGCTATCCGCATCAACCACAGTCCGATGACCGTGCATCACGTGTCACAAGCAACGAATCCGACATTGCTCGAGCATGTGCTGCTCCTCAAATGATGTGCTACAGTACAGTGCTCGGCTGATGTCACGCATCCTGCATAACTTCATCGAGCTCGTTGATCTGGGCCAAGTCATCGCCCCCACCGAACTCCTTGTCGAAATCGTCCTCTTGCTTGCCGACGTCGGCACCCTCCATGTCCGAATCGCTGTCATCCTTGTCGACAACTTCTCCATTGGCATCCACTTTGAGCTGACCGCCCATGAGTTTGGCAAATGTCTCGCGCTCCTTTGCCTGACGTGATTCGATATCGGCGAGCTCCCAGAGACTGACGCCGTTCTTTCCCTCCGGATACGGCTGCGCCATGGATCGGATGAAGAGTTTTGACTCGACGATGGCCATATCTGTCGACAGATTCGAATGCGTCTCCTTGATGTACTGCGCGATCCACTTGGGCAGCTTGTTGCGTTTGTCGGCACGCGCGAATCGCTTGTCGGCGAACACCATGAGACCGTAGTCGGTCTTACCTCGTAGTACGCGTCCCACGCACTGAGCAGCGTGTCGCATGGCGTCGAAGGTCAAAAAGTCATTCTCTCGGATGCGGAAGTTGTCGCGCAGGAACTCCAGTCGAGCTTTGAGGATTCGCGACTCGGTGTACTGGTAAGGTACACCAAACATGATGACGGCGCGCCCGTAATTGTGATCGAAATCGATGCCCTCAGACACTTTTCCTCTCGCGACGGATAGCAAGATGGCTCCCCGACCGTTGTCGCACGCTCGTCGATAGTTCTCGAGCGCGATGCTCGTCTCGGGAGCATCTGGCGTCTCGATAAAGATGAGCTTGTACTTCCACACCTCGTCGAGGATGCCCATGTCGTGCCAAGCGGCTACGATGCTTTCCATGTAGAGGTACGAGGGGAAGAAGGCGACGATGCCGTCCGGGACACATTTGGCGTACTCGATCAAGATGCTGCCGTAGTTGCGGACCACGGCGGGATCGTTTCGCACCTCGAAGCGAGAACTGATTGCGACCTGATCGCTGCCTCGTGTGATGACGAGCGGCAGGAAACATTGACGAGTGAGCGTCATGGCATACGACTCCTGCACTATCGCATCAAACTTGAGCATCTTGGGGTACATGTCGAGAGGGCTGATGGTTCCGCTCGTGATGATGACGCTCGAGAAGCGTTCAAAGACGGGTGCGATGGCGAGACTCGCATCGAGGCAGGTAAAGTGGAAGATCGGATTGGGCACAGTGGCGTTCTCGGTTTCGAAGGGTTCGAGGATGAGCAGGAAACCTTTGTCGTAGGTGGCGACGAGGGTCGCGAACGATGCCACCTTTTGCAATGCCGAGAACTCGTCGAGACGGGTGAGCTCGAGCGTGCCGACGAGCATGCGGAGTCGTTCGGCACAGAAGCGCAGTGGCTTGCGCTCGATGTATGTGATGTCCTTCAAGTGTTGCAAGAAGCTCGCCGGAGTTTCGGCCACGACGTGAAGAACGCGCATGCGCGTCTTGAGGTATTCGACGAATCGTTTCAAGAAGGCGACAAAGTGTTCGGCGCGACGGATGTTACCCGGCACCGCTTCTGACAGCAGATCGTCAGGAAGTACTGGATTCGCCATGAACGATTCGGCCTCCCTCTGCTCACCTTGCTCCTGCAGACCTTCGACTAATCGCGCATACTCGTCCTGCAGCTTGGACGCATCTGTCTTTTTGATCTCGTCGACGCGATCCGAGAGCTGATTGATACTTCGGTATGCGCTGTCGAGCATCGGCCTGGTCAAGTCGATGGAGAGCGATTCGATGCATACATTGTCGATGTTGTGGGCCTCGTCGAAGACCACGATGGCATCCTTGCTCATCTCCTTACTCACCTGCTCTGCCACTTTGGGATCGAGGAGGTAGTGAAAGCTGTAGATGACGATGTCAACAAAGGGCATCATGCGTCGGATGGCAAAGTAAGGGCATATGCCTTTGTCGCGGGCATACTCCTTAACTTCTTCAAGTGTCCAGACGCCTTGCGGGATGAGTTGACCCGGTTCCATCTTGCCGAGCTCTTCGTGGAAGTCGCAGAGCTCGACGCTGCCGGGATCTTGACGGCCCTTTTCGCAGGCCCAGCTGCTGGTCATATCTCTACATCGTGCGTCGACGACCTTGCCTTTGCGCTCGCGACTCACGTCGGGATGGATGCAGAGGTTCTTGCGTGAACTGAGACCGAGCGCGAGAATGTCTTCCATTTGTGCACCCGCTTTGCCTCTGCCTTTCATCTCGGAATCTTGCTCTCCCGGTCCATTGCTACCTTCTGCTTCGTTCTTGAGCACCTCCGAGTCTTCGCCTTCCTTGACGTTGTACCTTGCGCGATACTCCATGAGACGTTTCAACTCTGCGAGCGCCTTCTCGATCTCAGGAACAGTACGCGAGCAATAGATGAGCTTGCGCTTGGCGGGATGGAAAAGCTGGTAAGAGACGATGAGGCTGAGAAGCGAGACAGTCTTGCCGGTGCCTGAGGGCATTTCGAGAACGCAGTGACCGTTAGCATCGAGGGTGCGCTTGAGATCGGTCATGTAGGCATATTGCTCGGGATAGATCTTGGGGTAGGGGAAGAGCACGGGCAGCTCATCGATGTAGAACTTCATGATGGCGGATCAGCCGCGAGGGGCAGAAGTGTGCCTCGGCGGAGACGCAACACTCTTGATCGATGGCGAGGTGTGCGTAGATGGGCGAAGTGATGGTTGCTGCAGGAGCGTGGTTGTTGCTGAGTCTGTTGGACCCTGGCAGCACCATTTGACACTCTGACATTTCACAGCAGCTGGCGTGCTGAGTCGCGCGCATGTGGAGGGTGACTTAGATCGGGAGTCACTCTCACCAGATTCATCGGGTGATCTGATTTGTTACGCACGATTCCAATCCTCGGCTCCAACCTCTGGCAAGACACGTTGACGCTGTGAGCTGGCTGGATGATAGGGCGACCCTCAATTCTCGAATTCAAATTCCGTGTTGCCACTTGAACCCAGCCAACGAGTTTCTAATCAGCGCGCACCTCCCTTGAAATCAAATTTTGGGGAAATTGGAAGAAGTGGCAAAGGAGTCGAAAAATTCGAATTTTCTCTCCGCCACGTCCGCCCTCCGTCGTGGTGAAGGCACTTTTCCAGTGTCACTGCCAAAAATCTCGAGATGGTGTTGGTTGGCGCTCGCAAGGAACGAACGCACTTTCTGATTGGGGCTCGAGTGCCGTCGAACGGCTCGCTGCTCGCCACTCGGAAGAAAAAGACGAAGCGTTGCACAGCGCACCGCAGTGGTGATAGCGTAGATGCTGTTCGTCAAGCTGAAGCTGATGCTGAGCGTGCCCCGATGAAATCCAACAGAGCTCAGTGCCTTTTTCCTTTCACGGCTGGCAGCGTCGGACACTGTGTTGCTGTGCCTGCAAAAATTTTCTTGCAGATCAAGCTTGTGCGATCCTGTGCGAACGATACCATTCCGAAAGACTCCCTCGCATCCTTCTTCTCCTCACCACCACCTTCATATCCCTCCCTCTCGCCCCACCTCTGGCGATCCGCTTTCATTACACAGAGCTACGTATAGCGCTGTTCATCATTTCTTTTTCGTTGAGCGCATCACACGCTCACTCTTTCTTCGTCAGAAGAAGCTGAAAGTCGATCTCACCTCGACAGACTCCCTCACACATTCGGTGTTGGTGCTTGCTACTTGCGATCAGTGATCCTGTGTAGCCACTTTCGCCACCCCTTCGTATTTCTCTTTCCTCACCACAACAAAACATCAATATGGCTCCCGCACCATCCGCTGCCGGTGTCCCCGCCACCGTCCCTGCCAAGGCTGTCAAGGGCGCCGCTGGCGCTGCCGCCAAGAGCGGTGCCGCTGCCGAGAAGAAGGAGGCCAGCGCCGAAAACGATGCTCTTCTTTCCGGCGACAAGAACGCCGCACAGGAGCTCACTAACCTCGTCAAGATTGAGGGCCCTGCCGCTCTCGCCAACCTCGGCATCGAGGCCGTTATCCTCAAGGGTCTCGGCGACAAGAAGAACGCCGCCGCTCGTGAGGGCGCCTGCACTCTCCTCTCCAATCTCTGCGAGCAGGGTGTTGGTCACGAGGTCGAGCCTTTCATCTTTGAAAAGCTGTTCACCCCTCTCGTCGAGGCCATGGGCGACAAGGAGAAGGCCGTCCAGAAGGCTTCCCTCGAGGCGCTCAAGGCTTTCGTCAAGGTCATGTCCCCCTGGGCTACCCAGCAGGTGCTCAAGGTCGTCCTCGACCAGGCCCGCACCGCTGGTAAGTGGCAGGTAAAGACCGGCTGCATTGCCATCCTCGAGGAGCTCGTCACCTCGTGCCCCGAGCGCATGGCTGCCCTCATGCCCGAGATCATCCCCGTCATGACCGAGGTCATCTGGGACACCAAGACCGACGTCCAGAAGGCTTCGCGCGCCGCTCTCACCAAGCTTTGCGCCCTCATCTCCAACAAGGATATCGAGCGCTTCATCCCCGCCCTCATCAACTCGCTCATCCACCCCGTCGAGGAGGTGCCCAAGACCATCCAGCTCCTTGCCGCCACCACCTTCGTCCAGGAGGTCGACAGCCCCACCCTTGCTCTCATGGTGCCCCTTCTCTCGCGTGGTCTCAACGAGCGCCCCACCGCCACCAAGCGTAAGGTCGCCGTCATCATCGACAACATGGCCAAGCTCGTCGACAACGAGCGCACCGTTCGTCCTTTCCTCGGCAAGCTCCTCCCCGGCTTGATCAAGATCGAGTCTACCCTCGCTGACCCCGAGGCTCGTTCCGTCGTTCAGCGTGCCATCAAGACCCTCCGCGACGTCGGCCAGGTCGAAGGCGACGGCTCCGACGTCAAGCCCCTCGAGGACGTCGATGTCAAGGCCACTCAGGAGCAGGTCAACAAGGCCCTCGGCGAGCACAGCCTCCAGGCGCAGGCCAACCTGTCGTCCTACCTTGCTGTCCTCGTCGCCAACCTTGCCAACGCCCGCAACTTCGAGCTCACCGAGTGGGAGTCTACCCTCATCCCCTTCATCACCCTCATCAAGGCCGCCAAGCCCGAGCAGGCCAAGGCTATCTCCAAGACCCTCCTCACTGCGCTCGCCAAGTCGACCGGTGACTCTGTCGAGATCTTCGAGGACGAGGAGGAGGGAGAGGACCTCTGCAACTGTCAGTTCTCGCTCGCCTACGGTGCCAAGATCCTGCTTAACACCGCCACCCTCCGTCTCAAGCGTGGTCACAGGTACGGTCTTTGCGGTCGTAACGGTTCCGGAAAGTCGACCCTGATGCGTGCCATCACCAACGGCCAGGTCGAGGGTTTCCCTTCGCCCGAGGAGGTCCGAACCTGGTACGTCGAGCACGACCTGGACGGCTCCGAGGGTCTCATGACCGTTCTCGACTACATCGTCGCCGATGAGCGTCTCAGCATGACCAGGGACGAGGCTATCAAGACCCTTCACGAGGTCGGTTTCGACGAAGCTCGCCAGAACTCGCCCATCGCCGGTCTCTCTGGTGGTTGGAAGATGAAGGTCGCCCTTGCCCGTGCCATCCTGTTCAAGGCCGACATTCTCTTGCTCGACGAGCCCACCAACCACTTGGACGTCGTCAATGTCAAGTGGATCACCGACTACCTCACCAACCTCAAGACCACCACCGCCATCATTGTCTCGCACGACTCTGGCTTCTTGAACAACGTCTGCACCGATATCCTCCACCTCAACCGATTCAAGATCAAGCGATACCCGGGTAACCTCGACGCCTTCGTCAAGCGTGTACCCGAGGCCCGTGCCTACGCCGAGCTCAACACTGGCGAGGACTACTCGTTCAAGCTCCCCGACCCGCCTCTGCTCGACGGTGTCAAGACCAAGGAGAAGTCGCTTGTCAAGATGAAGAACGTCATCTTCCAGTACCCCGGCACCCCCGCTCCCCAGCTCAAGGGTGTCAGCATCCAGCTCTCGCTCGCCTCGCGTGTCGCCATTCTCGGCCCCAACGGTTCGGGCAAGTCGACGCTCGTCAAGCTCGTCGTCGGTGACACCGAGCCCGGCTCTGGTGAGATGTGGAAGCACCCCAACTTGGTCATCGGCTACGTCGCCCAGCACGCGTTCCACCACATCGACCAGCACCTCGACAAGACTCCTCTCGACTACATGCTCTGGCGTTACCAGACCGGTGAGGATCTCGAGGAGCACATGAAGTCCAACCGTGCCCTCACCGCCGAAGAGGAGGCTGCCAAGAAGCAGGGCGAGGTCTTCGTCGTCGAGGGCGTCAAGCGCCTCTTTGACGAGATCGTCGGTCGTAAGAAGTTGAAGAACTCGTTCCAGTACGAGGTCTCGTTCAAGAACATGTCGTCCGCCGACAACCAGTGGATCCCTCGTGACGACCTCATCAACCGCGGTCTCGAGCGTGCCGTGCTCGCTTTCGACTCCAAGGAGGCTCAGCGTCTCGGTATGAACCGACCCCTGGTACGAAAGGAGATCGAGAACCACTTCGAGGACTTTGGTCTCGAGCGCGAGTTCACCTCGCACAACACCATGCGCGGTCTTTCTGGTGGTCAGAAGGTCAAGGTCGTCCTCGCCGCCGCCACTTGGCGCCGTCCCCACATCATCATCCTCGACGAGCCCACTAACTTCTTGGACCGTGAATCGCTCGCCGCCCTCATCAAGGCCATCGAATCCTTCCAGGGAGGTGTCGGCATCATCACCCACTCGCGAGAGTTCTCTGAGGGCACCTGCAAGGAAATCTGGGCAATGTCCGACGGTGTGCTTCAGGCATCCGGACACGACTGGACCGAGAGCAACTCCAAGGGTACCAAGATTGAGACCAAGGACGACGAGGAAGACAAATTCGACGCTCTAGGCAACAAAATCGCTGCTGTCAAGAAGGTAAAGAAGGAGTCAGCCTCAGAGGCGCGCAAAAAGAAGAAAGAACGCATGGCAAAGAAGAAGGCTGGAACGTATGATTCCGCCGACGAGCTCGAGGATCTCTAAATGAGATGATGGTTTCGGTCGCGCGGGTTTCTCGGGACCCGGTCATTTTTTCTTCTTCTCCGTAATCGTTCCAAAATCATTTTTCCCTTTTCCGATGTCATTTTTGCCGTCGGTAATTTGAAATACGCATCTGTTCTCCCATTTTGCTTTCAGTGTGATCTTTCTCGTAGTGCCACTGAGAAATTTGAGTATGGGGACATTATTAACGAAGCCAACTGCTCCGCGAACTGCAGCTACGCCTCGGTTCTTTCGGCTAAGATGTGGGCGTCATTGCAGATGGATGGCACGGTATTCTTCGACGCCCAAATACCGAGGCACTCTTTGGCCTCTGCGGTCTGGTCAATGCTTTTTTTCCCACGCTCGGTTCTATTGGGAAATGCATGCAGCGCTCGCCACCGAAGCCGAATGGGCTTGAGCGGATATCACCAAATTACCCGCGTGATTGTGTTGGCAATATCTGTCAAGTTGGGCCATCATTGGAAAATAGGTGTTTTGCGCAGTCCCTGTGCTGGCAACGTCGCTTTCAAGGTCCAGCATTTAGAAATGAGCAACGTCGCGCCAGAGTTTCTTGTCTCTGGACGCAGCAGAGGAAGAGGTCTTGGCTCAATGGAAAATTTTAGCTGGATTCTATTGTCACATGGGAGCGGTTCGTGCTGAAGCTTTGGACACCATGAGGAGGGTGCAGATATGCATAGCAGAGTCGAGAAGCGGCGCCCCAGGCGTCATGACGCCGAACATCCCCTTGCCACATCCAGCGCCTGCAGCAATCTAGCATGGAACCAAACACGAAGCGAGATGCTGTTCACAAAGGTGGCGCGACAGACAAAGTGCTCGCTCGAAGTCGTCGCTCTGCTGTCAGATATATACTGCTACGTCTACTTTGCTCATTGACTGGACTCCCCCCACTTGCATGCTCCTCACAATCCTTGCTTCGCCCGCCATCTCGATTGTCTGCCCCGCTTGTACAACTGCCGCTCACCTTCCCTTCGCACACGACATGTCGAACGTACCGAACCTCTTCCGCACGATTCATCCGGACAATCTACACCTCCCTCAACATGCCACTCTAACCAACGGAGCACTGTACGATTTCATGAATCCTCTTCTCCGTCCTGGCATCAGCACCGGCGTCGAAGTCTTTATGCTGAGCGATGTGGTTCAGTGCCTCGTCACATTCAGTGTATGCTCCTACGTCGTGTTTTGCAAAGGTAGAGCGCGCAAGATGACGCTTTTCTCTTTGCGACGCAGTCAGTACGGGACGTTTATCGTACCCAATGCGGTGTGCATCTTGCTGTTCGGTGTATGTGTGTATCTGTTGTTTTGGGCCGGGTACTGTACCTATATTGTGGCAATGGACATGATGGGAAAGACGTATGCGGATATCGTGTGGTTGATTCCTTATCCTTGGTAAGTGCCGTCAACATGTATCACCTGGAATTTCAACTGACATGCTGCGTACCACGCGTGGTTCTTTTTGCGCTACCCTTTATGCCGACGAAAGGCTACCGTTGGCAATCGGCGCTTTCCTCTGCGCATACGGCTTTGCGCTCACCTGCAGTCCGCGCTCTCCCATCTCAAACTTCAGCGGTAGCATTCAACCCTCTCCGAAACTGAGCAGGATACACCTGCCCATCCCACATTCGGCCCGGCTCGTGAACAGCTTCCTCATGGGCGTCACGCTCATCGCGTTTGTCTTCAACACCACCGTTCGTTTGATCAATCTCGACATGCGAAACCGAGCCCACAAACCAGGCCATGACTTCAGTGGCGACGTTTTACAGCGACACCACACCCACGAATGGCGAGATCAAGTATCCACCACGGCCATGCTTGCCTTTGCACGAGTCGGATGGAGTGACCTGCTCAACGTGTATCGATTCTGCAGCATGGCATATCTCTCCTTTACCGCCATGATCAGCTTGATCGTGCTCATCCTGTTGCTCTACGCCGTACCCAATCAAATCTTCCTCATCAATCACGTCTGCGACATCTATCCCGGTCCTCTACCTTCGAATTGCGCCAAGGATGGGGGCTTTTTCTCGAACCTTCGTCTGCTCTACCGTCTAGGCCTACCACGCAACCTGCACGACTCAAAGTACCATGCGTTCAAGAAAATGTGGATGGTGACGATGGTAGGACATTCACAGGCTGTATGGTTGATGAACGGTGCTGCACTTTTCCTGTTCATTCCGGCATACTTGGCCACCTCGCCGTAAATTGATGCAGGGAAGGTCGCTGCGCAACACGATCGATTTGGCGTTTGGTTGGGTCATCCCAGTGGCGTTCATCACGGCATTTTGGATCATAGCGCTTTCAGCGACGATGACGTTGGATGACATCTTCAGAGCTGTCTCGGGAATGGGCGAAGTCAAGACGGAATCGAGGGCAAACGATCAGGAGACAGCCGTCCAGTCGCAGATCAGCCAGGCCAGATCACACGTGCGACTCATGTCTTCAGGGTCGAACAGTGCTGGTGGCGTAGGAAGGGGCACGGGCGATTCGAGAAGAACTATCTCGTTCCTGGGCGACAAGTTGGGTGTTCGTCAGGAACCAAGCTTCTCCGCTTCGTCGGCAACACTGACCGACGAAAAGCACTCCAGCGCAGGCGACCACTCGCCCGACCACGCCGGCATCAGAGTCACTATCGTCAAAGAAACCACCGTCAGCTAAGCCCATCACATCCGCAACGAGCGCCGTCGACATTTTTCCTTTCCACTTTGCATGTCAGTGGCTGCCGCTTCACTCGATAATCCTGTAAACGCTTCTTGATTGAAATTTGATTGGAGCATACGCCATACAGCGTGCTCAGAAAATCGTTCGGATGGCCAACTCCTCTGGGTACCCGCGGATGGTACGCCTCCTACTCGTGTCGACGCTATCAGTTTGAACAGCCTTGACAGCGGTCTTGCCTTCTGCAGAGGTTCTCTGTGCAAGCTTGAACTCAATGACCGCGAAGAGCATCTCACGCATCGTATCGCTCCGACAGTTCTCACGTCGGTAGCGATCTGCTCCTTTTCATCAGCAACCAAACCTCTTCACTCCACTCAACCAGCTCATCTATTAGCTCACTGATTAAACACATCTTCGCGTCTAAATACACCAAAGCACCTTGGCCGGATCACACTCGACCACGACCAGATCGTCCTCCTGCACACCTTCCTCGAACAACATCCTGCCCGAGTCATCCAACACCTTGCGCTCGTCTCCTTCGAGCATCACACCCAATGCAGTCTTGGCTTTGCCCTTCGCTACGTCGTCGCTCAAATGCAGCGTCAACGTGAGGTTGCGCGGTGAGATCCTATACCCGACCTCGCGCATTCGAGCAGAGATGGTCTCCTTGAGGTCCAACACGGACGAGTTGGACGAGATGAATACGCTTGATATCGGTCTACCCTTTTCGACTGCATTGTCGATCAGCACCGCTGGGGAGGGAGATGGTAGAGATCGGAATGCCAAGCGAAGTCGGATCGAGGAGGGAGGTGTCGGTGGACAGGTGGAGTACCAGTTCTGCATGGACGGTATGGAATTGCCAAGGTGGTTCCCCACCGACGAGAGGGAGAGCGACGAGGTGGAGCTGGACGCGATGGAAGTAGGGATGCTTTCGGCGAGCGAGATTTGGGATGTAGCTGAAAGTCGCTTTGGTGCGACTCGGGGTGTGGCGGGCAAAGAGTCTGTCAATCCCAGCCCGGCAAGCGGATAGTCAGAGTCGTGATTTGCTTCGAGCTCGAGCTCACCAAGACGATCGAGTGCTTCCTCGTCGCTGGCTTCAGTGGCCTCCTCGTACGCATCGATGGTGAACTCGCTCATGCGTCTCGCACCGCTCGACGGCAGATCCGCCGGGTACGAGCTCGAATACAGCGACACGCAGCGTGGCACAGCAGCAGCAGGGCGAGGCCGCAAGCAAGACATGTCCAAAGAATCCTCGTCGACGCTCGGTCGGGTGTCGGCGGCAGGGGGAGCGTCGAAACCTGGGCCGCGGCAGTGGAAGGATTCTTCCGAGGCGCATCGGGTGAGCCGACGTCGTAGAGGCGAGGCGGTGGTCGAAGGTGGGACGCTCGAGGTGGTCGGAGGGGACAAGCCGAGGATGGAGTGGATCGACTTGCGCGTGTGCCTTTGTCGGATGGAGCGAAGAGATGCGCGGGCCCCGCCAGCAGAGGGCGCACTGGTCCCTGGTTGCGCGTCGGGGACGGGCGAAGGGGTGCGGGAGAATCGTATCGACCAGGACGAGGAGAGCGAACGCTGCTTGTCCTCGCAGCTCCCTGTAAGCTCGACGGGCGCCATGAGCGTACTGCTCCGCCTTCGTGTGTTGACATCCGCGGGTGGGCTGATCATGATGGCACCGGCGGTTCGGGAGCGTGACATTTCCGACGAGGCGAATCCGAAAGCATGGGGCTCTGGTGAGAGTTCTGTCGCTGGAGAAGTGACTGGACGAGCAGGGCGCTGGGGACGAGGAGCGCGAGCTGTTCCGACACCCCATGCGGCTGCTGGTATCGGGGAAGAGATGTGAACAGCAGGTGCAGGCTGAGCACTTGTCGTGGCGCCGCTGCTGTGGGTGCTGCCAAAGAAGAACGAGCGGGAGAGGGCGCGACGGATGGGCGACTTTGTAGCTCTCGCCGCGGCGGCGCTGTGAGGCTGTACGGGGCTGAGGGGCGGCGTGATGGCCTCGAGATCGGCGCGAAAAGCGGAGGAGGATACAAAGGTGGGCGAAGAGACGATGCGTGAGCTCGATGGGGCGGAGGAGCCGGATGCAAAAGTGGAAGCAGCTGGTGTCGCGGGCGAAGGCGTGGTGCTGCGGTAGTGATGAGGCCGCGGTGTCAAAAGACCCGAGGAAGCGGCAGAGGAGGGCCCAGGTTGATCGTATTGCTTTGCTGCTGCGACGTCGATGGGCTGCACGGCCTTCTTGGAGGTGTCGCGCTTGCGTATCGAGCCGAACCGACCAAAGGAATTGGTGAAGGCCGTCATGGCTGCGGGTGGTGATGTGAGATCGGGATGATCGAAGCAGAGATGACAGTAATGACGAAAGAGGTGGTGGTGGTGGTGGACAAGGGTCGTGGGCGATGACGTTGGCGAACAGAAGATGGAGAAGCGGTCTTATAGAAGGGTAGGACTTCGACCCGGGCTGAGTTGCTGCGCTCAGTCTCTGCTGGACAGGGTGGTTGTTGTAGTGGGGCTGAGGAGGGTCCACGGAGGTGGAAATCCGCCAAGGATAAGCTCAGGGTCAAACAATGGGCGTATCGACAGGCACAAAATGAGCTCGTGCAGAGTGGCGCCGACGCTTGACAGGCGGGAAGGGAAGCGGATCGAGATGAGCATGCAAGGAGAGGGTACAGTATAGATGTCACTCTGGTGGATAGCCAAGTCTAGACCCTGATGCGCGCGGATCAGAAGCAGGGAAAGCAGCAGCCAGCCCCGCCGGCTTGGCGCAGTCGAGAGGGCGCAGCAGAGCAACATCCGATTAGGCACACCATCCGAGATACTGTTACGGGCAGCCGGGGCGGGAGACGACAGCTGCAGCCGCGCAGATCCTGCAAGGCGACACGCAGCTGAAGCGGGAGTCGGCTCGGCAGATGTATTGCTGATCAAGGGTCTCACCGCCCTGCGCGGAAAAAATCTCATCGGAACAAAAGCGTTTACAACCAATTGAAAGCAAAAGTGGTCGTGACACCTGGAGAGGATTTTTCCATCGGAACGCCAAATCGTACAGCAGGCTCCGAGAGCTTGGGAATCATGCAACCATCGTCCCACGCCTGTATTTGTCCGTCTCGGTGACGTTTTCCCGCTTCTTCCCGCAAGGCTTTGCGTTACTCCGCCTCGTACAGAAAAGGAACGAGGTTGATTATGGATAGCTCAACCTGGAAAGATAGGTTGAAAAGCTGCCAAATTGGGACGACTGGATTTTGTTCTTCGATGCCTGACACTCTGCTCGCTCGCTGACAAGTCGACTCAGGCTGAATGTAGATTGCGATCTGAGACAGGCGGCAATTGGGTCAGCTCGAATAGATCGCTGCCTTACAGTAGCAGGGAGCTTGTAGGGAAGTGTAAATGAAACAAGGTCGGCTCCAGAGACAAAAGAAGAACGACAAAGCGGCTACAGAAGCGAGGCACACGTACTGAGCCGCAACAAGCGAGACCAACACTTTGGTTCTCGTCCAGTGCGCCACACAAAAAAAAAGAGAAGCGGAAATCCGGCAGTCAGAGACACGCTTGGAACGCGTACATTAGCGTCGCATAAGCGATTCGCCTCGAAAGAGCTTCTTGCAGTCGGATCCGCCCGCCCACAGGTGCTCGGTTGCTGCGCCTGTCTGTCTGACAAACAAGACGAGCTGCAAGGGCCGCCAATCAGCATGAGAATTCTTTTCTTCCATTCGGGTCTTGACCGGCAACAATCGTACCACGCCCGTCGCCCTGGCCTCCTCGAGTGCACAGCCACATTGGGCAGCATCGTCGCCTGTCATCAGGCCCGCAACGGAAACGGCTCTCCCGTACATTAGCCTGATCGGCACGTTTCCATGTCAGCGAGGTCAAGGCACTGGACTGCATGCTTCCATTGTTCCTTTGCAGCTTTCAGATCACTTGACATCTACAGTTTTGCCGCCTTTTCCTTTCAGTGCGCGCTTGGCGTACCCATATATTGGTTCGCATCCAAGCCGAAGCACCATCAGCTCACAAGGTCGCATCATCTTGCGCATCATGATCGACTGTATTGCAGCAACATGCATGCCTAGCTTCGATCGTTCAGAACGTGGGTTGCAACAACAAGCCGATGTGACCGAAGAGCGGGAGTACAGTGTTCATTGTACCGACAAACTCCGCCCGTCACGATAGAGTGGCAATTTGTTGTGTCCGCAAACGTCGAATTTTTCCGTCGACGCTCCTAGTCGGACGTGAAAAAGTCCAGGAGACCGCTGATTGTTGCCACTCCCATTGTTCGTATCGAGACAGCCAGCAACACCAGATTCGTGTCGACCGCACACCGCTTCATAGGTTGCCTCTTCTATCGTGTGCACAGGCGAGAGCCAGAAGTGACTGTCTCCAACATGTTCCGATATGCGGTGCGATCCTAGGCGAGCACTGCGGAAAGAATAGCCGACTGGGAGAAAAGCCTCTTCTCACGCAAAGACGTGGGGAGCGCATCTTTTCGCCAGGCGTACCCTTGTGCCCACCTCGACCTCCTCACACGCTCGCTTGCTCCGTGGTCCACGTTTACCCGTGCAGCTCGCATAAGGGTCAACCTCGAGCCGCTCCACCCGCGCACGATGGCCGAATGGTGCATTTCATCAAGAGACATTCGACGGCTTTGAGCAGGTCAGGACGTGCAGGCATTCACGAGAGGCAAAACACCGAGCCGCAATAGCCGGTCGGTCCACTGATGGAAGGGAGGAGGCAAGGGTGTGCGAGACTTGTATGGGGATTTGGAGTGAGCCTGTTAGACCGACCATGCTTCGCTCTTGAGATTTTGTTTCTGTCCTGGTGCGAATGTTAGAGCAGAATCGGCGACGCTTCTCCACATTTGGGAGAATGTCGACGTCGATCATCGTTTCCGTCCCTACCACGCCAACTACGACCTCCAAAGCCATGGCATAACATGCCACCCAAGGGATCGGCCCGAGGCCGCACGCAGCAACGCGACGCTGAAAAGGAGCCAGAAACACCGTTCCATCCCGCCGCCGATGCCGCCACCTTTCGCGACCTGCTCATCTTCGAGGAGCGCCTCAAGCAGAATGCGGCGCGACTCCAGGCGCGAAAGCGCAAGTACGAGATGCTGCTGTTCGGCTTCGTAAGCTTCATTCTGTGCTTGTCGCACCTGGTGGTCATCTCTCCACGCACGTCAGTGTTTCTGCAGTACAGCCTCGCAGCTGTGCTCATGATCTGCCTCACCACGCTGTTTTTGTTCTTTGCAAGTGGCATGCACGCCGAACGCATCCGCTCGGCCAACAAGTTTGTCCCGCAAGCGAATCGAAGCTTGCGCAACTTCAACATGTACCTCAACACTCGTGCCAATCGCATCGCGTCGACTGGCACCTCGACGTCGTCCATACCACCTGCGCAAAACACCAGGGGCGAGCTCATCTTCAGCAGCAGGGTCAGCCCAGAGTTTCGAGAGGGCTACGAAAAGTATAGAGCCGCCTTCGAACGACGTCGAGCAGAAAAGATTGCAGCAAAAAGGGCGCAGTCGTGGAAGCGTTGGTTCGACTTTGCGTTGGGCAAGTCGAGCGACGCAGCTACCAAGTCTGCATCTTCCGTCACACGCCACTCCGTCGATTCGCGGCCAAGGTCAGCAGCACGCACCTCGAAAGCAAGGAGTGCGCGCACCACGAGGTCTTCCGCTCGTACAGAAGCAGCCAGCGCGACCGCTTCGCCTGCGCACGCCGGTGGACAGCTCGATGATTTGAGCGACGCGCCCAGCGACGGCTTGAGCGAGGTCTTGAGCGACGGTCTCAGCGACGGTGGTCTCAGCGAAGAAGGTGGTTCCATGTCAGGCCATGAGCCATCATAGCATTCACGCCACTCCATCACAGTAGCCAGCGTTAGCTTCACTTGCATCTCATCATACCTCTTCCTTGTACCATCACACTCTGTCCTTTCGCGAGTAGGAAAATTCCGCGGTGTGGCCGTCTGTGCGCGTTTCTGAGCTTAATTGGCGTTTTGAAGGTGGAGGAGCAGCTGCACCGCATTGCAACTCGCCATTCACTCTTTATCCTCTTCCTCCTTCTTGCCTTCCGACCATCTTCCTACAACGTCCGCTTCACCATGGAGACCACCTGGGCCCCACTTGTCCCAACATCAAAGGGCTCAGGGAGGATCAACACCTCTGCAGACACTGCCGCCACCACAACAACAGCATCAGCCTCGAACCATGTCAACGATGTCTCCCTAGATCCCTTCTCAATAGGATCTCTGCCGTCCACCGTCGTCCAGCGCATCCTCAGCTTCGTTCCAGTGGCCTACCTTCCCAGCTGCGCGCTAGCTGCTAGACCTTTGGCTCGCTTTGTAGCCGATGAAAGGCTATGGGCACAAAAACTCGCTCTCCTCCAGTATAAGCAAGTCCCTGGGCGGCACCTTCGCTACAATCCGGATCTCTCAACAGTCCCAGCCACATCACGGGCAAGCAAAGATGAGTCCCGCTCGAATCGCAAAAGCAGTGCCAGCTCGTCCGCAGCCAGACCAGATGCGGGCAAGCTGCCCAAATCCCTCGACGCCGATTCCACCTTGGCCGCCAACGACGACGACTTTGGTGATTTCGAAGCGGCCACCATCACTTCTCCAGATGACGACAACTTTGGCAACTTCGTCTCCACAAAGCCCAGCTCGTCTGGCCACAGCTTCTCTTCCGCTCCCGTCTTTTCATATCGTGCCGAGTCGAAGCTTCCCATGCCGAGCACCGACGCCGACTCAGCATATCAGACCTTCAAGCGCATAGCCACCTTCCTCAAACCTTTCGTTCAAAGCCTCCTCTTCGAGACCTCGCCCACCGCCTCGCTCGTCTTTACAGATCCGGGCCTTTCGTCGCTCTCATCTCAGGCACAGTTGATCTGCAATGTGGCCCGCTTCACAGGGCCGCTCGTCCTCGGTTCCTTTGCCAGGGCCGCTCCGGCAGCGTCCGCACAACGAGACTCTTCCTCGGACGACTTTGACCAAGACCAGTGGCGCCTGCGCATGTCTATCAGCCAAGCGGCTGACTATCTCGAAGGTGTCCTCCTGTCAGCTTTCGAGGGAGCCGATGCGAGACGCGCCGATGCGTTGCGTGCTGGCCAAAGAGGCATGGACGTCGCCAAAGCCGTCGAGCGCGCCGAGAGCGACATGCACGAGCATGCTGCCCTGATATGGAACCTCGCCATATCCACAGCAGCACCCTCAGCCCAGTCGGACTTCCATCTCGCGAATTCGGTGGCAGCCGATGGTGAGACCACCAACTTTCTGGCTCTGCTTGAACGTCCCGGTCATGCCGCCGCCCTCAGCTTTCTCGAGAAACGCGATTCGCTCTTCAAGAGCTCCACGCATCGACCCGAAGCCAACTTTGCTTCCACATCGACCAACACACGTCCTGCACTCGACTTCACCGCCATGGATGCTTTCATGGCAGAAGTGCTCGCCAACCTGCAAACCGACGGCTCGCTGGTTGCGCGCGTCTTTCCCCCAGAGCAGCAGGTCCTGCTCGCATTCGCAAGTCGCGTCACCAACGAGGTCGTGGGAGAGTACATCAACGGCGTCCTCACAAAAGCGAGATCGATCGATCTTCACATTTATCTGCAAGCAGCAGCGGCGACGTTCTCGCAGGCGCTCAAGGTGGCCGACACGGTGGAAAAGGTCGAACCGCGGCATCCGGACTCTGTGACGCCGGCACGCTGCCGCGCTATCGTACTGTCCATGTTCGAGGCGCATCTCGACGAGTACCTTCAGGAAGAGCGAGATTGGGTGCGCAACGTCATGGTGGAGATCTGTAACGACAGTCAAGGCGCAAGCGGATCGGCGGGTAGAGCTGGTGGCGGCGTCAAGCAGGGCAAGACCATGGACACGGCTTTCTTGGCCAGCAGCAATCCAGCACAGGTCAAGCGCAACGTCCTCAGCGGGTTCAAGGATGTGCTGTTGATGCCGGTCACTGTGGTACCGCGTGCAGCAGGGGCAGTGGGAGGCGCTGTTATTCGCACGGCGGGCACGGGCTTGAGCCAGCTCAACCCCCTCAAGTGGCAGCAGAGCTCGGCGACGGGTGCACGCAATGCCAGCGGTTCCAATTCGGCCATCGCCACACCTCAACGGTCCAGCACTCCAGCAGTCGGAGGGGCCGTTCCAGCAGCAAATAATGGATACGTCGATTTCAGCAAAGAGGTACTCGGCGGTCCTGAAGGTCATGTTATCGGTAGTGACGACGAGAGCGACGACGAAGGGCATGGAGCGGTTGGCTCGGCTACCGAGAAATTTGACGACTTTGGCGGCTTCGCTGACACGAGCATTCAGAACGAATGGAACGAAAAGAGCGCCAGCCTCGCCACCAAACCAACTTGGAACGACTCGAGCACCGATACAAGCATGGACGCCGGAGCCTGGGATGCGAGCGTGAAGACGAATGCCAGCACGAACGGTTCCAAACCTGCAGCAGCAGCAGCAATTACAACGACGACGACAAACGAGTCTGCGGTGGCTTCGACAGAACAGCCGAAGACAGCTCCACTCAGTAACGGATTCGAACGACTTCAACTGCTGCTCTCGCTCGACACGGCTCTGTCGCTGATCCAAGTTCATCGCGAATCGCTCAAGAGGATGGAAGCATTCATGGTGTATCCGCCCACCACGCTGCACGGACGACGAGTTAAGGATGAAATGGAAGAAGTGTGCCTCTCCCTATTTCAAGTGCTCGGAGAGCAGCACATCGCACCTGGGTTCGACCAAGCCACGCAGGAGATCAAGCAGTGGAATCCTCTCTCTGACAGCGATGACGACACCAGCGCCGAGAAATCCCAGTCGACTTCAGCACAAGTCTTGCCGCTGGTTCAATTCTTCGAACTGACGCACATCGCCGATACCATCTCGCAGCTGTGTTCGGTGTACTTTTCGCAAACACTCGTGCCTGTTGTACGGTTGGACGTCGACGATTTCCTCAACTCGGTGGTTCGAGCCAAGAAGTCATTTGAGGCGAATCTGGACGAATCGGTTGCATCGGGTCTTTCGGTGTCGGTGGACTTGTTGATGAAGCGGGCCGAGTGGGTGTTGTTCTCGCAACGCGATCCGATGGACTATGCTGGTTCGAGCATTGTCGATCTCGGTTCGGCGACGCTGGCGACCCGATCGACACTCTCGGTGCTCGCGTACCACTGCTCTCTGCTCGTCGGAGCCACGGACCGCGAGATCCTGGATCTGTTCTACACCGAAGTCGCATCTCGCCTGTTCCACATCCTGACGAAACACCTCAAGTCGCTGACGATCAGCCAGGTCGGTGGGTTCCAGTTGATCTCGGATCTCAACCACATCGCCAGCTTCATCGCTGGCCTCAAGATCAAAGACCAAGACCTGTCGAAGCTGTACAACTCGCTCAAAACGCTCGCCAACTACTACATCGTCGACGGCAAGGAGCTCATCTCGCTACTGAAAAAAGATTCGGGCACCAGCGGTGGTGTGGCGAGACAGCAGAGGGAGGACGGATTCGTGTTTGGGCAGGAGGAGCTGTACGAGTTTCTCAAGAGTAGGCAGGATTTCAGGGTGATCGAGAAGCAGGTCGATCACGAGATTTTCGGGTTCAAGTTGAGCGAGGACTGCGTTGTCTGCTGAGTCGAGGCGGGAGAGAGACGGGCATCTCAATGGCGGTAAAGGAGAAAGGAATTTCGCATTCATCGGTGTTTTGTGCAGTTTGTGCATTTTGAACAAAGCTTGCTCGTGAGTGACCTCGCTCGCCTGACCTACTTGCCACCTGCAGCAACATCCACCGCATCCTCAATCACCCCCTCGGGCTTGACGACATTACTCAAGCTCGAGAGCACCGCCTTCAATCCCGCAGTGGTGATATCCACGTCGATACCTACACCCCAGAAGCCCTGCACCTTTTTCTCGCCCACACTCTCTTTGGCCACAGGATCGATGAGCTCGACATAACTCGCCGCCTGGGCCTTGCTTCCACTGGCGCCTGCGGAGCCGACCTGCTTGGCAGAGGCGATCGAGTGTTCGCTGTACTCGCGGATCTCGGCCTTGATGCCGAAGGTCGACTCGATCGCATCGAGGAACGCGGAGAGGGCGCCGTTGCCGGTACCTGTGAGCTCGTGCGTCTTGCCCTGGTAGAGCACTTTGCCAGTGAACCTTCGATGCCTGGGAGTTTGCTCGCCACCGTCGTCGCTGGTGATGCTGCTGCTAAGATCGTCAGAGAGCGAGTAGCCGCGGAGGGTGAACCTAGCCTCGGACTTGCTCGCCGCCCCCACGCCAGCTTGCAGCGAAGCCAGACTGGACAAGTGATACGTCTGCGTGAAAATCCTGGTGATGTCCTCCGTTGTCATCTCCTTGCCCGTGCGATCGGCCACCTCCTGGACGACCTGGTAGAAGGCCACCTGCATTCTCCTCGGCAGATCGAGACCCAAACTCTGCGCCACGAGGTACGCAACACCGCCCTTGCCCGACTGCGAGTTGACGCGGATGACGGCTTCGTACGTGCATCCGAGGTCGATCGGGTCGATGGGAAGGTAGGGGATCTCCCACGTGTTGTCGCCTTCGGCGATGCGTTTCGCCTGCGCTGCGAAGCCCTTCTTGATGGCGTCCTGGTGCGAGCCGGAGAAGGCGGTGAAGACGAGATCGCCGGCGTAAGGGTGACGTGGGTGGACGGGGATGTCGTTGCATCCGCTGACGACGTCGACGACAGACTGAATGTCGGAAAGATCCAGCTCGCCTGGCTGGATGCCCTGCGAAAACAGGTTAAGCGCCAGGGTGACGATATCCACATTACCCGTACGCTCGCCGTTTCCAAACAGACAGCCTTCGACCCGGTCACCGCCGGCGAGCATGCCGAGCTCGGTGGCGGCTACCGCACATCCACGATCGTTGTGCGGGTGGAGCGAGACGATGACCGAGCTGCGGTCGGTGATGTTGGTGCAAAAGTACTCGATCTGATCCGCATAGTGGTTGGGAGGACCCACCTCGACGGTTGCGGGGAGGTTGAAGATGATGGGGTTGGCGTGAGATGCTTTGCCCCAAGCGGTGCGTACTGCCTCGCAGATCTCGACGGCGAAATCCATCTCGGTCTGGGTGAAGGTCTCGGGCGAGTACTCGTACTTGAAGTTGGTGCCTCCGTTCTCGGGTTTGGAGTATTCGTCGACGAGCTCGCGGACGATCTTTGTGTGCCTGACGGCGAGGTCGATGGTCTGTTCGCGAGAGTTGTTGAAGACGACGTTGCGGAAGAGGGGCGAGGAGGCGTTGTACATGTGGAGGATGACGTTCTTGGCGCCCTTGATGGACTCGAACGTGCGTCGGATGAGCTCTTCGCGAGCAGGGGTGAGGACTTGGATGTATACGTCGTCGGGGATCATGTTGTTCTCGATGATGTGACGCACGAAGCCAAAGTCGGTGTCGGAAGCCGAGGGGAAGGCGACTTCGATCTCCTTGAAACCGACTTGGACGAGCTTCTGGTAGAACTTGAGCTTCTGTTCACCGGACATGGGGTTGATGAGAGCCTGGTTGCCATCTCGAAGATCGACCGAGGTCCAGATGGGAGACTTGTGCTGGGTCTTTGTGGGCCATGTTCGATTGGGGAGGTCGATAGGCTTGTAGGGTTTGTACTTGTCGCCTGGGATCATGGGCGCCATGGTGAAGGAGAAAATGTGGCAGCGATGCCGAGTGCCAGGACGGTGGTGTAGAAAGATGCTGAGTCGAGAGTCGAGTGGTGCTTGGCTTGGTGTAGCGATGGGCGCGGAGCGAAGCGAAAGATCGTTGATGAAGGCAAGAAGAAAGGCAAGAAGAAGTGCCTGACAAACGTCATGAAGTGTCCGCTTGAAACAAGACCAATCGAGCCGGTTCGCTGCGGTCCCCTGCGGTAGAAACGCACTCTCAGCATTGGCTCGCCTGTCATGTGAACAAGCAACGAAAACAATTTTTCGTTAAATTAAAAACCGGTTCACCTGGTCCGTGACTCGATGCTGCAATTCTGCAATCCTTCGAGAAGAAAGAGCGTTAATTTGTCACTGCGATGCAACGTAGAAAAGATTGGCGCGGAAGATTCGAGCTGTACAGTTCTGAAGGTCTAACACGGCGCTCTTTTATTCGTTCAGGGTCCAATGGAAGAAGCGACCGCCAAAACCTTCCTTCCTTCTTGGCTTGGCTCTCAACCATGTCACTCGACATCAACGATGGTAGGCGCAACATCTGCACAGATCAGCTCGGCTGAGGGCATCAACTCGCTGCGGAATGCATCTCTCGCCTCCACCCATACACCACGACCTTGTCTACACTCAACGCTCAATGCAGAAGCTCGTGGCCGAAACGCTTCATCCTCGCAACCGCCGAAGTCCGGCGACAAAGCTAGCCTCCAAGTGCCATCGGATTGGCCGGACAATGTAGTCTACATCACGCAGAACCTGGTCGCTCCCTCAGTGCCCGACTCGATAGCTCAGCAATACGTTCTGCCACCTTGTTTCTCCTCGAACAGCGAAAGCATTGCAGGCTCGAGCACGCCCGCTTCCGTCCCACAAGCAACGCACAACGACGGACGTCCCGACACACTCTATACAACATCGATACAGCAGGAAATCTCACTTGCCATACGTCCCATCGATGAGCTCACTCCTTGGTGTGCAGATTCTTATCACTCCACCAGCCGCAACTTGACGTGTCATCCTGCTGCGGGATCGCACGGTCTCTTTGCCGCACAAGAGATTTCACCGGATACGTTCATCAGACCCTACCTCGGCGTACTTCACACAAAGACGGATGCAGATTTCCATTCGACCTACGACTTGAGCCTTTGTCACGACCCAAGGCTTTCTACCCCACCGTCGGATAGCTCCGAAGATGTGACCAAGCAGATTCAGGCTCTGTCTCTAGAGGAAAAGCGAGGAGACGAGCATGACGCAACCGCCCTCTACCTCGACAGCCGCTATTGGGGCAACGAATCACGTTTCGTCAACGACTACCGTGGTATCGCCCTCAAACCCAACGTCGAGTTCCGATCTTTCAGCCAACTGCAAGACGGTGTCGAGCGATTTCAGATGGGTCTGTTTACCACCAGATTGGTTCGAAAGGGCCAAGAACTGCTCATCAACTACGGCAAGAGCTTTTGGGTTCACCATGACCAACTCCAGGCTGAAAAGGCGACCAAGGAAGTGTCCGCTTCAGTACCAGTCAAACAACCTGCAGCCAAGGCCAAATCTCTCGATCCCATTCAGGCCATGTTGCAACGAAGTCGACTGCGTGTCTCCAAGACTGCTCCCTCCAATCCACGACCACCTCATCAACCCAACACACGCTCATAGATTTGCACTCCCAGACTCAACTTGTACCACTAGCATTAATCTGTATTTACAACCTCACCAACACCCCCTTCAACGACGCTGCTTGCGACTCTTATCACCCTTGCCCGTGTACGATACATTCTCGCTGTTCTTCGCCTTCTTACCCGCAACCTCGCTCAACGGCACGTACGCGTACGGACTCTTTCCGTTGCGAATCACATCACCGCCACCGCGCTTCGCCCGGAACTCTTTACCGATCGTCTCCTTGACGCGCTTCTTTCGGTCCGACGGTGCGGCCGCCTGTTTGCCGCTCTGCACCTGTCGCGCTCGATCCTGCGCCTCTTCCACCGCCATCTGCTCCAGCTCCATCTCGCGTTCGGCTTCGCGCGTTCGCTTGTTGTTCTTGTTGAACTTGACCGCTCCGCCGCGTACCTGGGCCATGCCGTCGACGCCGCGCGCTTGGTTGATGTACGCTGTGCCCGCGCCGTCCACGTCGACGGGCGCAGAGTCGGCTCCACTGGTCGCAAACGAGACTCGCTTCGAATTGGCGGCGGATGGCTTGCCAGAGGGGGCGTCGTCGTCGTCGATGAGCATGCGTCCGGTCTCCTCGTCCAGCGCAAACTTGCTCGCCTCTTGTCCAGGTTGTCGCTTCTTGTTGCGGCCGTTGGCGCCGTTCTTGGCGTTCGGGTTGGTCAAAGAGATGCGCGCTGTGGCGCTGCGATCCAGCAGATCCATGGGCACGTCGTCGTCATCGTCCATCTCGATGTAGGCCTCGTCTTGCTGCTTGGCGCGACGACGGTTGCCTCGGCCGCCTTTCTCCTCACCATCGCCGCCATTCTTGCGGTTGCGGTTGCGAGCCAGAGCAGCTGCTGTGCCTCCCTTGCGTCCGTCGGCGGCGGCGGCGCCATCGTCGTCGTCGTCACCGTCCTCGTCCGAGTCCGAGATGTCCGACTCGGATCCGTACACCACCTCCTCGAACGCATCGTTGCCGCCCTTGGTCTTGAGAATGCGAGGCGCAAGTCCTGGCTCGTCATCGTCCTCCGGAACGCCAGCCTCGCGCTCGGCAGCAGCATCGGCCCTCTTGCGCTTGGCTCGCTCCTTACGCTTGCGGATGTTGTTGATCAGCTTGCGGTTGTCCTCGTCCGTGAGTTGGTAGATGCGCTCGAATCCGAAGCGACGCAGCAGACGCTCAAAGATGTGACGAACCTTGACCTTGAAATGCTGCTTGTGCTCGGTAGACCATCCGAGCAGCGCAGGGATGAGCTTGGGCAGGTGCGCGTCGATCAGCGCCGTGTTGAAATCGACGATCGCCACCTTGACAAAGCCGATGGCCGACTTGACAATCTCGCGGTTGGCCGATTGGAGATACACCTCGATGGTGCTGAGCAGCTCGTCGAGCACTTCGCGTTCCAGCGTCTCCTTGAACTCGTACACCAGCCTCGAGAGGGCGGTGATGGTGGCGCTGATCATGTGCGGCGTAGTGCCGGCGAGACCGGCAGCGACCATGGTGAGGTACTCGCCAATCGAAGCCGAAACGACTCCGGCGTCGGCCATCTCGCTATCGTCTTCGTCTTCGCCATCAGCGGCGGCGGCGGCAGCAGCAGCAGCGTGGCCGTCGACGAGTTGACGGTTGATGACGCCGCCCTGCTCCATCTTGTTGCCCATCTGGACGAGCAGCTCGTACGCGTTCTGTCGCGTCAGCGCGTTGACCTCCTTGGTGGCGAGCACGGCTTCGGGGATGATGCTGGGCAAGTGGTGAAGCTCGTCCGAGGGGATGTTGGGCACGAGCGTGGCAAGAAGCAGGACGCGGTCGCGCTTGGCGCCGAGGGCAACGCTGGCCGTCGAGTCGCGCAGCTTCTCGAGCAATTCACCGACACGATTGGCGGCCTTGCCGTCGCCAGACACGAGCAAAATCTGCTTGCCAGCGTCACCTTCCAGCAAGCGACTGAGGATACGGTAGCTCTTCTTCTGCACGGTCGAATCGTGCGAGCGCAGCACGTTGTCCTGGCAGATGAGCGCAAACAAGTCGGAGGCCGAGCCCTGGGCACTCTTGTCGAGGTGGGGGATGAGCGCAGAGAGCAGGTCGAGCATGGTGTAGGGCACAGGCGGAGGTGCGTTGAGGCTCTCCTTCTGGTTGCGCTTCTGCTTGGTGGAGAGGGTGGGCAGCGCCTGCTCGAGCGTCGTCTTGACTTTGACGTAGGTGTTTTGCACATCCTGTGGCGACATGACGCGCAGGTACGCGGCGATCGTGTCGTACACAAAGCCACGGCCTTCTCCTGGCGATTGCGAAAAGACGTTGAAGAGCACGGCGAGTAGGTTGGGGGCGATGGCCGAGAGGTGGGCGATGTTGGCCTTGCCGTCAGCCTGGTCGAGGCCGAAGGCGTGCTTGAGCGAGTCGGAAGGTGCGCCGGACGAGACGAGCGCCTCGTTGCGGTAGACGAGAGCCTGGAGACCGCGGCAGATCGAGGGACGCAGGTTGGATTGCGTATACAGCACATTGGTGAGCAGCTCGGCGAATTGTCGGGTGAAGGCGGAGATGAGGTCGCGAGGCATGGCGCAATACGCGGGGAACAGCGCCCAGATCTGCTCGGTGAGCGCCTCGTACATCTTTGCCTCGACGGGACGTCCATCGGTTTCCGCCTCTTGTCGTTTGTAGAAGATCTTTTCCGAGAGCGCGACGAGATCGCCGGTAAAGTGGCTGAGCTCGGTGTTGTTGATCTTGGTACGGATGAGCGGCAGGAGCCAAGCTCGGCCGGGGCCGTCGGCCTCGCCAAAGAGGTTGAGCGGCAGCGCTTCGAGGAGCAGACGCGGGCCGCAGACCTCGACGGCGGTGGCGATGACCGTGTCAGCGTACTCGCGATGCTCAAAAGTAGGCTCCTGGCGCAGCTGTGCAATGGTCTGCACGATGTGCATGGTGAGCGAAGCGGCGGCGGGGTGAGGAGGCTGCGTCTTGGGCACGGTGTGGTATCGCAAGCGTGCGATGAGCGAGGCGAGCACAGAGAGGATCTCGGCGCGCGAGTGCATGTATTGGAGCGAGTCCTTACCGAGCGCGTCTTCGATCGACTGGATCATGTCGAGGAGGGGAGCGTTGGCGGCCTTCTTCTTGGCAAAGGACGCCTTGAGCGCATCGGCGACGGCAGCGTCGGGCACGCAGTAGCGCAGGAGCGCGATCAGAGTGTCTCGACCCGCGGAGCGCACAGCAGGGGCGGTGCGCGAAGCATCCGACTTGGCCGACAGGGAGAGTGCAAAGACGTCGTTCCACACCTGCGGAGCGAGACGCCAAGCAGGCGCGCCTTGTTCGAAACGAGAGTAGGCCGACATGGCGTGCTCGAGCGCGCGAAGGTAGGCAGGCAGCAGCTGAACGTCGGCGCTGGATGGCACAAAGGCAGGCGAACGAAGCGACTCCAGCAGGCTGGCGAGCGTCTTTTCTCCGATGCTGCTGGGAGTCGAGGTGACGTGCGACTGGATCAGGAGAGCATCCGCTTGCGCGACGCCGGACGAGATGCTGGGTCGGCAAGTCTTGAGGAAAGCCTCAAAGACGTCGAAAGCGGCTACAGTTAAGAAGGGATTCTGAATGCCTGGTAAGCGGAGCAACGCAGCGACGAGGTCGTCGACCTGGGCGATGGGGAGGATGTTGATGGTCTGCTTGGCAAAGCCGCACACCCAGATGCCGACGGAAGCGGTGTCGCCCTGGTTCTGTCGGAGCGCGGCGGCGGCCTGCGCCTGCTTGGCAGTGCCGGACTTCTTGTCGTATTTGGGGTGAAGCGGGTCATCCTTCTTCTTCTTGTGCTTGTCCTTGAAGGCGGTCGAGGCAGAGACAGAGCCAGCATCGGCGACATGGGTCAAGGTGGAGATGACCCAGTCAAAGGTGATCTTGAGGTAAGGGTGATACGGCTTGACGGATGCGGCTGCTGTGGTGGGAAGGATGGTGGTAACGAGGAGCTGTGCACGTCTTCGAACTTTGGGGCGGGAATCGGCGCAGAGGTTGAGGGCAGCTGCCCAGCATGAGCGCAACGGACCGTCCTTTTCGAGCATGGATACGTCTGCCTCGAAGGCAGTGTAGATGGCCTGAAGGATGGCGAGCGCCGATTTGAGCGCCGAAGCGTAGTTTTCTGCGGCCGAGGTGTCGTTGACGTTGAAGGTGGACGGGTGCGGCGAGCTGAGCAGCTTGCCGACGGCGGGTACGATAGTGCTCAGCTTTGCACGGGTAATACCTGAGGATACGTTGGGCGCGACGATGGACAAGAGGTAGAGAACGTTGTTGAGGAGCGAGGGAGGCGACGAGGGCGATCTGGCGAGTTCGAGCATCGACTCTAGAGCGAGAAAGTACTCTGCTGGTGCACGCTGTACGAAAGCATGCTGAGATGTGGCTGCGCCCGATGTGGATGTCGAGCCTTTGTTCGCATCTTGCTCGCTGAGCGTTGCTTCTACGGCGACGAGAAGCTGAGCAGGGCCCTTTTGATTCTCGAGTTTCGAGTTGGTGTGGTGGCGGATCTTGGAGAGCGCGCTGTGCAGGCTGTCGAGGCTAGCGGCGGCGGCACCTGCCGAAGCATCCATATCGAGGGAGGCCATTTTGAGTCAGCAAGTGATGCCGTGACCTGCGGTGATGGTATCGATGGCGCGGACGGTGACCGATTAGAGGGTGTCAGGCGCAGGAAAAAGGGACCGCTCTGGTGGAGCAGACTGTGCTCGACAAGCACGGGCTGTGTTGATCCTTATCGCCTTCAGGGCCAATAGCACTCTCTTCAACAGTGTCGGGTGGTCCGTTACAGTTCGGAGAGGTGTGCAGAGGATGAGAGAGGAGAGAAATAGGAGGAGGAGGTCGCCAGAATAGAAGGAAAGCTGAATAGCTGAGCAGACGGTGCTTTGCTGCTGCACTTTTTTTTTCAGCTCCCCGCCAGTCTTCTACGGTGGAAAGCATAAATTTGGCAAGCGTGGGTGGAGCTTCTTCGAGCATTTCTTCGCAAAAAAATTCCGAGCCGGACCCTTGAGTTGTGAGCTGACAGCCGCTTATGTAAGAGCTTAGCTCGAGAAGTTCAAAAGATAGCCGCTGTCGAGTTGGGAGCGGATCGACGTCAACGTGCTTCGTCCAGCTCGTTACCGTGCACAGCGCTTCATTCTTCGACATCGGTTCATCTCGCGCATCTTCGCCTTTCCTTCCTACTTCACCGTCGATGCGATCCAGGTCTCTCTCGCTAGCCCTTCATACTCCCATCTTCCATCGCTGTCTCATCACTCGTAGCTCGAAGCTAGCTGCACAACCTTGCATCCATCCCCAACGTCTTTGCGCTCATCCCACCTTTTCGGTCTTACGATCGAGTTCTCGCAACATGGCTCCCACCACCTCTGCCAGCGCCGCTCACGCTGCCAATTCCAACTCGTCCGCCTTCAAGAGCACAGAGCTTCCTCACTTGTCCGGTGTCGAGGCCGCTAAGCGTGCAGCTGCCTACGCTGCCGTCGACAACCACGTCAAGCCACAGCACGAGATCATCGGTATCGGCTCCGGTTCCACCGTCCCTTACGTCGTCGAGCGCATCGCACAGCAGGGTGCCGACGTCAATGCGAAGCGTTGGTTCGTGCCCACCGGTTTCCAGTCGCGCGAGCTCATCATCAACGCAGGCCTCCGTCTCGGCGATGTCGACAGCTTCCCCAGCATCGACGTCACCATCGACGGCGCCGACGAGGTCGACAACGCTCTCAACTGCATCAAGGGTGGCGGAGCTTGCCACCTCCGCGAAAAGGTGCTCGCAGAAGCCGCCAACGAATTCGTCGTCGTGGCTGACTACCGCAAGAACGGCTCTCAGCTCGGCACCAAATGGTTGCAAGGTGTCCCTATCGAGGTCGCTCCCTTCGCCTATGCCAAGGTGTTGCAAAACTTGAACAAGATGGGTGCGCAAAAGCCCGTGTTGCGAATGGGCAAGGCCAAAGCCGGTCCCGTCGTCACCGACAATGGCAACTTTTGCATCGACGCCCCTTTCCCTGAAGCACAGATGAAAGATCCCTCCGACTTGCTCATGCGCATCAAGCTGCTCACAGGTGTCCTAGAGGTCGGTCTCTTTTGCAACATTTGCAGGTCCGCCTACTTTGGCAACGAGGACGGCACTATCACTATCAAGACCGCCGACGGCAAGGTGCAAGAGGGAGTGAACTTTGATGTCACCAAGCCTCCCGCGACGGCATGAGCTGCACAATTTCGAGTCTAAATCCCCATTGTATGCCAATAGTGTTTGTTCCGCCCACCAATTTCATCATCATGATAGCCAGCGATGATAGCCAGCGAGGCACCAATGCCATCCGGACCTCCGCCTGTCGAAACATGACCATTCTCGGAGAATTTTCGATGGCGACCACGGCGCGGCTTTGATCCTCGTAAAGTGGTGCTCGAAGCTTTCCACGTCCGTCGTCAACGTCGCCGCCACCAGCGACGTGTCAGTCGTCGCATTATCCATCTCGGGGCGTCCTTCCGAAGCACACAGTCCATGATTGGCGCGGGAACGTGCGAGTCTAACCATCCCTGCACCGTGCGATTGCAATCAAGCCACATCAGGACAGCTGAACATGTGACCATTGCACACTGCCAATCAGATCGTCGCACAATGCTCCAACCAAAATCATGATGTGGCCCAGCAATGCACATATGCAGGATCTCGCACGGCAACAATAGCGTCGACGCACGTCGCTAGTGCTAGTAGATGGTTGGACCCCCAAAGGTATCTCCGAAGGCTCGTGCCCCTCTTATGCTGTCCGACAGTGCGTTCGCTTGTTTCGAAATCTTGAGCTCGGTCGAGGGCTTGGACCTCCGGCTTCTCGGATGGTGCACTTGCGATGCATACGTGCACATGGTCCCGGCCATCTCGGGAGATCGCAGCTATCTTTGTGATGGATTCGTTCTGCATCTCTGGAATTCTTGTTTTCAGAACCGATTCGGCTACGCCTACTTTGGATCGAAGTTAGTTCCAAGGCTCACCGCCCGACTACTATCTGCTCTGACTCTCTGCGAGAAGAGTGAAGCATTGAAGCTCGGGTCTTTCACGAGTCGGCTTTCGATCTCCTTCGAGCCATCTCAAAAGCAGCATAAACGCTTTGTTGAACATAGGCGAGGCCTCGTCAACAGCCTTCGCCCCTTCGTCCCGTTCCTGTCCTTCTCCGCACCATTTCGCTTCGTCTTTTTGGCTTCGACACCTCTTGGACACAATGGAGTTCAACTCTACCGCCAGCCTCGACATGCCGAGTGCTGCATTGAGCCTGGTGCATCCCATCAGCCCTCGTAGCATGCAATTCCTGCATCGCGGTCAGACCGAAGCGCAGGTCATCGACATCCTTTTCAAGGTCATCTACGTACCCGAGACGACTGGACATCGCGTGTGGCTGCTCATCAGTCAGTTCGAGTGCCTCTTGGCTATTGGCATCAGTTTCATCCTGCTCATCAGGAAGAAAGCGTTCGGCAACCTTTGGCTCTTGAACAGGAGGGACTCGCCTTTTGGCTCGTTCTACGTGACCAACGCAGTTTTCTGTTTGGTGCTCGGCGTGGCGGGGTATCTGTTCGCGTGGGTTGTGACGGCCATCGTGATCGCTACATTTTCGTTTGTCAAGATCCCCTCGTATGCGTGGTGGTGGACCATTCCACTGCCGTTTGCACCTCTCATTCTTGGTGCCGAGCTGGGACTGCACGGCTTCATCTTGGGTTGCAGCCCTAGATCGCCGTTGTCTCCGTTTAGCGCTGCGCACCGCAACAAGTGGAATTATCTTCCGGTGATCAAGAATGCCTTGATCGCTAACGCGGCGCTCTTTGTAACACCGGTCGTCTTTGTTGTCACCACATGCGTCCTCTCTGGCTTTGCCGGTCATGCCTATTTTCACGCCAAACATCTGGCTAGAGAAATCCTCCCTGCCGACATTGTCAGCGCCATCGTGGCAGCGAGTCATCATCGTCTCGACGACCCAGCTTTTAGAGCAACCCAGGCCTCGGATCAACTCATCTGGGCCTCGCGTCGAGTAGCAGCCGCTTACTTTGAATCGCATCGATACGTCTGCATCAATCTGATCGTATCCACCATCGCCGCGTTCGGCATCTGGGTGCCTTGCTGCATCTACGGCCTCCCCAACAGCTCCAGTCTGGTCAACTACGCATGCTCCCGCTGTCCGACTCGACCTCCTTCTTCGTACGGCTACTTCCGCAAATCCTGGTGGTTGGTCACCAAGGGTCGGCCCACCGAAGAGACCAACAACAGCACCAACGATCTCACCTTGAACATTTGGAAGATGACGCTGTTCGCTCAGGGCTACATCTGGCTGATCGCCGTTGCCGCTCCTGGATTCGGTATGGTGCCGATCTACATCGTCGCCAATTCCTTTCCCAAGCAGGTCAAGCGTGGAAACATCAGCTCAACGCTTCGTGACTCGATCATCATCGTCAGCTGCATCATCTTCATGACGTGCGTGTTTTACATCTTCTTTTGCAGGATCATCTCTATAGAGCCCCTCTTCCGGTCGGCTATCGGCGTCAATCTGATTCGCAGTCAGGTTCCGATCGAGATCAAGCGTGTCGAGCGCGAGACATACCGCGATGGGGGCAGGAAAAATGGCAATGCTCCACCGTGCATGATCGTCGTTGAGGACGTCGATTTGGAGGCGGAGGATGAAGGGGATGGGACGAAGAGGAAATCGTATCGTAGTTCTCTTGGGAGCTCTGCGTTGCGAGTGGAGATCGATAAGACTCGGAGGTGTGTTCGAGCAAAAACGGTTCTCCAACGGTAGATTGTTTCGAACGTGGTCGAAGCTTGGGATTCAATCTCAAGGAGGAGGACGGGTTGCTGTGACGGACCTCCTGATGGCACTGGGAACCGAATCCGTCTTTTACAACACTCTTTCCGCCGCTCCAATCTTATCCGTATGTTTCCCATGTGTAACAGTTTCACTCTCTTGCTCGTAATCACAATCTTTGCCTAACGCTCGATCGGCGTCCCTTGAACACGATGTAAAGTAAGCCACCACGCTTCGTCAGCACGTGTGTCGACTAACAAGGCCAGATCTCCACAAAACAATCCAGCACATCTTCCACAAACCTCGCCGGCACCTCCAACGCAGCAAAGTGACCTCCCTCTTCGTGCCTCCTGTACCACTTGAGATTGACGCTGGCCTGAACAAAGCTTTTCGGGGCCTGGATGATTTCCTCCGGGAAACTGGAGAATCCGGTCGGTTGGTGGATGTAGTTGTTTGGATCGCTGGCGATCTCCGATGGTCCGCGGGGATCGCGGTTTCGGTAGGGGTAGAAGGAGCCTGCGATGGTGTCGGTGAGCTCGTACAGCGTGAGGTTGGTGAGGATCACCGAGTGGGTCGGGGGTTGGTCTGTCCAGGCGTACATCTTTTCGGCGATCCAGGCGAGGGTGGAGAGGGGTGATCGGGAGAGCACGAGGCCGAGGGTGGATGGTTTGGTCGCGTGCATCGCGGCGTAGGCACTTCCCGTGGATGCGAACTCGATACCGCGGAGAAGGGATTCTCGTTCCTCGCTCGAGAGTGGTGGCGGGATCGATCCGAGCGAGAGCTTCGAGAAAGACTTCCACCCGATCTCGGTAGCCGCTTCTGCTGCTTGACCGATCAACCACCCCATCCCGCAGAACGACCTCGACTTCTTGCCAGAAGTGTACTCCTCGAACATCCCCAAAGCGCGTTTTGAGTATCGCAGTTTCGACACCGAGTGAGGCAGTCTCAAAACCCACTTTGGCGTCAACTCCCTTCCCAACACCGGTAGAACCAGATTCGGACCTTGACTAGGGCAAAAGTTCAAATGTACCGCCCTGACGTTCTGCGGAAACTGGATCGCCATACTCCTCAGTACGGCGGCACCCCAATCTCCCGCCTGCACCGCGTAGTTCCTGTATCCCAGCGTCAACATCAACTTGTGCATCATCCTCGCCACGTCCTTCACCAACAGATCGCCATCCGGACCCGAATGGCTGCCCACGACCCTGCCGCTCCTCGAATCCCTCGCCAACCCGTTCGCACCGCCCGAAAAGATGTACCCAGGATGCGACGGTACCACGACATCAAAGTGCACCGGCGTCAGGTTGCCCGGATGCGCCAGCGGCTTGATGACATCCAGAAACTCGTGGAACGATCCCGGCCATCCGTGCAGCAGCAGGAGCGGGATCACCTTGGTGTTGAACCCGACGGTTGGCGGGTTGGCACGCTCGTGGATGAAATGAAAATCGACGTCCTCGATGAGCACTTTGTAGTGGTCGAAGGAGGAGATGCGGGCTTGTTCGGCGAGCCAGGTGTCGTGGTCGGGTCCGGAGCGGGTCGGGTATCGGATGGAGATGGATTCGTCGAGTTCGGTGGCAGGTGTGGAAGGGTGCGAGTGGAGGAAGGGGACCCAGGCGTCTCGGAGAGCGACGAAGCGGTCGTGGGTCAGTCCGAGGTGAGGGTGGTCGCCTTCGAAGGTGGCTTTGGATGGAAGGGGACGCTGACAGTCCTGCTCGATTCGGTCTATGAGGTCTTGAATACGTTCGTGGGGGATGGTAGGATCGAACCCTCGAATGACGAAGGACTGAGTGCTGGATCCGACGAGCTTGTCGTAGCGTGGATCTCGCGACGGCAACTTTTCGCTGGTCGATTCGACGCTGACACCGTTGGCTTGAGACCGGTGGGGTCGTAGTCCATGCTCACCGCCTCGATACACGGAATTGACGGATGGTTTCTCGCCGAAGAGGTCCCAGAACTCGTGTCCTTCCAAAGCGCGCTCGAGGTAGCGAGGCAGATTCTGACCCGGTGACTCGGCGATGGGACGGGGCAACGTATCGACCTTGTTCTCATTCATCAGCTCTCTGACCCATCGCTGAGCCGTCTCTGGACTGTCGTCCGGGTGTTCCGGCAGCGCCGGTCGAAGGAAGCGGAAAAGCTGCCACCAATCATACACCTTTGTATCCGACACGATCCAACGACGGCCCCAGCCTGCACGGTTGCTATTGTGGAGCAGCAGAATGGCTCTTGCGACATCTTGACCGTGGACAAAGTGAACGCTGCCCTTCATGGAAAGCAGCTCCTTGGACGCTCCTACGCGTGAAGCAAAGTTCCTGGGTTGTCGCTGGTCACCATACAGACCGGCGAGGTTCAGCACAGCTGCTGCGCCTGCCTGCTTCGATGCGGAGAGGGAGGTGATATCGAGCAGACGTTGTTCAGCCGCAGCTCTGGCATTGGTGGTGTCGAAGGGAGACGAGGAGGAGCTCCTTCCTGGACCCCAGATGCCTGTGCTTCCGAGCTGAACCCATCGGGTGGGACCGTGCAAGTCTTGGTATTCGTTGACGAGGTCATCTACCTGCTGGAGATTCTTGATGGGAAAGATGATGACGACGGTGGATGCTCGAGGAAGTGGCTCGAGGGACTCCCTGGTGACGGGATCGGTGAGCTCGAACTGGATTTTGTGGTCGTCGTGGGGCTGCTTCTCGTCCGGTGGAGAGCGCGATGTGTAGGCGTAGGTGAGGCGTGTGTGTTTGAGAAGAGGTATCAGGAAGGACCCGGTCCACCCGGAGCCCAGCAGTAGCACGTCGACCGAGTCTTGCGTGCCCATCATGTTGCCCTTTATGAGAAGTTTCTATGAGATGGAAGTCAGAATGGTTGGATGGAGGAAGATGTCAAGGCAACGATTGCGGGGAAAGCGTGTGAAACGCGGAAACAGATGACGCACCGACGAGGAAAAAGTGCGGAATACTGTAGTCCTCCACTTTGTAACAAAGGAGTAGAATGTTACACCTTCTTTCAGAACACATCACCTTATTTCATCTCACGTTAGACCCTTAGACCGTACCACGCTGCTCCTGCTCCAAGGTTCGAGCTGACGAGTGACGGACAGAAAACAGATTGTCGTGCGGACAGGATGGACGAGCGAATGCGGAAACCAGCAAATCAGAAGGCAGACCGGGCTTCAGCTGCGCGGGTCGGCTTTGCTGTGCGCAGAGAGACCTTGGACACATGCCAGGCAAGCCAGGATCACAGTCAGGATGCCCATGTGCTTCTCCATGTGCTTCCAGGGGTGTGGGCGATGCGTGGGTGTGAACCGAGGATTCGGTCCAGACCTGTCTCATTGGCTTGCTCCAATTCCGCATGCAATCGTGATTCTCGCCTGATTTTGTCGCCTCCTTTTTTGGAAACAAAAGAAAACAAGCCGTTGTCTCGTTTGCCTGTCTGTCTGTGTTGAGACACAAGCTTGGCTCGTCAAGGTGACGAATCCTGAAAGCATCTCGGTCAAGTTTGGCAAAGTAGTTCCAATGACGATGACGACGGTCAGGGCTTTCGACAATCGGCGGTGAGGTCACTGCGTCTGCTACCGAAAGCGGGCAATTGTTGTTTGGTGACGTGAAGCAGATAGTGTGCCGATCCCTCAGTAGCAGGGCGTAACAATGGGGAATCTCGATTCGCTCAGTGCAGTGCAGAGAGCTCGATGTGCTCATTGTGACCCGCCTCGGATGCAGGCAAGTGCAGGGTGACGATCATGCAAAACGCCCTGATTGATGACGGATCGACGTGCGGCGTGAGAAAAAGGTTTTGCTTGCCGAATCCGTTTCGCGGCCTAGGCGACGCGGCTGAGAGGTGTGCTGGGATGATGGGATCTGCAATGCGCTCTTCCCGCTTGCGATCCCGCTCGTGATCCCGAAGGCCGGGGCGCGCACACGATTCTCGCCCCGTCGTCACCTGCCGCAAACACCGAAAGAGAAAAGGGGCTTTCCTGGCTAATTCAGGCAAGTTTTGATTTTGGAAATTAAAAATGGCGAGATGCGGGTTGGCTGCTTGCTGCTGCGTTGCTTCCTTAGCTGCCGCTGCCCTGATTCAGCCCCGTCTCGCGAAACTGCGCTTCCACCAAAAAAGACAGCTGTACAACTGCACAACTGAAAGTGTTGGTCTTTTTTTATCCACACTCAATCCTGAACGGCCGACAGCAAAATACACATCGGAGCATGATCCGCTTGCGTAGCTCACTCTGTTCTCACCAAGCAATCCTCCGACTACGACACCATCTCGTGTCGCGATAGCCATCTCTCACAACTCCGCATCGCATCTAGGTCTCATCGCGCCCAATTCAAGCTCCTTCGAGTCTAGATCGCTCGGAATCCGACCCGCACACGCACACGCATCCGCAATTGTGCACTTTTCGATCCACACTTTGAGACAGTCTCCAACGTATATACCACTGCTGCTCCTCCAACCAGTGGCAACTCTCTCCCTCTCGATCACTTTCACTACCGCATCCCCTCCGGTCATCGTATGTCGACACCACGTCCCGAGCATGCACACATGATTCAGCCTCAGCCAAGCCATCGCGCATTCGAGCCATGATCAAGTCGTCCGAGCTCGATCCTTCGCCAGTCGCTGCGGCAGGCCTTGGTGTCGCTGGCCTTAATTTCGACTTTGGCGCTTCGACGTCAAGCTTGGCTTCGCCGTCCATCGGCACCACAAAGGCGCCACGATGGGGTACCATACGTCAACGTTTCAGCAGCATCCAATCGCGCGACAGCGCCTCTCATCCCGAGGACAGCATCGACGATGGCATGTGGGATAAGAACGATGCCGCCTTCCTCCAAGACGTCGCTCGCGATTCGCCCCTTCTTCTCGAGTCACCCGTCATCTCCAACATCGACGGCTCAGCATCTCGCACCTCGCTCTCCTCGTCGCGTCCCGGCAGCTTCATGCACACGATCGATGCTGCGTCTGCCTTTGCCACACCGCTCGCCTCGTACGAACCGCTGCCACCTCAGTCGGCTTTCTCCTCCACCTCTAATCGACCATGGACGCGCTCTATGCGCAAAACGCCCTCGACCACCGTGCTCCCAGACCTTCCCGAGCAGAGACGCATCGACGATGCCCTCGTCTATCCGCGCCCCTCCACCTCCTCCTCTACGCTCGCTTCCACGGCGACTCATCTTGTCTCGTCCAGGGCATCTTCGACGTCCTTAGTTGGCGCACATGGATTCGGCAATGCACACGTGCGCCAATCTACTGGCGGTAGCTACAGTGCGCACTCGAGCGTCGGCTCAAGTCCCATGCTCACTCCCAATTTCCACGCTGGAAGCGACTCGCCTCGATCAGCTGGAATCCAGGACCAATACCCACGCTCGCCCTCGCTTCACAGCTCTTCTTCCTTTCCAGCTTCTGGCTTTGTCTTTCGCTCGTTCGACGATCGTACTACGAGCCCCCGTGCTCGTCAACGAACCAGCTCTTCCAACTCTACCGCCGGCTTCAATGCTGCCACCGGCTCAGCTTGGACTCCCTCCTTGTCGACATTCGATCGTCGCACCAGCCGCGCACAGGCTGGCAGCCCGCTCGCTCCTGCAATCTCGTCCCCTTCTTCGCGCATTTCCAGCCCAGAGTTGTTCGGAGAAAACCAATTTGGAACCGCATCTCCCATCCTGGCACAGATGACAGCTGAGAATGGCGTTGCAACAAGCGATCGGAATCGACACTCAATCGCCCGTGTGCTCGACTCGCCGATGATCGCTTCTTCTACCGCTCATGCCGCGCAGTCTACAACCAGCTCTGCACAGCAACCTCATCGCCAAGGCGTTCAAAGCGCCGCAGGCACAGCTGCATCGCCTGTCACCGACACTAATGTCTCATCGATCGCGTCCGGCTCGGTCCCTCGCAAACACGCCAAGAACAGGAGCAGTCTGGTCTCGGGTCTGCGCAAGCTCATGAACAAGCGCGAAAGGGATTCCAAGATATATGTTGGTGCCAATGATGCCTCACTACCTCCACTTTTGCCGTTCCCGTCCGCGAATATCGAGTCACACCTTCCAGGCCTGGCTGCTGGCGCGGTCGAGTCGGACAACATTGCCGAAAGCTCGCATATTGCTCCAGAAGCGCCTTTGGACGCGTCGCCCAGGATGGCACGCAAATCCCCGTCTCTTGACCTCTTGCGAGGCTTTGCCTCTCCCAATCGGAATTCAAGGATCGTGGCCTCCGCCTCGGATCGAGCGCGTCCTATCGCGCCCATCGCGCCTCCCTCGCCGCGCTCGCGAGCCAAGAGCATTGATGGTGGCAGGCGGCCACTGCGCGATGTGCTGACTTTGCGCTCTGCCTCCAACCAGCGCAATCGCAACAGCGTGATCGAGCACATTTCCCACGAGCAAGCTCGCAGGCTCACTGGCAACGCAGGTCCCCTGTTTCTGTCCACCGAGCAAGCCATCAAAGAGCACCGCGCGCTGTATGCCAATGCACCTGCTCCGGTCGGGCTCCCGAACCGCTCCGAGTTTGACATGTTCGACGATGCTTCGTCTTCGGACAAGGCAGCACACTCGATCCCGGTCCATCCGCATTTGCGTCGCGTTGAACACGACCAGGCTGATGATGTAGAGGGCGTCGAGATGCTCGCCACTCTGAGCAACAGCAGCAGTGTCGCAGGCGTGGCTTCTGGCGAGTTCGCAGCGAACGACGCCGCTGCGACATCGAGAGCGCCGTTCGGGTTCCAGTCGCAGACGTATAGGCCTTACTCGCGCGAATCGCATCGGTCAACACCTCACTCCAGCTCAGCTTCGTTTGAACGTTCAGCTACGGGCGATGGTGCTGTGTCGTTTCCGAAATCGCATCGTCCCGCTCTGTCTTTGGGCTCGCAAACAACGCTCGGCAGCATCCACGACGGTCAGACGTCCGACGCGTCTTCCAGTGGCCTTTCGATCCACATGCCTCCACCCGCGGGAGGAGCGAGCAGCAGGCGCGGTCATGCGAGCCGTCGATCGCTCAACAGCCTGGTGGGTAACAGGCCCTGGTCGAGCTTTTTGGGCTCGCCCGTGCTCAGCGGCAGCAACAGCTCACAGTCGCATTCCGGCAAGCGAGTATCGGGCGCGGTCATCTCGCGGCCCTTGTCGGTCACATCCTCCACGTTTTCGGGTCACTTTCAGGACGGTGTATTCAACGACAACGAGCAAGCCGATGCTGCCGATGTTACGTTGCGTGCTTCGGATTTGCATCGCATGGCAGCAGCAGCACGAGCACGAGCTGACCATCTGGATCGCCATCAGGGCGCATCGCGTCTTCGGCTCGACTCCGATTCTTCGGAACCGGCACCTCATGCGGCGGCAGTCGGAGCGACAAATTTTATCGAAAATTCCACGCACGGGCGCTCTTCGTGGCACTTTCCACGTCCACCCTCGGGCCCACTTGCACATCACCTTGCCCTTTCTCCACCACCAGTCGTCTCGACGTCGTCTGGCTCGTCACACCACTCTCACCAGTCCAATCCGCATTCGCAGCCTAAGTCACACTCGCAACACTCGCATCAGTCGTACCATTCCTTCACCAATTCCGGCGCGTCCACCACCACCGCGCCTCCGTCTGCATCGGTCTCCGACAACCACCTCGTCTCGGGCCCTGCACCTCCCGTCCTTTCGGGTCCACATCGTCCGCCAAAATCTGCCGCTCGCCAGAACAGCTCGCGCTCCCTTCGACGCCCTGCAACCGGTGACGGCTCCACATCGCCTCACCTCGCCAGCAGCGGCAGTTTCCAGTCGATTGGGCTCAGTGCACCTTCCATCTCTTCGCCGCTGATCCAGTCGTCATCACTCGAGAACCTCCAAGAAGGGCGTTTCACTGCCGCGCAGCCGCATTCCTCAGCAACGGCTCTTGGCTTTGCAACTGCTTCCCGTCCGTCGGGTGCAGGTCATCGGCTCACTGTCTCGGGCTCTTCGGTTTCGCGACGCAAGCGTCCTTCCTTCGGTCTTGCCATCGAACCCGCCGCCCACTCGGCCTTCGACAGCATCCCGAGCCCGATGCTTCGCACTCATCGCGTCTCGTCGGCGCTTCCAGAAGGTGTATCTCATCCACGACCCTTCTCTTCCTCCTCGGCATCAGCTGCTCGAACCACGCCTTCCGGCAGCTCGTCAGGTACTAGTCCGCCCGACTCGGCCCGCGTTTCTGCAGCTACGCTCTCATCGAGCCATCACTTTGACCACGAGAACGGCGTGGAGATCGAGACGCTCTTGGAAGGCAGTTCGAACAAGCAGCGCTATAGCGTGACGGATCCGCTTTCGGCGTCGGTACCAGCGCTGCAAGACGCCATGGCCGCTGTTTCTTTCAGGGACCCCGCCTCGAATCACCGCCATGAGGTGTCGGTGCCCATGGACGAAGGCGATTCTCCACGACAGCATTTGGAGGAAAGCTGGAGTCGCGTCACCGAGGGCTCTGAACCGATGTACGGTGAACGGCCTGCAGACATATTGGAGGACACATCGCGACGATACATGATCCACTCTCCCAATGAAGAGGAAGGACCCGCACTCGCCAACGCTTCCCCCATCTCGTCCTCGGGTCGTCTCAGCCAAGCATCCAAAGACATCGCCTTTGGCTCGATCGCAGGGATGGTGAGCAAGGTGTTCGAGCACCCCTTCGACCTCGTCAAGGTTCGATTGCAGACGCAATCCGCCGATCGACCTAGACGCTACGCGGGTGCGTTCGATTGCTTCAAGCAGACGTATCTGCAGGAAGGGGTTCGTGGGTTGTACCGGGGTCTGAGCATGCCCGTGATTGGAGCGACGATGGAGAACGCGTGTCTGTTCTTCACGTACAACCAGATCCAGTCGGCGATCCGATGGGTGAATGGGGAGGAGAGGAGCGGCAGGTCGGCAGCCAAGGAGGATGCGGAGAAGCCGTTGTCGATTCCGCAGCTGGCGATCGCGGCGGCGGGGGCTGGGATGGTGACGAGTGTGGTGTTGACGCCGATCGAGCTGATCAAGTGCAAGATGCAGGTGCAGATGATTACGAGGGAACAGCAGGCGCCGTCGGTGGCCGCGGCGGCGGAGAGGGGTGGTCCTGTTCAGGCAGCGCTGCAACAGTCACGATCGATCCACACGAGCGCGTTGCGAAATGCTGCTGCTTCGACAAGCTCGCGATCCCAAGCAATCAAGACGCTCGATGGACCGCTCGCGCTGCTGCGTCGAACCGTCGCCACCGACGGAATCCGCGGACTGTGGCTCGGACAGACGGGAACGCTGCTTCGCGAAACAGGTGGTGGAGTAGCCTGGTTCCTCGCATTCGAATCGTGCTCTCGCTACCTCATCTCGCGCAAGAAGCTCCTGCAGAAGCGAGACGACATCACCAAGAAGGACCTCTCGTCGCTCGAGCTCGTCGGAGCAGGTGCGCTGGCCGGGATCAGCTACAACGTGGTGCTCTTCCCCGCCGATTCGGTCAAGTCGACCATGCAGACGGAACAGGAGATGCGCGCAGTCAACCGCGTTCATGGCGAGAAGTGGAAGGGAACAGGATTCTTCGAGACGTTCAAGAACATCTACAGGACCAGGGGCGTCAGGGGGTTGTACGCCGGTTGCGGCGTGACCTGTTTGAGGAGTGCGCCGTCGAGTGCGATTATCTTTTTGATGTATAACAAGTTGGAGAGATTGAGCGACGAGTATGGACTATAGACTACACCCGGTGCATAGCATAGATTAGAGGATTTTGATTCAATGCAACAATGATACCTCGTAGTGGAGGATGGAGTGTGATTCGAGGGAGGGATTTAGTCGTCGTCGAAGTTGAAGCTGAGACCTTTGCCAGATTGAGCTTTGAGTTTCTTGGTCTGTGCTTGTTTGGCGCGGGGTTTGTCTTGTTGCTTGTGCTTTGGGTGGGGACGAGACTGACGGATGAGCTGTTTGACGTCGGCTAGTGGATCGGCGGTGCGTTTCTTTGAAGCGGTTTCGTCGAGGATGGGGATCAGAGAAGCATCGGTTTGCGCTTCATCTTGGACACCGATGGGCTTGCGCCGTTTCGCCTTCGCATCAGCACTGTTTGAGGATGCGATGTTCTGCGTTGGCCTCTTTGCCTCCTCTTGACTCGACCGTGTTGTGGCGGTGGCTGATTGTTTGAGCATCAACGCTTCGTCGTGGGATAGATGCTTGCCTTCTTTGAGGACGACGACCTGCGCACCGTTCATCTCGTCCTCGCTATCGAGTCCTTCGTCTTCTTGATTGTCGTCGCGCTTCCGCCTCTTTCCGCTTGAAGATGATGAGGAAGTGGAGGTGACAAGGCTGTCGAGTTCATCGCGGGGACGGTCAGTGGTGGTGTTGTAGCGTTCGCTGGTGGCGACTTGGGCTTTGAGCGCTTTGAGAAAGTTGGGGGTGGAGGGCGCGGTGTACTGCAGGGAGCGGGAGGAGAGATTTCCTTTGCGTGACATGGTCGAGCGATGGGGCGGAGTGAAAGCGGTAGCGTGCAGAGGGTGACAGATGGATGGTGGTTGTGTTGGGACGAACAAAGATGGACCCTGAGAAGAACGTGGTGATTGGCAGTGTGGAGGCTTTCGGTGTTTCTGCAACGTCTGTGCTCAGCCAAAACCATCCCACTTGGACCTTCTTCCTCGCCTTCATCCACATCATTCGCACAATGAACGCAACCCCACCATAGAATCCATTCGCAGACGACCCGCATCCCCGTCGCCTCGCCCAGACCGACAACCATGTCGTCCAACGCGTCCTCCTCTGCGACAACGAGCTGGTCGCTCCCACCCAACATCGATTCGATCTCATTCCGCAGCCCCTACCTTATCCCCCTCTACCTCCTGCTCCTCCTCTTCTCCCTTCAACAGCTCCCCTTCCTCCTCGAACTCCTCTTCGCTCCCCCCTCCCCTTCCTCCGCCACCACCAACGCATTCGTCGTACCCGCCATCACCCGCCACGCGCGCTTCCTACCCACCCCTTCGCGCCACGCCTTTCGCTACAACACGCTCTACCTCGCCCTCCGCCTCGACAAGCTCGAAACCCGCCTCCTCGATACGGGTCACGCCTTCGCCTGGAAAGGTGGCGTGCTTCAACCCGAGTTCGTCGACGAATCCGCACTAGCCGGGAGGAAGAACGTCACACCCGCTGGCCGAACCGTCGCGAGTAGTGAGGATGGGGATGACTGGAAGAGGAAGATGCGGGCGGCGGAGAGGATCGAGAGGAAGAAGCTCGAGGAGAAGAGGGCAAGGAATGATCGGTACACGTGGAGCTGGACGGGGATTCATCCTGACGGATATTTGAGGAACCACATTCCGGTGGGGGATGAGGGGAGGGGAGAATGGATTCGCGGATCGATACTGCTGAAGCTGGCGTACGAGTTGAGAGAAAGAGGGTTTCTGACTGTAGGTCCTCAGGATGAGGATGTGGTGGGGGACAAGGATTGGAGGAGTGAGTTGGGACAGGTGTGGACGGTCACGATGCCATCGGTTGTAGGGCTGACGGGGATCAACCCGTTGACCGTGCATTACTGTTTTCGTCCCGCGGGGTACGGTGAGAGCGAAGGCAAGGCGATGCGAAAGAACGAGGAGACGAGAGGCGACTTTTGGCTGGTTGTGTTGGAGGTGCACAACACGTTCGGAGAACGACATGTTTACGTTCTGGAAGCAGGGAAGGATGAAGATGCCGACGAAGTCACGCAGCAGCTTGACCCAGACACTCTACGCACCGAAAGCAAGCGCAAAAGGAGCGGCTACGACCACCAATGGACGTTCCCACGCTCGTTCCACGTATCCCCCTTCAACGACCGTGGCGGATACTACCGCCTCTTCCTCAAACAGCCTTTCGCCGACGGATTCACGTTCAACCTCGGCATCCGACTGTTGCTTCTCGTCGAATCGGACGACCCATCCTCACCCACAAAGCTGGTCAAGAAGCTCATGGCCACGCTCGACTCGGTCTCCACACCACCAGCTTCCAGCAAACCACATCGCTCGACAGGCAGACACACACGTCCCCTCTCCCCAGCAACACTCTACGCAGCGATCCTCCGACAACCCTTCGACCTCTTCCTCACATTTGCACGTATCCTGTACCAAGCTGCCAAACTGCACTTTGCCAAGAGACTGGACGCTTTCGGCAGACCGGACATGGTTCAAGTCACCGAAGAGGTTCTGGCGCAGGAGGTGGCAGGGTACGATGGCGTGGGACTTCCACCTGCTGTCAACCGGATTCAGGCGCATCGATCTGCCGCTGCGGGTGCAAATTCTAGCGCCGGTGGACTGCTCTACCCACCTGCCGGGTGGGCCGAAGGCGTGGCCAAGGAGTTCGTGGCTCAAGTACTGCAGAAGCGGGTGCAAGAGTTGCAAGCGGAAAGAGGCGAGAGATGGACGGTAGAGGTGAGGTCGACGGATCCAGCTGATCCCGGGTTGATTATCACAAGCTCTTCCACGGCAGCCGATTCGAAGGAGAAACACTTGATTCTCTTCACTCGATCACACAGCATCTACGTGGATCTCATGACGTACGCTCCGCCTCGACTCGCCCTACTTCTCGGAAGCATCGCAACCAGACGGTGGGGGGTCAACTCTGTCGAGCTGTTTGACGACTTCTTCGCCGGACCTGATCGCGGGTTGTCGAGGAGCGGGGTGAGGAGGCGGTATCTCGAATTTTTGCTTGCGGAGGAAGCGGATAGGGGTCGGGCAGCGCGACTTTTAGAAGCTTGGGGTGCAGGTTCGGCTTCGGATGGGGGGAAGGATGGGGAGGGGGAAGGTGGATGGAAAGTCAACGTGGCTTTGTGGATGGGGTACGTGGCTGCCGTGGCGGAGAAGAAGGTGTTTGGATGGTTGGGTGCCAGATATGTCAAGGGCACGGAGCCTTGGTTGGAGTTGCATAGGGGGCTGGAGTACATCGAGCGGACAACAGGGGAAGAAAGTAAGCCAAAGAAGGGCGACGCAGGCTGGGACGAGAAGTTGGGGAGCGTGTACAGTGGATAGAATCGAGTTGGCTTTCGAAATGATGTTTGCCGCGGACCGTAGAGACTGTTCGAGAGTGTGATCCTTCGTGATGTTCGCCGGAGACTTTCTGAAATGCCTCGGGGGGGTTTCGATAGAGATGCTCAGCCTGTGACGATAGCACGATCGTGACTGCCATGCCGTGTAGAGATAGCTATGCAAGGATTCATTCGAAGGGCCAAAAATGCAGAGAACAAAGGAGACTAGGCTGTCGGATCCACTTCAAGTGGAATCAGTGAAGAGATTTGGGAAAGACGACGAGATCTGTACGACGTTCTCCACAAGTGTCATATCTGTTACATACCGCAAGTGTGATATCGTGTCAGCGAACTCTTTGCCTGTTTGCCATCGCCGTCTCACCGCTGCACTGAACTTACCGACACCATCTCCACAATCGACGATCGCAAACTCTCGAATCAGGTGGCCATCCATATCGCTTCCGCCTTCGCTGACTTTCCCGGTGATCTCGACGTAGGTGCTGCCCGTGATGTCGGAATCCGGGTTGAGCGCAACCTCTACGTTGCCCTGGTCGGAGGTTTGGATGAGAAGGGTGTTGCCTGTGATCTTCTGGACTTTGCCTACGATGCGGACGGTCTGACCGGAGTATTGGGAGAGCATGGACGAGTTGATGAGCGGCGTTGGCTTCTCCATCTTGAATGACGAGGTTGATTGCGGTTGAGGATGAGTGATGTGGTTGGTGGGAACAGGGATGGAAGAAGGTAGGATGTGCGGGAAGGATGAATGGCTGAGTTCGTTGGGCGGAAAGTGTTGGTTTGCGCTCAGAAGCAGCGGCGCGCGTCATTTTTGAGGCGTCGGACGCGTTAATTGAGCTGAGCCCCGATTTAATTGACACCAAATCGGGCGAGGTTGCGAAGCTTCAAGGTTTGGTCCAACACACCAAACCAACACTTGTCCCGCACTCTTCCCAGCGTCGACCATCGTAGCACGTCATGGGACCGATCCTCGCAACAAGCGTGTGGAGGATCGCAGCAAGAGCACCGACGTTGGCGGCACGAGCTGGCCCGAGCACTAGCACCACCGCGGTACCGATCATCTCGAGTGCATCTCGATGGCACACTCGCATTGGCAAAGAGGATGAATGGGCGTGCAGATCATATGGTTCAAAAGCACGAGCTCCGGCACAGCAATCAGGACCACGAAGGGCTGTGCAATGTATAGCTTTTGGCAATCGTGCCTTTTCAGCCCATTCAATATCTCGATATGCGGACGACGTCAAAGGCAAGAATGCTTCTGATAGCACCCGAATCCAGCACGATGAACACAACAAGCAGGTGGAAGCATCGGACAAGCAGGACGTCAGCTCAGATACAAGAGATCAAGCGATAGAGCAGTCGAAAGCACCAGAGCCATCAGCATCATCTAGCTCCAACCCCTCCTCGAAACCCTCTTCAGCGGCATCAGACACAACTCCTAATACCCCATCAGCCATGTTTGACCGCCTTCGCAACACCCCTCTCCCCTCGTTCGACGGTCTCACATCCTCCTCTTCGCTGTCAACCACCCTCTCCACCCTCACCGATCACACTCGAACCCTCATCTCCCGACTCCGCTCCAAGATTTCCAACCTCTCCACCCAATACAACACGCACACAGGCTACACGGCTATCGAAACGCTCAAGTCGCGCATCACACTCCTCGAGACCTCTCTCGAGTCCGCACGCACGCTCGCGTCCGCCGCCAAAAAAGCCTACCTCCAATCCGTCCAGTCTCGCAGCACCTCCCAACGCGAGACCAACGATCTCCTCTCTCGCAAAAACTCCTGGACGGAATCCGATCTCTCGCGCTACACCGAGTTGCTCCGCAAAGAACACGCACTGAGTCGTCAGGAGACCGAAGCGGAAAAGGAGCTGGAGAGGAGCGAGGCCGAGGTGCAGGCGTGTTTCGACGAGCTGATGAAGGCCGTCATGGTGAGGTACCATGAGGAACAGATCTGGTCGGATAGGATGAGAGGTATGAGCACGTACGGGAGTTTGCTCGTGGCAGGGTTGAATGCGGTGCTGTTCGTTCTGGCGATTTTGTTGGTGGAACCGTATAAGAGGAGGAGGTTGGCCGAGACGTTCGAGCAGAGGTTGGTTGCGGCGGAGGAGCAGTCGAGGAGGTTGATATTGGATAGTGTCGAGGGGTTCAGGGGCGAGCTGAGGAGTTTCACGAGCGGGATAGATCCAGGGCATATGGAGATGGATTCTCCGCCGTTGCTTCCACCGCCAACAGACGAGATGGAAACAGTACCCGCCGTTGAGCAGGACGAGGCAACGACACCACCTACAAAGCAGCGATACGCGCGCGAGCAGGAAGAAAGGCTGGTGTTTGCTTCCACCGTAGGCGTCGTGATGGGCGCCGCACTGTCCCTCCTCATCAGCGCGTGTTGGTCTTGAAACACCTCGCACCCACACGCATACATCGCACAAACCATCATGCAACAAAACCCAGAAAATGCGGAACCAAAAGTGTGCATGAACGAAAAGAGAAGATGAACAGATATGCAGACGTAGGAGAGCGAAGAATGATGACTGGATCAAGAGAGTGAAGGAGCAATGCTGTGCTTTCAGAAGATGACATCTTCGTCCTTGCCACCCGAGAGCATATCTTTGTGGGGTTGCTGCTGCTCCTGCTCCGCTGCGGGTGTTTCGGGTGGGCTGCTGGACTTTTTCTTCTTCTTCTTGTTCTTCTTCTTGCTGGCCGTTTGCGCTCCGGCATCCTTGTTTTCGTTGGACGGTGCGTCCGCCTCCTCCTGATCGCCACCAGCCTCGGCGTCTTCTTGATCTTCCTCTTCGTCGTCGTCCTCTTCATCCACCATCTTCTTCCTCTGCTTGTTTCCAGCTTCAGCTTTCTCCTTCTTCTTGGCCTGCACCTTTTTCAACCTGAAGAACTCCTCCCTATCCGCCTCGTCCAGCTCGCTGACAATGTAGCTGATGGTGTTCTCCAGCTTGGGGATGATGACGTGTTCGATGGCGTTGACTCTCCTGTTCGTCATCCTGATCACCTCATCCAAAATCACGAAAGCGGTCTGCAAACTCGCCAACTCGACCAACACCTTCAAGGCCTGCGTGTACACCTCCCTGGCCTTGTTGACCTGCTGACCACCTCTACTGAGACCGGTGAGCGCAAACTCGCCACCGCTTCCCTGCCCTCCGTTCGACTTTTCCTTGATATCGGCTTCAAACGCGGGCAGGATGACACCAGAAACGTTCTCCTGCTTGGCCCTCACTTTGAAGCTGGCCGACTTGACCGACTCCTGCACGATGTACCCGATGTCACCCGTAGCATACTGCACCTCGGCGAGACTGAAGGAGGCCTGCTGCATGACTTTGCCCATCTTGCGTTTAGCTTCGTCGATCTTGTGCGTGATGGTGCGGAAACGTTTGGTGAGCGCATCTGCTTTCTTCTTGAGCAGAGAGTGACCGGTTTGTGCGCCCTTGAGACGGGTTTTGGCGGAACCGAGGGCTTGACGTGTGGGGAAGACGGACTCGCGTTGACCTTTGCCGGACGACATGGTGGGAAGCGACTCCTGCGCAGGGATGCGATGATCAAAGTGCGAGAAGAAGGCGTGAGTCGACGGACGATGGGAAGGGGTGGAGGCGATTAGATACAGTCGACAGACGAGTGTGAGAGAGCGCCCCTTTTGTTGCGAGTTGTGTGCGTGACGATAGCTGCGATTTTGGCCGAGCTTGGACCATGCACGCAATCTGGTATTTGGTGGGCCCCGATAGCAGATTGGCACCCGATAAAGTGATTCGCGGGTCAGAGACGCGTTGACGGGGCTCGAGAAAGACTGCCAATGCGCCCGCCTTTTGCTCTTTCTTCGGCTCCACAAACTGTGTTTCTTCCGGTTGACAATCCATCATCCTACAACTCACCCTCGCCTTCCAAATATCGCTTTCACTCTCGGAGGCGCTTCCGACTGTCAGCGGTAGGGCCGAACATCCGATCACACTGGCTCACTCAAGTTTCGGTACCCACCGACAGGTTCACCCTACATACCCATTCAATTCAGCACGAATGCAGCCATTGTAACACTACCGCAGAATCCCTGCCTTTTCAGCCTTCCATTCACAGCCGCCGTAAGAGCAGGCTCTTGATCACGACACCATCATGGATGACGATATGGAATTGGACGATGAACAGGAGCAGATTGAAGAGCCCATCGACGAACCCGACTACGACGACGACGATCTCGACCAGGAAGACGACGCTGACGATGACATGGACAACTCCGACCCGGATGCCGATGTCGACGACGACGACGATAACTCGGACGCCGACGATGACGATCGAGACGACGCATCCACCTCCTCTCGCACCGCTCAACGTCGCCTCTCCACCGTCGATGAATCCCTCTCCTCCACCACCTACCTCTCCAAAGTCCAGTCTCGTCGTTCCTTATTCCACCCACCCCCATCCTGCATCAGCACCACTCTCGGCTATCAGATCGAGCCCATGGCCGCTGCTCCCCACTCCTCCCAGATCCACGCTCTCGCTCTTTCGCTCGACGGTCAGACTCTGCTGACAGGCGGTTCCGACGGCTACGTCCGCAAGTACGACCTGTACGCTACCATGAACGGCCGCACCATGCTCACTCAAAACGTCCGCCACGGCTTCGTCGAAGGCATCACTCGAGGCGGAACTCTGTCCGCCTTCTGGCCTCACGAAGAACACCTCCCCACCAGCTCCACCTCTTCTTCACTCAACCCACCTACAGGATCCGAAAAGGACCGTTTGATAGGTGTAGTCCACAGCCTCGCCATACAACAAGATTCTCTCTGGGGTCTCAGCGGCTCCGAATCCGGCAACATTCACCTCTTCGGTGTCAGGCACGAACCTGGTGTCACACGGCATGTCTTCAGGAAGCACAAGGGTGCCGTTTCGGCATTAGCAGTCATGAGGGACGAAAAGAGTATGCTGTCTGGCGGGTGGGATAGAAGCGTTGTTCAGTGGGATCTGAACACAGGTCGAGTGGTGAGGGAGTTGGATGGTCATGCTGGACAGATATCGAGTTTGAGTTTCAAGCCGCTAGGTGGAGGCGTGGGAGGTCAAGGGCAGGAGAACGGTGCGGTGAATGTTGCCATACATCCCGAGGCGATCGGGAATGGTGTTGAGCATGTGGATGAGGACGAGGAAGACAAGGTAAGGAATGAAGGGTCGATTGCTGGAGAGAATGGAGACGAGGGAAGTGACGACAAAGTTATGGCGAATGGTGACGGTGCAGCGTCGAACGAGGAGTCAACACAGCAGAAGGAGACGGATCCACCGGCAATATCTACAGCAGAAGGCGATTCCGGCCCGCCGCAAGATCAAACAGCAGCAGCAGAAGCAGATCAGCCAGATGACAAGCCTCAAGCGGAAGTGGTGTCGATATCTTTACAAGACAAAGTGGCCTCGGACGACGCAGCGAATCCTACACCAAACTCGCTTCCCAAGGACACCAACGGCACTCCAAAACAGGACGCCGTGCTACCAGACAGCAGTGACGCCACTGCAACATCCTCATCATCGAACGACAAGAATTCCGACACCAAGCCAGCAGCAAGCACATCCGATCCTGCCAAACCATCCACCGTTGCTGGCGATGACCCAACAGAGGAAGAGCTGGCTTTCGAAGCCGAACTCAACGCCAGCCTCGGTATGGCTCTCGACGGCAGTAGCGGAGCAACCAAAGCCGACGGTACCCGGCCGGACAACATCTCTGGAGGCCTCAGCGGCACCACCGCCGGAGGATTGATGGTCGCGGGTGCCGATCAGGATTTCGACAACGACGGTGGTGATGACGATCTGTTCGGTGGCGATACGCCGCCTGCGTCTGCACCCAAGGACCGGGACGCTGCGGTCACGGTCAAGAGCGAACCCAACGGTGCTGCAGGCAACGACAGTGATGGGGACGACTCGTTGTTCGGCGATGGAGACGAAGACGCCGACGGCGATGCGGATGCGGATGGTGATGCGGAAATGGATGCTGATGGTGACGCTGATGCAGATGCAGATGATGATGCGGATGACGATGGAGATGACGGATCGTCGGACGAGGATATGCCGTTGGCAGGCCGACCGATGATGAAGAATCCCTCCACGCAGAGCAATCTTGTTGTGCCAGGAACGGCGTCGCCTGCGCTTTCTTCCGTCCCAATGTTGCCCTCGTCTTCAGGAGCGACCGCGACTGGCTCGACGACGACTGTTTCCAAGCCCGACGCGTCCGACCACAAATCTTCTCCGACCAAGGCCGGCAGCCCACCCAAGAAAGCCCTTCCCAAACCAGCGTTTGGCGGGTTCAGTATCGCCTCGTCCTTCGACGCGCCCCTCTCGACTTTCAGCCCAGACGTGATGCTCTCCACCTCGCTATCCGGTCAAGTGATCCTCTGGGACCTGCGCTGTCCCAACTACACACCTTCGGATGGACCCGCCCGCGGTGTCCACTCTCTAGCATTACCAAACAAGGTTCCGCCATGGTGTCAGTCGGCCATCTTCAACTCGACTGGCGATAAAGTCTTTGTCGGTCGAAGAAACGAATCCGTCGACGAGTGGGATCTTCGCATGCCTAGCGCAAAGTTCACCCGAGCGCTACGGCTGCCGACTGGTTCTGGTCCAGTCTACTCGCTGGCTGCCATGCCGAATCGTCGTCATATCATCTGCGGGAGCTACGACAATCTGCGACTCTGGGATACCGAGTTCGTGCCCGGCTCGGGAGAGGCAGGAGATCTGAGGGTGCCGTTCAAGATCGTTGCGGGACATCATGGTGCCAGTCTGTCGCATGTGGTGGTGGACGCTAGTTGCAAGTTCTTGATCTCGGCGAGCGGCGATAGAGGTTGGATGGGGTCGAGCACCGAGGCGGTGATCATTCATGATATCAAGGCCATCACGTAGCGACGAGAGCATGGCGATGCAATTGATTTTTGTGAGCAAAAGCACAGTTAGATCGCTTGCGGACGTTTACTACACGCTTATAACAGCTGAAAGAGTCCTGAGCGTGGTTTCGTTAGGCCTGGAGCCCTTTCCATCTTCGTCCTAGTTCGACGCAGCTGAGCCATCATACACAGAGCAATTTCGATATTGCGCTTGATCACCCTTCGGTTGTACCAGGCAATCCTGGACTGAGTAGGAAGGGTGCCGGGCTAGCGGAGGATGCGGTTGTAAAGCTGCCGATTAGCAGCACGCATCCGAACAACAAGCTCGTCTCGGGCAGCTTTTGCTTGAGGCTGCAGTACACACTGCCGAACCCCCCAAAAGTCATTCTCGATGGAAATGTCTGCTTTGATTTGATCGGACTGCTCGGACTCGGTTCGAATGGCCATGGTCTCGTCTGCGATGCCTGTTCAGAGGGAGGATTAATGTCAGCGGATGATCATCTCAGCTTTACGCTGCCCCATCTGTGCATCGATCACGATGACGTCTATGGACCCACCTTTGTTTCGATTGCCGCGATCGTTGCTGGTGCTGCTCATGCTCGCTTCTCCGGTTCCACTAGGCGCGCTGACCGCAGTAGTGTCGCTCTGAGAAGTCTTGATTGTACACTCGCCTTCAGTATCCATCTCTCGCTCTTTACCCTTGCTCGTTCCGTTAAGCTTGGGGTGGAACTTCAGGGACAGCTTCTCGTCCAACACCTCCCATTCTTCCGGCAGAGAGATCGTCCCGAAGTGCGGCAATCCTCCGAGCATCTGGAGCATCCTTCCAGCACGGTGTACGGGCACCTCGAAGACCGCTTGGACCCAGACCTGGTCTTCATCTTCGATAGTATGCTTGCATTCGTCCAAGTCGCTGAATCGATTCAGGCGGCTGAAGCACGGCATGCGCCGGAGCATCGTAGTCGTCATTGCCAGGTCTTCCTTGGTGCGCGGGACCAGGAAGTTTGCTGCTATCCAGACGCAATCGTCACTCATTCTTGTAGGTCGACTCGAGTTGCGGATCAGGAAATTTGTCTGTAGTAGAGGAGGCTATGCGATGAAGAAACGATTTCGATGATGCTGGCTATAGCGGCGGCAGATAAGTGACGGAGATGTGGTGGTGGTGATGGAGGAGGAAGGGCAAGCGGGTTCCGCGAATCTCGAGCTGTTGATATGCTTGTGGTCAGCGTTCAGATCCGCACCTGCCTCCGCACTGCGCAGCAGCTTGTGACGCGTGGCTAAGCGGAGCGCTACGTCGTCACGAATAGCTTTGAATGTCACAATGTAGGCAAACACATTTAGAGTTAGTGTTTGAGCTTGAACAAGAAGAATGCAATGAGGTGATTACAAGTGTGCGTGTGATAGTCGACAAATCAAATAAGTGGTGGATGCAGTTTGTGTTGACAGTGCGGGGACGCCCTTCACTCCTCGACAATGTCGCTCTTCTTGGGCTTTCGTCCGTCACCTTTTCGGATCTCCTTGCCCTGCGCCTGAATCTCCTTGACACCTTCATCTCTCAAGATCCCCAACCCCGTCTCTGCCCTGGCCAACTCAAGGACATCGTCGAGCGGCACCAGACCATCGTGATCGACATCGAGCTTGTCGACGATCTTTTCGATGACCTCGTCCTCAGGTTTGTGCTTGATGAGTCGCAGCGCCTGCTCGAGATCGTCGACGGAGATCTTGCCCGTGTGCGAGGCTTCGATGAGGTTCATGCGCGAGCCGACGTCCCGATCGTACTCTTCGAGCTGGCTGTCGATCTTTTCGAGCATCGACTTGATTCGCTTGGTCATGCTGCGGGTCGAAGAAGAGCTGCTGGCCGACGATGGAGCGGACTCGGACTTCTCAGCGTCGGTGGTAGACGAAGAGGAAGCCTCTGCGCTGGAACCCGAAGAGGCTGCTGTGGTGGTGGCGGCTTTCTCCTCTGCGGAAGCGGTCGCTGACGCCTCGGAGCCGCTGACCTCCTGGATGAGCTGTCGAAGCTCCTCTCGCTCTTTGAGCACGGACGATTTGGCGCTGAGGATGCTGAGCGCCTCGCCAAGCTCGGTGAGCTGCTCGTTGGTCATGCGGGCATCCTCCGTAGCAGGGTCGGTCTCTTTCTTGGGCAGCAAGGATCGAGCCTCTTCCTCCTCGCGAGCGAGTCGGGCCTTTTCGGCGTTGCGGCGCTCCTTGTCGGCCTCACGTGCAGCAGCTTCCTCTTGCTCCTGCTCGGCTTCGTCTTCGATGAGCTCCTCTTGCTGCTGGAGCACCTCGAGACGCTGCTTGTTGGTGGCGCCTTCGCTGTTGACGCTGAGCTCGGCTTCGTTGACGAGGTTGTCAGGCAAGCTGCTGAGGGTCAGCTCAAGACTGCGGAGATGCGACTGGGCGTTGCTGTCGTTGTTGCCGGCGGCAACATAGTTGAAGGCCTTGCTGAGCACTAGCAAGGTACCGCTGATCTTGTTTCGGACGTGCAGATCGATCCACTGCTGCAGTTCCTGACGCAGACGGTCCTCGGAGAGGTTGATTGTCTGGATACCTCGGTTCTGGCAAGCACTGACAAGCTCGGGCTGCGAAAGGTTATCGACCCCCTCGTGGCCAATGACGATGTCGTCTTGACGGATACGGTTGAGCTTGTGTCGGATCTGGTAGCGGAGGTAGTTGTCGGTGCCGAAGGCGTTGATCTGCATGTATCTGCACACGCTGACGAGCTGTGGACGTGTGAGGTTGTCGAGCGTGAGGTCGTCTTCAAAGAGCTGTGCCACCTTGATGATGTCGTCGTTACTGGGCGACTCGCCGGTCGAGCGCACTTTGCGGAAGAACTCCTTGAACTCTTCGGATGTCTTTACCTTGTCGGTAGCCTGCAGACCGCCTTCCTTGATGGTCTCTTGGAGGAACTTGGCCATCTCGAGACGAACCTTGATGAGACCTCTGCGCTTCTCTTCGACCGAGAACTTGCTCTCAAAGGTGCTGGGAAGCATGTTGGGGAAGATCTTGATGGCTACGGGCAGCAAGAGCTCACCGGCAGGGATGATGATGAAGGGCACAAAGGGGATGAGACGCAGCAGATCGGCAAAGGTACGCTTGAGCTGACGCCTTTCTCTGCGCGTCAAGCTGTAGCCTAGCATGAGTCTACGAAGGAGACGCCAGGAGATCCTGACTTCCTTGGCGAGCAATTTGGAGCCGTGCCAGTAGTGAATCGCCTCCTCCTTGACCTTGGCCCAGATGCGTGCGCCCAGAGGACCCTTGGGCTTTTGTGCCTCGAGTTCCTTTTCCTTTTCTTTTTGCTCTGCAAGCATGGTCTGTGATGCGGCGGTCTGATTGGCAGCAGAGCCGAGTTCGGCTGCCGTGTTTGTTGAGGCAGGGAGCGGGCTGATGGTCTGGGGTGCCTTGGGAGGAGCGCCGGCGGACTGACCCTCGTAGCTTGTAGAAGGTGCAGCTTTGGCATCTTTGGACAATGTACCTGGAGGAGGATAGTTGTGATTGCCGGATTGCGACGAGGTGGAAGAGCGCTGCTGCGTTTCCGTCGACTGATGGCGGACGAATCTGCGGTGGAGGAGGGCCTGCGTCTCTTCAACCTTGCGTCTCTGGTGGTAGTGCTTCGTGACAGCGGTCGAGAAGCTTGAGGCGGGAGGTCTGAGACCGGGCACAAAGATCTGTAGAACATCGACTTGGCTGCCAGGACGCAACGAGGGTCTGGCTCGGCCGGCGGCAGCCAGAGAGCCGCTGGCCCAGGCCAGGCTCTTTGCAGCGAGATACGAGGAGCTTGCGGAAGCCATGTCGAGGTATTTGCGCTGCCTGCAGGGCCTTGTGTATCGGAGTCGGGAGGCGAAGGTCGAAGGCCTTGTGAAGCTGGGTGCGCGCGAATTCGCAAGGCTCGTCAAGAGGATGCGTCCTTGAGCTTGACGTGCGAGCGCGCTGGTGTGGCGGATGCCTTCAGCAGATACCAACAGAAGAAATTGTGGTGGGAAGTTGAAGGAAAACAGAGGGATGACAGCGGGAAGGACGGGTAGAAGTGGAGGAGTGGAAGAAGAAGGTGTTCGGAAGGTGGGTGACCAAAGGGTTCAGGGGAACGCTGCCGGAATGAGTGTGCGCAGCCGGAAGAATGAGGAAAGCTTTCAAAGCCGAGCAAGCAACAAAGCGCAGTCGGACAGGCGCAAGGGCGCAAGGGCAGACAGGTGGAGATTTTTTTGGGCAGCCTCGAAAGCCAACACATCAACACAAAAGAACACGCCTGCACGAAGCGCATGCTGGGCAGCACCGCCTCGAACAGAGCTCGGTCCTCTCGTCTTTCGGTCTTAGCCCACCGTACTCCGCATGTCTTGCTCGGCTGGCATCGGTACACAGCAGCCGAATGCAGCGCAGCTCTTGAGAACGACAGCAAGAGCGGCGGAGCACATCCGAAAGGGACCTTAGAGGAAAAGACAAAGCGCCCCAATTCATTTCTTCGCTTCCATCACGGCGTCGGACTTTGCGAAGAAAATATTTCTCAAATTAAAAAATAATCGGAAGGGACTGATCATTCCAGAAGGAACTTGCCGGTGGCCGCTGCCGCTTCAACTTTTGTATCCTTCCGAGACTGCAGCAGGTGCACAGAAAGGGCATCGAGCGGAAGCGTCTGAGTATCCTGCGTTGTGTTGTGATTCATGTTGCACAATAAGCGCGATGGAAGCAGAACGAGCTTGGCGAATGGGCGGGAGCGTTGTTGATCGGATGCGGCAGGTGTCCGAATCTTTTTGGTGATCTGCGGTGCTCCACGGCGACACCGAATCGGAACGTGCTCCGACGGTATTTCGGACGAAAGAAAATTTTGAAAGATGAGTGTGAGACTGTGTTAAAACAACAATTGGAAATGATTTCGCGAGTGTTGGTGTGGAGGCGTTCTGCAGCTCGAGAAGAAGATGCTTCCTTTGCAGCCTCGACACCATCCGACTCCTCCGCAGCATCGCTAGAACAGCTCAGGCAGGTATATGCTCCTCCAACGGGCCGCACACTCATTCAAACTGAGCGCCAGACCCTTCTTTGTGGCTCGCACAATGACAACGAAGCCGCAGTTCATAGACATCGGCGTCAACCTGACCGACCCCGTGTTCAGAGGCAACTACCACGGCAAGCAAGCACACGAGGATGACTTTGACACCGTCCGGACTCGATCCCTCAATGCTGGCGTCGTCTCCCAAATCCTCACGGGCGGAAATCTCGCCGAGTCACACGAAGCCTTGTCACTTGCTCGGTCGTACGATGGCTTCTACTCGACTGCCGGCTGTCATCCTACCCGGACGTCAGAGATGGAGTCGTACGTCGAAGGAGCAGATGCGTATCTAGGAAAAGTCAAAGAATTGATCCTATCTTCTCGCAGCGACAGCATACAGAAGGTGGTAGCGGTAGGAGAGTGCGGGCTAGACTATGATCGACTGCATTTCTCGCCCGCCGATGTGCAGAAGAAGCACTTTGCTGCGCAGTTATCGTTGGCGATAGACGTTCAATTGCCGCTGTTCCTGCATTCCAGAGCAGCCCATCGTGACTTTGTCAACCTACTCAAACCACGCATCGACGAGATCCATACAGCGTTATCACAAAGCGCAGAACTGCACCAGGACGATCCAGAAGCAAAGCGAGTCGGCGTAGTCCACAGCTTCACAGGCACCATCGACGAGGTCAAGGAATTGCTCGATCTCGGACTCTTTATCGGCATCAACGGGTGCTCTCTCAAGACGCAGGACAATCTGAATGTGCTGCAACACATCCCGCTGTCACGGCTTATGCTCGAAACCGACGCACCCTGGTGCGATCCTCGCTCGACGCACGCCTCACATTCTCACACCCAGTCCTTCAAACAGACCAATCCCGATCTGCATTCTCTCTATCAACCTGCTTCGGTGAAGAAGGAAAAATGGAAGCCCGACGCCATGGTCAAAGGTCGCAACGAGCCGTGCGTCATCGGCCTCGTAGCCGCCACCGTCGCCAGTGTCAAAGGGGTTCCGATTGAACAAGTTGCACAAGCAGCCATGTACAACACGCGTTGGCTCTTTCATCTCAAATAACCGTGCGAACGTCTGACCCAATGTCCATGTTCGCTGCACATGTTCGCTGCACAATGAACGGTGGAGATGCGATGAATTGCGAGAAGAGAAAGCTAGGTATTGTCCAGGAATTGCAAGAGGGTGGTAAAAAGGAGCGTGTTTGGGCTGGTAGCGTCAACGCGGCCCGGCGGTTCGCGACGTACGTCTCTATGACCCGTTGAGCTCTCCGATGACCTCCTCGTGCAACGGTTGCGTCGGCAGCATCTGAGGAGGGTTGAAAGCCTGGTAGAACAGTGGCTTTGGAGATCCATCGAACTGATACATTTTGAGCATGTACGTCGGAGTGTTGTAGTGCGTATCGAGGTGGATCTCGAATCCCATCATGTTCTCCTTTTGATTGTACGACTGGATGTAGTTGGAATTTTCCGCGCAGCGGTCCGACACCTGCTGACGACCGTCTCCCTTGAAAGGGTTGAGCGTGAGCGTGTTGTTGTTGTTAAGCGTGTACGTGCCGTGCTGCCAGATAAGTTGTGCCGAAACGCAGTTTGGCTTGGCAGGGTTGGTGTTGTAGAGGTAGAGCGCCTGCTCCCAGTAGCCATCATTGGTAAAGCTATACGACTGACCTGCGGTGGCAGGGTAAATGAACGAGTTGTTGACTGGATCGTAAAAGTTGAGACCGGTGAGGACGTGACCTGCACCTGTGGTCCACGTGCCTTGCAACGACGTCACATTGTTGGGGTCGCCGATACCGTAGGTCTGTGCAGAAACGCCTGCGAGCAAGCCCGTAGCGACGAGTATTGATGACAGCAATCTCAACATTATTATGTGGTGAAAGGAGGAGAACCGAATCGTTGCAGATAGGCGCCAAACAGTGCTTTGCTGATGTGCTGCAGGGTCGCAATCGAGATTGGAGGTTGTGCCTTGTTCAGCAAACGAATGCTGATATCTGGTCGTCTGGAGGATCGCAGGTGCGTATCAGCCAAGACGAAGCCGTGTGTGTGACGCTGTCGAGTCCGGGTGGGCTAGGGCAGAATAGGATAGAAGAGGGGGCGCAAATGATGGAAACAAAGAAGCGTGGGTGGTGCCGAAAGTAGAGAGGGGGTATCTGTGTGTGCTCGTGCTTGGGTGGTCGCGATTTGAAGCTCGATGATGATGATGATGATGGAGGTAACGAGCAAGGTGGAACGACAATTTGTGCCGCCAATACAGCCCCTCAAACCGACGTCGCCGCACACAACGAACACGCGCTGTCGTATGTTTGGCAGGATGGACAGAGGAATACAAGCAGTTCATTATGCACAATTCACGACTTTGTTGCACTGCCTGCTGCTGCTGACGACCCGGAGCGAAATCCCAGTGTCTATATTGTTGTGGTTGAATTCAACACAGCGAAACAGGTCCAATTTTGTATTGCACACATTAGCGATGATTTGCAAACCGCATGCCGAGAGGGGCAAACCGCCGTTTTGATTTTTTAGCAGCCCACCAGCCCGGCGGCGAGGATGCGAATCGAGCCGCGGTGTGGTGCTGCAGGGTTTGATTTTGGAGTGCACAGCAGCGAAGAAATTCGTATTGGTTTCATTTGTCAATTTTGAACCCGCGCCTACGATTCGCATCAAAACATAAAAAGCAACGCGAATTTCAGGTGATTTCTTGTCTAACATCGACACGCTCTAGCCTCGTAGGACTGACAGACCGCAGGATGCCGTCGATTCGCACTTTGCCGTTGGCCGGCATCATCAGTGGCAGCGAGCCTCATGTCAAGGTGCGATAAAAATGGCAAACGTTGTTAGGTCACGATAATGAGTCCACATCAGTTAAATCCTGATCTCGATCTTACGATTCGGCTCACAACTATGGGAACATCAGATACCGGCCAAGCGACCAAGAGCAAGTACACAGAGACCCTCGTTTAGCAGGTATACAGAGATCTCGAGATACTGAAGTACAAAAGAAAGTAGGTTATGGCTGGTGCGGATGTCGTCCTAGACTCTCTCAACGAAAACCTTCGAGCACTGCTTCGCACTGGAACCAGCAGCGGTCGATCTTTGGCTGTTTGAAGGCCGTGCCAATGGAGCTTGATGGCGGTGTTGAGGCAATTGACGCTGTTTGCTCCGGATCAGTAAAGTCAATGCGTAGACCAGCACAGCGAGGTGCTCGCTTCATGGACGAGCCGACAGATCGTACCGAACTCGAGTCGGATGCTGTACACGAGCTCTGTCGGCTTTGCTTGGCTCGCAGCAGATTGCGGCTCAACAGCCCTCCTTCTTTCGGCTCGCGCGAACGGCGTCGCGGTTCCAGGGCGGAGTCATGAGTTGTCACAGCTGGATTTGGGAGCTTGCAGACCTTGTCGTCCATTGGAGCCTCGGCCTGTCCTGCCACCATCGACAGATCTTCGCAGCTGGAAACGTGTCGATCTGAAAAATTTGTCCCTGAATCGTTCGAGTCGTGAGCGTGAATGGTCGAGGATCCAAGCGACGATCCGGTGCGACTCGATCTTAAGCTACTTGGACCACAATCCGGCGAATGCGTCGTAGTGAATCGCGGGCTGTCGCAAGTTGCCAGCCAGCTTTGCGCGACAGCGGCCGCTTGACTGCTTCCCACAGGCCATGGCTTATCCGCCGCCGATGGAGGTCGACTATCATCAGAGACGGAGCTGATGCTCGACTCGACGAGAAGGTCCGACGCACTGTCTTCGACCCAAGATTCTGCCACGGACGAGGACGAATCGCGTGCCAACTTGTTCTTGAGCCATCTTCCGTCTTGAGGCTGTGATGGGCTCGGAGGTGCTCTCTTGCGATCGCAAGTACCACTCTCTTGCGCGGATGGCGATATGCTGGTGTCCATGGAAGGAGTCACGGCATCGACCTCGTCCGTCGCGGTCGGGTCGGGCCCGTTGAGGTGATCTAGATCAAAGTCAACGTGGTGGCGTATCGACCATCCCGGGCAGCGAAAAGTCGACGGCGCGCTGAGCAGAACATGAGTCTTGGTGGGCGCGAGTGGAGCACCCATGAACCCCTCGAGCCGTTCGTCGCTGACGAGCAACCGTACAAGCTTGCGCTCCCAATTGCTGCCTGTCTTGGCTCTGGCCGCGTCGCGCTGTCGATTCGAAGCTTCCGACAAAAGGCTTGCCACATCTGTATCTGTGTCTTCCACCATGACGTCCCCCAACGAGTCAGGACCAGCCGTGTCATGAACAACACTTGCGGCGGTGCGACATCTGCCAACGGACTGTACCATATCCAAAACGAACACCTCGCGGGGCATGGTTGCGCTGGCACCCATGACTATGATCAGCCTCACATCTTTCGGAGAGATTGTGCTTGGCAATTGTTCATGCGGACGACTGGATGGCCCCTCTCCGTGATTGTCGGATAGTGAATCGAGATGGCTGACAGCGTCTTGTAGCGACTGTCGAAGCTGTTGCAGCTTGCGTAGCAGTTTGTCTTCTTTCCTGGAGCGATTGGAGCTGCTGGAAGAGCGCCTACGCTTAACGTTGGAGCCATCAGACGAAGCCGTACTTTTCTTCTTGCGCAAAACGTTGACAGGATCGGGAAGCTGACCTTTGACAAAGAGCAGGTAGTGTAGGAGCGACTCGGCAAGGCCTGCTGTGAGTTGGTGGCAATGTCCACACATCTGGGCCTTGGCGAGGTCGACGTCGCGGTCGTGCAGCGCACGCAATATGCGTCTGCGATGATTCTGGCTGCCGTCGTTGGCTTGCGCAAGCATGGATCCATTGTGTTCGTGGGCGAGCTGCAAGGTCATGTTGGAGCCCAAGTCCAACGAAGGCACATTGATAGGGATCGAGTGGCTGCATCGTGTTCCTCCACGCCGTGACCCTCGGTGTCGAGCGCGAGCGGCCTCTGGCTGTGAAGGATGCGACGCCATCGCCTCGTCCATCTGTTGTCGGTAGATGCCGCTTGCGTAGTCCGGACAAATGCTATGAACAGTTCATGGCGGACAGGAAGAAGGCCAGGAGGGGGCGTATCGGGACTGGCGCCGTATGACTGGGCGGAGGATCCTCAAACGTCGTTGACCGTCGAAGCCGTTTGGGTATACAATAGTGACTGTCTCTGAGAGACAGTCGTGAGTATGAAGATGCATGTGGAGTTGGCAGGCACCGAAGCATGCCAAGAGCCAGGTCAGAAAGCAACACAAAAGATACACTCTGTGCGCGAAGTGAAGCCATCACGTGAAGCGCGACCAAAAACATTCGAGTCAACAGTTGCAAAGATCTCACATCGATGAAAGAGTCGCGCAAAAGTAACACTTTCGGACTCAAAGCTTGAAATTGGCGAATACAGATTTCAGGTCCCACTTAAAATTGTTTGAAGGCTTCGGACTCGACGCGAATTCAGAATCGGACGGTAAGAAGAACACAGAAGAGAGACAGCGCGAGCCGCTCTCTCAGGACGCCAAGCACAGGCCATTCTCGAGGCGGCTTGGAGCCACGTCTGCAGTGCATCGGGACGTGGCAGCCCAGAAGACAGCAGAGTGCCGACAGGAGCCAGGAGCAAGGAGCAAGTCTGTCTGAGAAAGATGATCATTCGCACCACAACCTACAGCACTCTCTGTCACCTCCTCTTCATCGCCACCATCTACTTGGTTAGTCTGCGAGCGCCAGAATTGTTATTCGCTCGGTGATCGCTGACGGCTGCTGCAGCACTCACACACCGCCTCAGCGCGACCTTCGAGACACGCCGGATACGAAAAGCAGACACGTCGCTCTTCTACCTGACTTGGTTCCCATCGTCATCGAGCGGCTCGACTCTTTCGAGCAAGCGTCTGACTCACCATGCAGATGCTCACAAAGTTCGAGTCCAAGTCGAATCGCGTCAAGGGTATCGCATTCCACCCTCGCCTTCCCCTCTTAGCGTCGTCTCTTCACAATGGCTCGATCCAGCTCTGGAACTACCAGACCGGCACCATCTACGACCGCCTCGAGGAGCACGATGGCCCCGTTCGAGGTATCTGCTTCCATCCCTCGCAACCGCTCCTAGTCAGTGGTGGTGACGACTACAAGATCAAGGTGTGGAACCACAAGACGCGCAAGTGCCTCTTCACGCTCAACGGCCATCTCGACTATGTCCGCACCGTCTTCTTCCACCATGAACATCCTTGGATTCTCAGTGCCTCCGACGACCAAACCATCCGCATCTGGAACTGGCAGAGTCGCACGTGCATCGCCATCCTCACCGGCCACAACCACTACGTCATGTGTGCTCAGTTCCATCCCAAAGAAGATCTCATCGTCTCTGCCTCGATGGACCAAACCGTGCGCGTGTGGGACATCAGCGGCCTGCGCAAGAAGAACACATCCGCCCAGCCCATGAGCATCGAGGAGCAGATTGCACGAGCCAACAGCGGCCAAGCCGATCTCTTTGGCAACACCGATGCCATGGTCAAGTACGTCCTCGAGGGTCACGACCGTGGCGTCAACTGGGCCTCGTTCCATCCTACGCTGCCCCTCATCGTGTCCGCAGGTGACGATCGCCAGATCAAGCTGTGGAGGATGTCGGACACAAAGGCGTGGGAGGTCGATACCTGCCGGGGCCATTTCAACAACGTCTCGTGTGCCCTCTTCCACCCGCGACACGAGCTCATCATCTCGGACGCCGAGGACAAGACCATCCGTGTCTGGGACATGGGCAAGCGTACCGCCGTCCAGACCTTCCGCCGCGAGAGCGACCGCTTCTGGGTGCTCACCGCACACCCAACACTTAACCTCTTTGCTGCTGGTCACGACAACGGTCTCATCGTCTTCAAGCTCGAGCGGGAACGTCCCGCCTTTTCCGTCCACCAAAACACGCTCTACTACATACGCGACAAGCAGGTTCGCTCCCTCGACTACGGCACTGGCGCGGACCATGCTCTTCTCAGCGTAAAGCGTCTCGGCAACCAGTACGTCCCTCCGCGCACGCTCAGCTTCAATCCGGCGGAGCGCTCCGTCATCGTCACCTCGGTCAACGGTGAACAGGGCACTTTCGACGTCGCTCCCCTTCCTCGCGAGGCTGGAGGTGACCTCGCCGAATCTTCGAGCGTCGGCAAGCGCGGACAGGGCTCCAGCGCCATCTTTGTCGCCCGCAACCGTTTCGCCGTGCTTGACAAGGCCGCGCAGACCATCGAAATTCGCGACCTCAACAACGCAGTCACAAAGACCATCACACCTCCTCAGCCCACCAACGAGATCTTCTTTGGCGGAACCGCCAGCCTCATCCTTAGCACAGCCACCGGCGTCATCCTCTACGATATCCAGCAACAGAAGACGCTTGCAGAGCTCACCAGCCCGCCCGTCAAGTACGTCATCTGGAGCATCGATGGTGGCATGGTGGCGCTGCTCAGCAAGCACACCATCACGCTCGCCGACAAATCGTTCGGATCCAGCAACCTCATCCACGAGACCATCCGCATCAAGAGCGCTGCCTGGGACGAAAGCGGTGTGCTGCTTTACAGCACCCTCAACCACATCAAGTATGCTCTCCCTCAGGGCGACAACGGCATCATCAAGACGCTCGAGCAGCCCGTCTACCTGACCCGTGTCAAGGGCAAGACAGTGTCGTGCCTCGACCGTCTCGCCCGTCCTCAAAACATCACCATCGACCCCACCGAGTTCCGCTTCAAGCTCGCTCTCGTCCAAGGCAAGTACGACGATGTCCTCAGCATCATCAAGAACAGCAATTTGGTCGGTCAGGCCATCATCGCCTTCTTGCAGAAGAAGGGCTACCCTGAGATTGCCCTGCACTTTGTCCAGGACAAGAGCACCCGCTTCGACCTGGCCATCGAGTGCGGCAACCTCGATGTCGCCTTGGAGACCGCCGAATCGCTCAACGTAGATGAGGTGTGGGATCGACTGGCGACGGCAGCGCTCCGCCAGGGCAACCACAAGATTGTCGAGCGCGCCTACCAGCGCACCAAGAGCTTCGACAAGCTCAGCTTCCTCTACCTCATCACTGGAAACACGGACAAGCTTGCCAAGATGTCGGTCATCGCCGACAAGCGTGGCGACCATCTCAGCCGCTTCCACAACGCACTCTACCTCGGCAACGCCGAAGCGCGTGCCAATGTGCTTTCCGACGTCGGTCTCGAGGCGCTGGCGTACGCTGCGGCCAAGTCCAACGGGCTCGACGATCGCGCTGCTGCCATCGCATCGCAAGCTGGTATGGAGGAGGAAGCTGCCGAAGTCGACCGCCAGCTCGACCTGGGTGAGGGCACATCGAAGCTGGTTCCTCCCGCCGCCGTGTCGCAAGCGTACATGCACAACTGGCCCATCTTGAGCAGCGAGCAGAGCTACTTCGACCGTGCTCTTGTCGCCGGCAACGATGGTGGCCCCATCTTCAAGGACAATGCCGTCAACGGCACCAAGACGCATGACATTGAGTCGTGGCTTGACGGAGAGGCTCTAGAAGAGTCGGAGGAAGAGGACGACGAGGGCTTCGACGCCGCACCCGAAGACTTTGGCGAGGCGGAAGAGGCGTGGGATCTCGCCGAGGAGGAAGTTGCGTTGCCTCAAGAGGAGGCTGCCGTCGTAGCACCGCTCCAAGAGACGCCCTTGGAAGGACTCGGTGCCGGAAGCTCTGAAGCGGAACACTGGCTGCGCAACTCGCCAGTAGCCGCCGACCACGCCGCGGCAGGATCGTTCGAAACGGCCATGACGCTGTTGTCAAGACAGGCCGGTATCGTCGACTTTGCTCCATTGAAAGCGCTCTTCCTCTCCTCGTACCTGTCCTCACGCACCTACCTCCCTGCCGCGCCGAGCGCTGGCCCCATCGAGGTGCATTTGCGCCGCAACAACGAGGAGAGCGACGGCAAGGTGACCAAGGCGCACCCTGCTCTGCCTCGCTCCGTCAAGCTGCTTGCTTCTGGCGATTTGCAGGAAGGCTACCGCGCCGTCAGCGCCAACAAGCTTGCCGAGGCAGAGACCATCTTCCGTCGTCTCTTGCATCAGCTTGTGCTGACGCCGGCGGCCACGGAGGCGGAAGCAACCGAGATTCAGGACTTGATCGTGCTCTCCCGAGAGTACATTCTCGGTGTCTCGATCGAGCTCAGCCGTCGTAAGCTTGCTGCCTCCGAGCCAGACAACGTTGCACGCAACCTCGAGCTCGCGGCGCTCTTCACACGCACTCAGCTGCAGCCGCAGCACCAGACGTTGGCGCTTCGCAGCGCCATGACCGAAGCTCGCAAGGTGAACAACTATGCGATGGCGGCAAGCTTTGCCAAGCGGCTTATGGAGCTCTCGCCTGCCCCGGCGGTGGCTCAAAAGGCACAGCAGATCATCTCGTTGGCCGAGCGCAGCCCGCGCGACGCTGTCGACGTACCAGGCTACGACCCTCTCGAGCAGAACTTTGTGATTTGCGCTGGCAGCTTCCGCCTGATCACTGCTGCAGGTGCCGGCTCGGTAACAGATCCGCTGACAGGCGCACGCTACCTGCCCGAGTTCAAGGGCACGCTGTGCAAGATCACCCAGATCTCGGAAGTCGGCAAGCTTGCTTCGGGATTGCGCAGCTTCGCCGCGTAGAAGAGACGAGCATGTCGTTCGTGTGTGTAGATATACGGTGTAGCATGTCGAATTCAGTGAAAGCACGAATATTGTTTGAGGGTCATCTGTGCCGTTGATTTGAGGACAGGGTGTTGTGAGCAAGCTTGGGAGGTTCTCGACTGCAGCTGTCTCAGGGTCCGAAGGATTTTGCAGAACGCCGGTGCGGTGCGTGTTGTGCGAGCGCGTCCCTCCACTCCAACATCCGCAGCGGCGACTTTCCCGGATCCAACCATCACCTTCGATATCCGTCAGTACCATCTGCGGAAGCACAACCGCGCGAGCAGGACCGGCATCGAGCGCTTCTGCAGGCAGTACCTCCATCTGGGCTGTCTCTGGACTGCAGGTCAAGATGTCGTTCCTGCCATCGTTCTCCTCGCTAGGAGCATCGACGGCTTCCCCCTCTACGTCCTCATCGCATGCCACGTTTAAACCCGCATCCCTCTCGTACTTCACCATCTTTTGTCCAGCACTCAAGCCGGCAAAGAGGAGATCTGGAGATCTGCCCAATGAAGGGTCATCACAGTCGGCTGCCACCGCACAAGAAGAAGCAGAGGATGAAGACGCCCGCGAGACAGCAAGGGAAGCCGCCCAGATTCTGTTCTACACCAGTCGAGCTCGCGCTGCGCTCAAAGACCGAATGCTGCGTCAGATCGGCGTAGCCAAAGGAATGATCGAGTTCTGCAAAATGGTCTCCAATCCGAGCCTTGGCGATGGATCCGACACGCCGAGCAAGGGCCGTTCCTGGAACGTTCACTCGAGCAAACGTCGAATGGTCCTCATCGAAGCAGAACCAGGGATATGGGTACATGCGAGCATCGACCTTCCATACACCGTTCGAACGACTGCGGAACCAAATGCAAAGCAGATCAAAGAGCATCACGATGCACTGCTGCCAGACGTGTGGGTGGAAGAAAGCATCCGACGCGCTTGGAGGGACTGGGTTCTGCTCAACGGATGTCCTGCCCACGTCTTGTCGCAGAAAGCGGGACGTGCAGGGCTAGAGAGGTCGCTGGAAAAGTACTTTTCTGTTTGGACCTGGAGCTGGGATCTGGAGCTGGCGACCAATGCAGACGTGGTTCAGTCAAGGGGGCTTTTCACGGATTGCGTCGATGGGTTCCCAGTGGTCGCTAGAGCACCTCGTTCGAAGCTGGCACAACTGATGGACACGGAAGCGGCTCAAGGATTGAATAAGGGCAAACATGGCCAACGAGACGTGGTGGTGCTGTTAGATACGCTGGTGCTGTGGCCGCCTACCGACGCCGGCTGTCTTGACTCAGAGGACGAACGAGAAGACGCAGACGAGTCAGGATCGATCCTCAAGCGCAGCAAGTCGAGCCCCTCATCACACCAGGTGGTCGATCCGCAGACCAAAGCGGATCTGCTTCGACGTGTTGCCAGCCACCTTACCGGTCTCGAAAGAGAACGCGACCTGATTCGAGCAGCTTCGGCCTCGAGCACCTCCGATGGTCGCAAAAGGGGCACGTCGGGCGCGATCCGCGAACGCGGCACCTCCGGTAGTAAGATGAGCAAACGAGACATGCGCAATGAACTGCTCTCCGCCAGCACAGCCAACAAGAAGCGCGTCGTATCGTCTCCTGCTATGCAGCAACGGTCAACGAGCGCTTCGAGCTTCGCTTCTTCGACCACGGCGGACTCGACGAAATGGTCCAATTGGGGCAGCATGTTCAGTGGCCTCGGCAAACTCGGTTTTCGAGGCAACGCTGATACTTCAGCCCAGAGCGAGGCGACGAATACAAGTACCGCGGTAGACGCTTCGAACACCGAGCCAGAGGCTGCAGATATCTCTACCGTCACCTCTGACCTCAGTGCAATCAACACAGGTGTTGTGGAGCAAGAAGAGCCGTCCTCCTCCTCACCGATAGAAGCTCTTACCCGCAGGAAAGATGCTAAGGAGGGCGATAGCGCAGAATCTTCGAGCCCACTGCATTTCTTTCAGCAGAGACTTGCAGACGCGATTCCGATTCAAGAAGCTGGAGGCAAGATGTGGAATGGCGCTGAACTAGCGTTCCGTGGCATCGGCGCTTCGCTCGGGCTGGCCAACGTTCCCGTTCCTGACAAACAGGAAAACGAGAACAACAAGTCTGCTTTATCATCGAGACCTGCGCAAGATGGAGACGTATCGGAAAGCGACCGCTTCGCCGATGCCTCCTTCGACACGAACGGCGCCGATCTCGATGCTAGTGTCGTGACCAAAGTGTCGATCCTGGAGCCTGAGGTGGATGTCAGCGAGCTGGCTGAAGCGCTTGGCGCAGATGAAGATCGGTCGGCGGATCTGTCAGTACCCGAAGCGACGCCGCTGCCGGACGACTCTGGAGCAGATCTCCTAGCCAAGAGCAAGATGGCAACCGAGCCTGATCACCCGACAAAGCCTTCACTGAAGCTGGACACAGCAGCGGTGCCAGTCGAATCCTCTGGAAGCGATCCAATCTCGCCTCCGGATGAGAGTCGTGCCTCCGATGCCGCATCGATCAAGACCAGCGCCAGCGCCAAAGCGTTTCCTTCGATCTCGGTGACATCTGCAGCGTGGTACAACACCAAAGCGCTTCGTTCGAACCCTGCAGCGGCTTCACCCAAGCATGCCACTGCAGCCAGCATTTTCAGCAGCCCTCAAAACAAGCTCAATGTCGAACGCAGGGAAGCACCAGATCCGGTGGACACATCGCTGAGCGGCGTCTCGGTGCAATCGGAACATCACGATTTTGAGCTCGACGGCTGGGGCCACGAACAGCCACAGCCATTCCAGACGATCCGATGCTACGTCGGGGAAAGCGACGAACCTATATCACACGAGACCCTGACGCTGCTACAGAAGCATCCGTTTCAGAGCGACGAATACCGGATCTCGTTCACGACACGACGTCTGCTGACACTGGTGCTGATCGAAAAGGTGCCCTCGACCACCGGCTCGACACTCTTCTCCGAGGGCACGGATACCAGTGGTGCACTCGAAGATGCCTGGCAAGTGCTCCGACGAACGCAACGGATCCTCAACGACCACGACCGCATCGCGAAATCCAAAGGACAGGACGGTGACTCGGCGGTTCGATTCCTGCACGTGGACGGACCGACGCTGACATTCCAATCGTCGCTCGAGGAGGAAGCCGACAAGATGGAGCCAGATGTGCGGGTGGTGGCAGAAGCACATTGCACATCTGCCATGGAGCTCATGCGTCGTCACGGAGTCGTAGAGACCTTTTCGCGATCGAGCAACGGCAAGACGTGGACTGCTAGTCGACAGGGTGCGTCGAAGGGGACGACGGCGGGTGCACAAAATCAGACGTATATGGTGCTGGCAGGCAAGAAGATCAGCATCGTCGACTGCGACAACGAGTTGAGGAAGCTGGCGAACCAGTATCCCAGCTTTGGCATCTGAGGAGCCGTATGCAATCACATCTCCTTTGCGACCACAGCTTACAAACAGAAGGGCCTGCCTTTTCCGTGATGGTTCTTGTGATGCCCAGACTGTTCATCGTTCCTCCTGTGGGTGAGCTCAATAGTCTAACAATGTCGTCGTCGGCGAATAAATCGGTGCAGGACCCTGAGCTCAGACAAGACAGGGACGAAGCGGGAGAAGCGACACTTTCGGATTTGCCGGTCTGAGCTGCTGCTGCTGCCGTTGCTGCTGCCGACCTCGCATGTTTCGCACATCAAGCTCCCCACCCCGTCCGCTCGAGGCGCACAGCACCAATCAGAAGCTTTTGCCATTGGTGCCCTGACGACGAATGACGCTGCATCGAGATGCGAATCACCAATCGACTGCATGGCAACGGAATGCGGAGTCCAAGGCAGGCATCGCATGACCGGATAGAAACGGCGCGAGAGCGGCAGATGTGATAAGAGAGATCTTTTGCACCTTACCATTACAGGCAGTTGCGATTACTAAAAGAGGCAAGAGGTGCAAGATGGATCGAAGACGCGGGCTCGGGTATTTGACAAAAGGGACGTCCGACCTTTTCGACCCTTCCGTTGGTCGAGATGAAAAAAAAAATGCAGCATCACTTGACCGGCCGCTATAAGCTGGCGATGGTATCAGTATCGACGAATCAACGAGGGAGGCGGGGGAGAGCACACTTCTTTGATAGCAGCGTGTCTGGACAATGCACAGGACTATCGAGCCTGTCTATCGAGTTCAGCGAATGAAAGACGAGCTGTTATGTCAAGTCCCCCAGCTTGGTTGTGTGAAAAAGTGGGACTGTCTCTCCGGTGTGAAACGACTCTGAGCCAGCGTCAGGCACGCGCAACAAACCCCTTTTTTTGACTCGAAGAAATTTTTGACGCGAGCTTGGTGTCGGATACCTGCAATCCGGTTCTGCAATCAAATAAGTCAGTTAAATCTTAAAGAGAATTTTGCCACGGCTCGGATGCACATGTATCATGCGCCACAGCACAGCGTGCGATGAGAAGGGTCCTCGTGTCTTGGCTTTCAGTTGCCCTTTGCCGGCTAAGTTAAGTTTGCAAAAGGCACCGGGTGAGAGAGACGGTTGTTGCTTATCCTTCTGCAGCTCTTACGCGCCTAATCGTCCCGAACAAATGTTGCACAGCTGACGAGGACTGCCGCTGCGTGAGGTGTGTGTTCGTGTGGGGAGCAACAAAGCAGATTGTGGATACCGTGTAGCAAAAGCGAGCCTTTCGTGCCCGTCGATGTGTGCTGGAGGTCGACCTCCTCCGTCCCTACCTTCCGCTACCACCACCTCCATCGCTACGGACGTGCTGCTCTGCAAAAGCGACAGCTCGATCTTGCTTCTCGCACACTAGCAGCAAGCACGAGTCACGGCCAACGTCCTCTTCCTGTCCGCATACGCAGGATTCTTTGGTAGGGTCCCATCGACCAGTGTGCCTGTACAGATAGCCTCTGTCAGCATCGCAAAACCACTCGGATTCTTCGTGTGATCCAAGGCTGCAACGATGATGGCTCCTTCGCTCCTTGTCCGATCGCGATTCGTCGCTGCTTCTCGGTCCGTCCGAAGCACGCCACTCGCCTCAAGCTCACGTCTCACACTTGGCTCCAACGCACGTCTTCATACGGTAGCGGCTGCCCCCGCTGCTCTGCGTGCCAACCGCCGCGGTCTCGCCACGCTCAGCTCCACCGAGAACGCACCCGAGCTTGGTGCACGCCACGTCGCCAAATCCATTTTCGCTCCCCTCGACACCTTTGAAGCTCGTCACGTCGGCCCTCGCGATGGCGACTCGCTGAAAATGCTCGAGGCGCTCGGCTATTCCGAGATGGAGCAGCTCGTAGCCGACACTGTCTCGCCCAACGTCCGACTTGCTCAGGACGCATCGTTCTACGACCAGATCAAGCCTCTCTCCGAGAGCGAGCTGGCTCAGCGTGCAGAGACCATTGCAAAGATGAACCGTCCCTTCAAGAGCCTTATCGGTATGGGCTACCAGAACACGCTCGTGCCTCCCGTAATCCTCCGCAACGTCCTCGAGAACCCCGCTTGGTACACCAGCTATACCCCTTACCAGCCCGAGATTTCGCAGGGCCGTCTCGAGTCGCTCATTAACTTCCAGACCATGGTCAAGTCGCTCACCGGCCTCGACCTCGCCAACGCTTCGCTCCTCGATGAGGGCACTGCCGCTGCCGAGGCCATGATCCTCGCCTACGGTCAGACAAAGAGCAAGAGAAAGACGTTCCTCGTGGACCGCGGTGTGCTGCCTCAGACTCTCGCAGTGCTCCGTCAGCGAGCAAAGGGCTTTGGTATCAAGGTGGTTCCTACCGACCTCCGAACTCCGGAAGGTCACCGTTTGCCTCCGGCCGACCAGATCCCGCGTGAGGACATCATCGGCGTGCTCGTCCAGTACCCCGACGTCGACGGACGCCTCACCGACTGGGAGGCGCTCGCAAAGGAGGTCAAGGGCTTCGGTGGTATGGTCATCGCTGCTACCGACCTCCTGGCGCTCACCATGATCAAGCCGCCCGGCGAGTGGGGTGCCGATATTGCGCTTGGTAACGCTGCTCGCTTCGGTGTGCCTCCTGGTTTCGGTGGTCCCCACGCCGCCTTCTTTGCCGTGCGCGACTCGATCAAGCGCAAGATTCCAGGTCGTCTCGTCGGTCTCAGCAAGGACGCCCGTGGCGAGCCCGCCTACCGACTTGCCCTCCAGACTCGAGAGCAGCACATCCGCCGCGAGAAGGCCACTTCCAACATCTGCACTGCCCAGGCGCTTCTTGCCAACATGTCGGCCATGTACGCGGTGTACCACGGCCCCGACGGTCTGCGCAAGATTGCTGCCAAGGTGCACGCGCTCACGCGTCTCCTCAAGCACGAGCTCACCGAACTTGGCGTTCGTGTCGTCAACCGCGACGGCGCCTTCTTTGACACGCTTACCATCGACCTCAGCAAGGCCGGCATCGGTGCCGTGCGCGTCCACGAAGAGGCCAAGAAGGCCGAGATCAATCTGCGCAGGATCAGCGACACCCGTATCGGAATCACGCTCGACGAGACCGTCAGCATTGAGGAGCTCACCGATCTGCTTAATGTCTTCGCCTTTGCGCTCAAGCCTGTCAAGTCCGGCGAGGTGCCCTACAAGCCCGAGGATCTGATCGAGATTGCCTCTCGCATCGGTCTCGACGCTGCTTCCACCGAGACGCTCAGCATTTCGTCGCCGGTTCAGGTGCGTCCTAGCAACGCCGCTGCCGAATCCTCCGAATTGCCTCCAATTCCCGACTTTGCCCGTACCTCCAAATTCCTTCAGCAGCCCGTCTTCTCGGCGCACCGCAGCGAGACCCAGATGCTACGTTACATCCACTCGCTCCAGGCCAAGGACCTTTCGTTGGTGCACGCCATGATCCCTCTCGGATCGTGCACTATGAAGCTCAACTCGACCTCGAGCATGATGCTTATCTCCAAACCCGAATTCTCGCAGCTTCATCCTTTCGCTCCAGAGGAGCAGGCGCAGGGCTACGATGTTCTCATTCGAGAGCTCGAGCGCGATCTTTGCTTGATCACCGGCTTCCCTGCTGTTTCGCTCCAGCCCAACTCGGGTGCTCAGGGTGAATTTGCCGGTCTCTCGGTCATTCGCGCCTACCTCGAGTCCAAGGGCGAAGGCAAGCGCGACGTCTGCCTGATTCCCACCTCGGCTCACGGAACCAACCCTGCCTCCGCCATCATGGCTGGCATGCGTGTCGTGCCCGTCAAAACCAAAGCCGACGGCTCGATCGACCTCGAAGATCTTAGATCCAAGGCAGAGCTGCACAAGAACGAGCTGGCTGCTACCATGATCACCGAGCCTGCCACCACCGGTTGCTACTTCAAGGATATTCAGGAGGCTTTCCAGATCGTCCACGACAATGGTGGTCAGGTCTACTTGGATGGTGCCAATCTCCAAGCCCAAGTGGCGCTCACCAACCCGGCGATTATGGGCGCCGACGTGACCCACTTGAACCTGCACAAGACCTTCTCGATCCCCCACGGTGGTGGAGGCCCTGGTGTTGGTCCCATCTGCGTTGCCGAGCACCTTGCTCCCTTCTTGCCTGGTCACCCTCTCGCATCGACCGGTGGCGAGATGGCGATCGACCCCATCTCTGCCGCTCCTTGGGGATCTGCTTCCATCCTTACCATCGCCTGGGCTTACATCAAGATGCTCGGGTGGGGAGGTCTCAAGAAGTCGACCGAGACCTCGCTGCTCGCCGCCAACTACGTGGCGCACCGACTCAAGGACCACTACAAGCTCAAGTACACCGGTGACCGTGGCCGTGTTGCTCACGAGCTTCTCATCGATGTTGCCGAGTTTGAAGATGTCGGACTCAAGGTCATGGACTTTGCCAAGCGTCTGATCGACTACGGTTTCCACCCACCGACTTGTTCGTGGCCCATCTCGACTGGTTTGCTCATCGAGATCACCGAATCCGAGTCCCTCCAAGAGATCGACAGGCTGATCGAGGCTTTCATCTCGATTCGCCAAGAGGTGGAGGAGATTCGCGCCGGCAAGCAGCCCAAGGACAACAACTTGCTCAAGAACGCCCCGCACACCATCCAGACTGTCACGGAGGAGAAGTGGGACCGACCGTACAGCAGGGACAGAGCCGTGTACCCGGTCAAGGAGTTGAGGCAGACCAAGTTCTGGCCTCCCGTGGCGAGGATCGATGACGCATTCGGAGACAGGGTGCTCGTGTGCGAATGCGGTGGTGTCGAAGACTACGTCAACTAGATTTTCGGAGATGCTGCTTCATAGCAGTCAATGGCAGTCGCACAAGGGCAGGTACCTCAACCGTACTGCCCGTGCTGGTCTGCAAATCTTTTCCCTTTCCCCCTTTGTAATGCTTTCGCTTGGTTTTGTAATCTCTTCCTCGGACTCTCGGTTTCCCCCTTCCACTCACTCTCCAGCAACGGGTTTCAACATCTGCATCGTTTCCGCCATGATCAATCAATTGTTTCTCGCAGTGTTTTGGATCGCGACGGTGTGCGAACGCTGTGCACATGATGAGCGGTGATGTTTGCGAATGTGTTTCGAAGAAAGTGAGATGTGACTTTTGTACAGACCATGTGGAGTCGGGCTAGAGGAGAGGTTCGAGGTTGAACTCGAGCGCCGAGCAGGGGAAGTCGATGGAGAAGTTCTTCAACACTGTTGGGTGGAGCACTCCAATGTGGCCGATCACCTGGTCGTCCTTGCTGCTGATGGGGAGGACTTTCTCCAGTGCGGATTTGACCGTGTCCAGCGGGGCTTGCTTGGCGTCGGTTGCGGCGCCGGGGTTGTACGTCTCCTTCGGCAGACGCAGGTGGATCGTCGCAGCCCGGCCGGGGAAGAAGGTGTCGTTGGCAGCGTCCTCCTCGATCCAGTATCCTTTGTCTCTGGTGGAACTCGAGCCTTCGATTCGTGGGATCGCCAAGCTCAACATCAACCTATCCAGCAACCCGTGAACCACCTCGAAGCTCGCCGTCTTGTCACAGTAGACCGCAGCTACGTGTCGTCGATTCCTAGCACATCGCTCGGTCTCCTGAGCATCCTTGAAGGCGATATCTGACACTTCGAACGTTCGCAACGGCAGCGCGTGTTTTCGGTTCTCGCGCACCGTCTTGAGGATTCCCGGTAGGAGCGTGGTTCGAACCACCTGGTACTCTGCCGTCTTGGGGTTTTCGAGGACGATGGCGCTGGATCCGTCGTCCTTCCTGTTCAGCCAGGCGAAGTTCTCGTCGTGCGAGCAGAGGATGAGAGGCAGCACTTCGATCCACCCGGAGTACGCGCATTCGCGTCGAACAATGTCGGCCAGCTTGTTGATGGGCAGAGGAGCAGCCACCGTGTTTGTCGCAGGGAACGTCTTGGGCAGGTTGTCGAATCCGAAGGCGACAGCTACGTCCTCCATCAGATCGCACTCGTGCAGAATGTCAGGTCGTGTAGGTGGGACGTCTACGATGAGCTTTTCGTTTGGTGCGGCGGGATCGACCGTGGCAGTGTGACCCATCTTTTGCAGATATCCGATCATCTGTTCCGGTGATAGCTTCAGTCCTGTGCATCGGTTGATGTAGTCGACCGAGGCCGGGAAGCGGACGCTGCTGAGATCGGGAGTGATCTTCTCCTTGCCGTCCGGGTAGATGACCTTGACGGGCTCGATGGTGAAAGGTTCGGCGCAGTACTGGGAGAACATGGCGACGATGATGTTGATAACGATGCTGAGTTTGGTCTCATCGATGGCAGTGGTGTCGATGAAGACGTTTTTGGTGTCGAGCGTGATCTTGCTGTGGTTCGAGTTGATGATGGGTGGCATGGAGAGTACTTTTCGGTTGGAGTCGTAGATGATGGGGTAGACAGGGCTGTCTCGGATGATGTGCAGGTAGCGCGAGAGGTGCTTGTCGGATTCGTAGAGCAACATGAGCTGGCTTGCATCGTACTCTTGGTCCTTGTTGAGCGGTGCGAACTTGATGTCCTTGGGTGGAAGCGCTTCGTAAGTGAAGGGAGCCTGGATGGTATCCAGATCGTGTGTGCCGATGGCAACGAGCGTTCTACGACGAGCCAAGTTCTGATGCAGCTTGTCTTGCAGGTCGATGAAGTTGGCATAGCTCTCTGGAGTGAAGGTGACGTTTCTCAACACTGCACCGGCAAAGTAAGGTCTGATACGAGCAACGTCTTTGCTGAGCTTAACTTGAATCATCTTTTCGGGTTGGGTCAACTTGAGCTGGGGCTGCGGAATGTTGCCCAAGAAGACGTTGAGTGCACGCGAGATGCCTTCATGGCAGAGAAGATCGTATCGGTTGGCGGGGATGTCGATCTTGAGCTGAGCGCGCTCGCCGAGACCGGCTTTCGCTACTTCTTCGGTGGTATCATCGTCGAGCTCGATACCAAATTGGAAGCAAAGTTCATCGAACTCCTGGGTGGTGTAGGTGCGCCCGAGCGCCTTGTAAAAGTGCTCCTTGTCGACTCCGACGGTAGGCATGGCTGCAAGCACGAAGCGCGACTACTCTGGAGGCTCGTTTCGATCGTCTGTGAGGGTGATGAGCGGAAGCAGGCCCGGGGATTGTCGCGGGGAGGGCTGATATGGATATGGTCAAGAAGATCAAAAGTGTTGTTTGACCGTTTCCAGGCTTTGCGCTTTGGTGATTTCCGACTTTTCTGAGAGAGTGCGGAAGTGGCAGCGGCAGCAGCGCGTGGGTGTGACTCTCCTTTTGGATTTTCAGCTTTGCTTCTTCTCATGGCTCTCGGATCTTCTCAGGCGCAACCAAACTTTTATCGTACGACAAGCTACCACACCTCGTCAAACATCAACTCTGCAAAGTTGAACGCAATGGACAGTGAATGATCATGATTGCCTGTTTTGCTTGTGACAAACGTATCATAATACAAGCCCGTCACGGCTGTTCAAGCAAAGCCGTCTGGGCCACTCATTGGAAGCGAGAAGGTCCAGGGTAGTACATGTCTCGTTCGGCCTCGAACCCGAATCGGTCGCCGTGCGCGTGACCAGGTTGAGGCGTCATGCGCTGCTGCGACTGCTGCGCAGGTGACGCCGAATACGAGTTCTGATGTTGCTGCTGCGGCTGTTGAGCGCCGTGGACGTGCGGATTGAAGGGGTCAGGCGTGGTGTGGCCATAAGTCTCTGCAAAGCTACCGTGCTGTTGTTGCATGTAAGGTCCATTCTGCCAGTGTGGCTGTTGCTGGTACGCATATGGCTGCTGCTGTTGCATCTGATGTTGATACAGCTCGATACTTGCTCCGTTGCTGCGAAGACCATATTGCTGCAGCTGAGGAGCCAGACCAGCTGCGACCCCACCCACATCCGCAGCGCTGGGCGGCGCCCAGATGGAACTGATCGGGGCGCCATTAGGGAGCAAAGGGTTGGCGTGATGGCCGCTCGTACTTGAACCTACATAGCTGCCGCCCTGACCCATGCCTGGTTGTCCCGCACCAGTCTGAGATGACATCAAGTGAAGCAATCCATCCTGTGGATGTGCCTCACTGCCGTGCCCCGGTGCGGACGAATTGGAACTTGAGGCTACCATCTGGCTCGAGCTCGGGCCAGAATGCGAATGAGCCGTCAGCGGGTAAGCGTCAAACAGCTGACGCGCCAGCTCATCCTTGTTCTGACGCGATCTGGACTTGACCTGCGATGGCACCAGTAGCTGATCTGCTGAACTTTGGCTATCACCAGCCGCGCTGTGGCCAGCATCTCGTACCTGAACACTGCGCATCGATTGCTCCACCGAGCTCACGTCGGCGCCTTCTCCTTGCCTCAATGCTTTGGCGTTGTTCATCGACGCACCAATCACCTCGTTCGCTGAAGCTCCTATCGAGGCTGGTCGCACCGTCCGTGTCGCCGAAGCAGCGGCAGTCGCATCAGGCCGAGCCTCTGTGGTCGCCCTGACCCTCTCTCGGTCAAAGACAAACACGTTGTTGTTGTCGTCAAAGTGAATCGGGCTTGCATCCGATTCTGCGATCACCTTTGCGTCGATCATAAGATCCGCAATGCGCATGAGCTGCTCCTCGTTCGGATGCACCTGACTTGGTCGCACCGCCTCAACGTTGGCGCATGCCTCTCCCATCCCAACGTTGATGGTGGTGCCGCCGGGGATGGTTGACTGGGTAGCCTTGCGCGTTGGCGCAAAGCCTCGCATGTCCGAGTCTTCCTCCAGGCAGAGCGCAGGAGCACCCACCGAGCCCACCTTGCCAATGTTGGGCAAAGAGTCGAACGGGAACGCATAGCGCAGGCTGTTGATCAGATCGACGTATTGCGACCAGCATCGATCCATCGACTCGAGCGTGTCTGCGTACGCAGCGTGGTGAGGATGCGGACGCTCCGAATCTGGCAACACCTCCATGTCCGAGCGCACCACTTCTGGATCGGTTTCGCCAAACTGCTGCATAGCATCGCGAGCTCGCTTTTGGATCCGCTGCATGTACTCGAGATGTGTCTTGGTCCACTTTGTTACGATGCGCAGCGCCGGTAGTGTTCTTCGAACAACGGCGGTGAGGTTGCGGGCAGGAGCAGACGCCTCATCCATCTGCTGCAACGCTTCCGCGAGCTCCTGGTTGGCCTCCAACGCCTGTCGAGTCTCGGCTGTATCGACTGCAGTTAGCTCGCGAAAGACACCGAGCACATGTGCAGTGACCAGAAACTCGACGCAGCGAGCTGTTTCAGGCGACGGTGCACGTTTCTTAGATGAGCGCTCGCCGCGGACCGCCCTTGGACGATGTCGGTCCTCGGAGCCGTCGGAAGAGGGGCGCGGAGATTCCCTGCTCGACGAGGTAGGTGCTCCGCGCCAAAGTCGTGTTGTCCAAGATGCGCAGAGGGCGATGACGAGGAACTGTACGATCTGATCGGCGCGCAGCGCTCGTGCGCGGATCAATGTGGAGAAGGTGGCGAGCACTGACCGAGAGAGGAACATGATGTGATCGAGGTGGCTGCGTCGATAGAACAAGCCGTGCAAGACGACGACCTGTTCGATCCAGGCCTCGCTCAACTGCTGGGCTCGGTTCAAGTCGTTTGAAAGCCGCACTACCAGCTGCGGATCGCGCGCCCGGTAATCCTTTGCCGCGTCCCATTGCTTATCTTCAACATCGGCAAATCGCGCAGCGCTTTCGAGATAGGCGGAGGTGGGTTTCGACAGGAGCTTCTCGAGGTTGATCTTTGCTTTTGCAAAGGGCGTCTTGACGCAGAGAGCTCGGTAGTAGTAGTACAGGGCAGCGAAAGTGTCGGAGCTGTAGAGCGAGACAACGGCAAGTTGGTTGGATGGCTGTCCCTGGTCGGGCAGGATGAGGCGCGATTGTTCGTAGAAGGCGCAGGCACGGCTGAAGTCGTGCTTGGCCTTGGCGCCTTTGATGGTGGAGGTGCCAGCATCATTGTCGTGCGACGACATCTCGCGGTACCTGGCAAGATCACCGCAAAAGATGAGGAACTTGTGCAGCAGAGTGATGAGGTGGATGCGCTTAGCTGGCAGTAAGGCGGCTTGAGATAGGCTCTCGTCCGGCTCGTTGGTCTGGCGTGTGGCTCGTGATGCATAGGAATCGGTGGGTATGGAAGATGAGACGGACGAATTGGCGTCGCTGTCGGCATCGATGCCCAGCGCTTCGAGGTTGGAGCGGGCTTCGTCGAGCGAAAAGAGGCGGACAAGCCTGCCCATCAGCTCATGCCAGAAGAGTTCCTCGTCAAGCAGGAACTTGCGATACTCGGACTTGGCACGCGCTGCATCCTGAGCAGACTTTCCACGACGCGCTGGAGCTTGAGCGGCGGGATCGACGGCTTTCTGTGCGGTTGATATGTAAGAGCGATAGGCGACGATGAGGTTGTAGCTGGTGTCGTTCCAGATGTTGGCATCGACCGACTGCGCTTCGCGTGTAAACGTGCAGGTGAAAAGCAGGTTGAGCCAGGTGTTGCGAACATTTTTGCGAGCAAAGTCGACCTCTGCATCGAGAATCTTTACGGTGCTGTCTTTAGGATGTAAGCGACCTGCGCGGGATGTGTTCGTGGTGCCGGAATACGATGACGAGGAGTGCGCAAAGCTTGCTTTGACCATGCGCTCGAGCTCTGCCTTTTGCCTGCGTCCTTGATCGAGCAACGAAGCGGCACGCACATCCTTTTGCGACATGGCTGTCGTCGGCGAGGTAGTCATGATTGTGTTGTGTGCCTGCTGCTGAAGACGATGCGCGCTTCTGCTGTACAGAACAGGACGCAAGGAAACAGATCACCGCCAGTGTCGTCTGACCGCAGTTCGTCCACGGACGGCGCCCGTCTATCTGTTGCTCTCGGGTTGAGCAGACGAAGAACAGGTGGGGGAGATGGATGATGCCGTACTCAGAGCATGATTATCAACCAAGTCTGAGCTGAAAGCGAGGGAGAGGTGAAGAGAGGGTGGCGTGCGTGTTCGTGGATGAAAGAGAAGACGAGGCCCGTGGCACAATGAGAATACAAGGGGGTTCGCGCAGACCAGAGTCAATCCAAAAATAAGCGAGGCTTTGGAAAGTCGCTCCACACCCGAGACTCTTCGCGCACCGAGGTGCAGTACATGCAACTCTGAGCAAACACCGCGCCATGGCCATCCTCAACTTCGATGCTGCGGTTTGTTCTCACTGCCAGGATCGACGTCCTCCGTCATTGTGATGGCAGAACTTGTCCTTGCCATCGCTCATTCATACAGACGGCCACAGTCAGCCACCTCGACTGCATCATGAGATCGCGCACGTCTCTCGTCGGGAATCCACCTCGCACCTTTCAGCGGCCACGTATCCTCCAAATGATCGTCGCGTCCACAGACAATCACATTGATGAGGAGGGGATTGGATTGCGAATTTTTTGGTCTTTTGTTTTTTTTCTTCAAGTGATCGCACATCGAGATGATTACATACGAGACGAGCATGAGACACCGTCGAGCGATGTTAGTGCAACTGCGAACAGATGTCCAGAGGCTGGACCTTTGTGCAATCGGATCAACGATCTTTGGCGACGAGGAAAGCAGAGGCGCGACAGGACAGAGACGAACCGAAACCGAGCACGAACAAGACAGATCTTTGCCGAGGCGAAGACTGAGCCAACAGCAGATGAACGAGGAGACCTACATGTACCAGAGACATTCGGCAAAGACCTTGTTCTTGTGGAAATGGGCCATCATGGCTCTGGACTCCTCGTCCGTGATCTCCCGAATAGCTCGGTCACCTCCCGAGCCCGAAGATACCACCGTCGAGGCATCATCATCGGCATAGACGAAAGCGCGAGCCTTCTCGCAAAGAATGTCGGCGTAGTAGGCGGGAGGAACGAGAGACACAGCTCGGGTGGCGCGGCAGTAAGAGTAGCAGAGCGAGTTGACGCAGCGGATCAGATTCTCGCTTGAGAAGTTCATCTCGTTGCGCAACACTACGTAGTGGCAAGGTCGAGCGGTGCCCACGAGGCCAGCTTGCGACTGAAGGTAGAAGTCGAATCCGAAAGGCGAGACAATGTTGGTGTCGACAACAGTGCCGGCAGGCAGATTTCCAGAGCGGTCGGTGTCGGAGGGGTTCCTTGCAAAGAAACGCACGTGATGGCCTTTGGCGCAGATGATGAACGAGACCTTGATCTTTGCGTCCGGTCGGATTTCGCGGGCGGCAGCCTTCATAGCGGCGAGCTCGTTGTCGAGCGCGGATTGGTACTGACCCTCGGAGACTCCATCGCGGAAAAAGACGATCGATTCCGGAAGACGATCCTGGTTGTTTGCTTGCCATTTTTTGAGGTGGCCGAGAATCATGCTCTTGAAGTGAAGCATCACCTCCTGCGCAGCGCCACCACGAGGGTTCGTCTGAGTACGAAGCTCGAACGAGTAGCGCCTAGCACCGCCATCCATGGTAGCGACCGAGCCAGCGATTGAGGGGCGGTCAGATCCAGCGCCGGGATGAGTGACATCAGCACCAACGAGCATAGTCTGCGAGCCGAATTGCGGAAGGTCGCGCTCGCTGGAGACGACGTGGTTAGTTCCTCCGAGCTTGGCGTTGATCTTCATCGATACATTGGCAACGTATTGCTGCTGTCCCTTTTGGTTGAAAGCCTTGCGCGTGTTGATGCACTGCGTGGCGACGGGAGTGGTGAGATCGAGAGCGGCGGCCTTCTTGATTGCGTTGTAAAACGACTGATCTTGCCCTTCGAGTACCACGATCAAGAGTTGTGGAGCGGGCGGCTTCCCGCCTCGAAGGAGCTCCCTTGCAGCACCGAACGCAGCTTTACCGAGCTCCTGCATCTGCCCTTGGACAGCGTTCGGGTCGGGACCGTGATTCTTAATGATGGGTCTTTCGTTCAGGACGCGAACACCGAGTGATTTGAGAGACTGTACCTGAGCTACGACGAAGTTCTGAACGTCGCTGATCGAGGCGCGAGAGTAGTTGAGGACGCCCCAGGTGACGAGATCAGTGCCGGGCTTGATAAACTTGGCGCCCACGAGGTTCCAGGCGCCGTCTCTCACGGGACCTCCTCGGGATCCCTGTGCATAGGAGACACTAGGAGGACTCACGACGCGAGCGTCAGACTCGAGAGGCGTACAACTAATCGTGATGCCCCAGCGTGCCAGCATGGGGTCGTTGTCGTAGCCGACCTCGTGGCGGATCTCGTCGACTCGGCGCTTGCGATTGTCTGGGCGAAGGGCCGAGTACCTGATCTGATCGGCCGACTGGTTCGGCGTGAGGCTCGTGGCGGGGAGCGGGCCTTTGGGCACGACGATGCAGAGCTCCATCGGAACGGCGTTCTTCTTGGGGCCAAGCTGAGCGCAGGGAAGGTTCGGGTGACGGAGACGGTGGTTGTACCTTTCGAAAAAGTACTGGGCGATGGTGAGCTCTCTGCCGTTCTTGTCGCTGAAGACGGTGTCCTGAGCCGAGCGAGGCGTGAAGCCCTGGAACGATTCCAGCTTGTTGGTAGCGCGGTGAGTGACACGGATCTCGATGTTTTTGAGGCGCTTTCGCAGCTCACGCTTGTCCATCTCGGACAGGCTGTGGAGACTGGGCGGTCCGCCAGAAGGGCCGCCACTGGAGTCGCCACCATAGCCGCCAAAGCCACCACGACCACCACGACCACCGCGTCCGCCACGGCCACCGCGTCCACCACCACGACCGCCAAAGCCGCCGGCGCCGCCGCCCATACCAAGAGTCTTGGCGGCGACTTCGATAAGGGGACCACTGGCGACGAAAGGGGAGAAGGCGGGGTCAAGATTGATGACGAGACCGGCTGCGCACGGACGGGCCGACTGGAAGAAACCGGGCATCACCTCGGCGCCTTGAGCTATCGGGATAGCTTTCGTAACGTCGAAGAACTTGCGCGCGGCAGCTTGCGTGGTGCCGGACATGTAACGACCGTGCAGACCGCTGCGGAGGACGATGTCGAGAGCCTGCAGACCGTCTTGGATGAGTTCCGCAGGGTTGGCGGCCTGGGCCATGATCGCACGACGGTCGCCGCGGCAAGCGTGGAGCACGAGCTGAAAGTCGATGTTGCGAGCGTGCGAAAGCTTGATGGCGAATCGACGGTCGTTATCGCCACGACCAGCGGGAGGAGGCGGGGGAGCAACCGCGCCGGGAGCACCCGGGACCGGGGCGAGGTCGGTCCTGGGAGGCAGGTTGACCTCCCACTCGAGGACCTGGGCCGGAGCAGGCACGCAGGTGTATGCGAGAGCCCTTCCATCGAAGCAGAGCGCGTGCGCAAATGCATCAGTGATGCCCTGGACTTGGTCGCAAGCGGCGACGCTCACGGCATGCTGGAAGACCTCGCGAAGGAGGCGAGGAGGAAGAGAGTCACGGCCGGCGGAGCGACCAGGACGACCGGAAGAGGCAGGTTCGTCGACGGCCTTGATCTCGACTGCGAGGAGATCGACACTCTGGAGAGCCTTACCGCGAAGGGTGGCAGCGAAGAGATTGGTGGTGACGCGGATCGCTTTTCCGGCCTTGTTGCCGGCGTCGGGACGAGGCACAGCACCGTAAAGGGTGAGAGCCTCGGAAGAAGTGCTCTTGACGGTGACCATGGCGGTCGAAGGTCTTCACGCCTAGCGTGAGTGAATCTAGGATGTTGTGAACGCGGAGATGGCTGGTGCGAGTGTAACGAATGATGTGTGAGTGTGTGAGCATAAGCGACGTGGGAAGGGTGGAGTATTGCGAGGAAGGGATCGGACGGAGGGAACGGGTGAAGGAATGGAGCACGATTCGAGGAACAGCTCACGGTATATATAGACGAGCAGAGAGCGGCTGAGTCGGAGGCGCAAGCCGTCAAAGTAGAACTTCTGACGCTCAGACGACGCTCAAGCAAGTGGGCTGAGGCATTCATCTCGAACGTGCGGACGCAACCGGGCCGTGTTGAACTACGCAAAAGATTCGAGGCAGGGATGCGCAACCGAGTGGATAGAGAGCAGCTAGAGCGTAGTGAAGTAGCGCTTGTTGTTGGAGCTCGACGGGATGGCGTAGAAGAGAAGTCGACTTTGTACGACGGCAAGGTGTGAGAGCAAGTAGCGTGCTTCTATCGCTGTGATCAGCCTCTTGACACACGCACCAAGAATGTCTGTGCGTCAGATGAAAGGGACTTTTTTGTCGCTGGACCCTGCATGCCCCGCTCACCGTGCGACTTTTGCAGCCTGAATTAGAAGGGTCAATTTAGCGGGGCATACTTTTGGAACCGCGGGGACAGTACGAGTTCCAAGTGGAGGAATAAACAGCAAAACAAGTGTGCGCTCGACATCATCGTCCGTCTGCCTTACCTGAGCTTGTCTGGGGTACGGAAGCAGCGCAGAGACATTTGCAATTCATCCTTTGCGTCCTTCTGAACTTAGAAGAATTACACCCGCCCACAACACAGAGCGTCCAGCATTTCATAAGCCAACATCAAGCTTTGCCTCGGCGTCGCATATGGCACTTTATGTCTTCGCGAAGATCGGCAAGAGCTTCGACGGGCAAGCGTCTCTCTTATCGCGAAGACTCTGACGATGGCGACGCAGTCGAAGACTTGACCGAGGACGAATACCAGCAGGATCGTGCATCAACGAGCGCAGATGACGAGCCTGCAGATCAAACAGATTCGTCCGAGGCGAGCCAGGACAACTTCGATACCAAGCGCAGCGCAAATGGCTCCAAGCGCCGCAAACTCCACTCGTCGAGCTCGGCTTCAAAGCCTCCTTCCAAGATCGCAGTAAGCGGCTCGACGGGCGATGACTGGGCACCAGGTGTGACACGCGTCGTCGCCAAGTTGGTGGGCCCACCTCAATCCGGTCACGTCGCTCGCGGAGAGCTCAGTCCAAACGTGCTAAAGTTCCTCGCAGACCTGCAGGCCAACAACGACCGTGACTGGTTCGCTCGATATGATGCTGTCTATCGGTACTGCTGGAAGAACTTTGGCGAGTTCGCCGACGCTGTGCTCAATGACATTATGGAAAAGGTAGACGACACCGTCCCGTGGCTACCGACAAAGGACCTCGTTTACCGCATTTACAGGGACGTACGCTTCAGCAACGACAAGACCCCCTACAAGACGAATCTTATGGCTTCGTTCTCGCGCGGAGGAAGAAAAGGCCCATTCGCAGGCTATCATGTTCTCGTCAAGCCTGATGGCCGTAGCTTCTTTGCTGCAGGCCGTTGGCAGCCGGAGCGCGAGGATCTGGCCACCATCCGTCGTCACATTCTCGAAGACACCCAAGAAGCTCAAGCGCTCAAAGCCGCAGTGAGCGAACCTACTTTCGTAAAGTGGTTTGGCGAACCGAAAGGTCAACTCAAGGCCAAGTCCAAGTCCAAGGGGAAAGCGCAAGCAACCAACCCACAACGCTGCAATCTTTGGGGCGGAGACGACGAACTCAAAGTAGCGCCCAAGATCGAAGGGGTCGACAAAACCCACAAAGACATCGACTGGCTCAAGCTCCGCAGCTTTTGCGTTATCCACAAGTGAGTGAATGCTCGAGCTTCTTGAGTTCGCGAACCTACTGACGACCGTGCTCACCTTTCCCCACGCTTCGCATTTCCCATATCAAAGTTTTGCTGACGCAGAGGTGCTTCGTAAGGACTTCCGACAACGGCTCGTTGAAGCAGGCAAGGCTTCAGAGCCATTGGTAAGAATGTGAGTACTCTCAGCTGCCCAGCACGGCTAGCATTGCTAGACTGGCTATTACAGCTCGCAGCTCTGGAGCATCTTCGGGCGTGCCGAGAGGCGCTGCCGGGCCTCCCGAATCTCGCCAAACGTCCATACAGCGACGCCGAGTCGTCCGACCGCGCAGTCGATGCTGACGCTCCTTCCTTCTCTGCTTCTTCTCACTGCAGTCTGAACTCGATGACCTCGCCAGACCCACCTCCGCCGCCAGAGTCGGATGAAGAACAAGACGATGAAGGCAGCGACGTGGAGAGTGGGCGCTCGAGAAGTCATACTGGCGTTGGTACTCGTCACGACTACGGAAATGACGACGATGACGAAGAGTTGGTCCCAACCGAGTCCTTTGACTATGTCGAAGACGATGAGGATGGCGATGACGACGACGAGGATGACGACGATGACTGACAAGCACAGTGCAGCACACAGGCTCGCTGTCTCGTCTTTCCAGAAGCTGTACTTCCTAGTGATGGCGAATGCCGTTGCTGACGGTTTGGTATCGGTGATATGCTCGATGGTCGTTCCATACAGGATCCCCCTTCCGGAATCGAACCCTTATTGCCCGTTAACTACTCGTTGCAACCATGATGTCCGTAAGAGACATGCCAGTTGACGTATGTGCCAAGTGGCGCGACAGCGGTTCCAGTGTGTGCTCAAGAAGAGAGCAAATCCTCATCAGTGGAGACAGAGAGAACTAAGCAAACAGTTGCTCTGAGCCGAGCACGAGCGTAGAGGCAGGCGAAAGATGAATTCAGTTGATGCTAGTGTTACAATTGTCGAATGATGAAGATGGGAGTCATGCGGCACGCGGAGACTGAGCTGTCGCTTCCCATGTGCGGATCTATAGCTGTACGACACGAGCGCCCTCACGGTCGACGACACGAACCGTGAAAGTGCCGAGATCGACAATGAAGCGTTGCTTAAGCTCGTTGATGCATCGTCGCAACAAGTCGAGGCCCTCCTCGAGCGACATATCGGGCCTGTGGTAACGGTCGAGGGTCGACATGGCGAAGAAGGCGCCGTAGCCGTGCGCAGCGAATGGTACAGTGGCGAGCGTGCCGAGGTAGTCGATCCAGTACAGCGCAGGCTCCGAGTTTGGCAAATCGAATCCACCCAGGAGGAGGTTGACCTGATATGGGTTTCTGGAGCGCAGCGATTCCGCAAGCTGCTTGCGGATCCATGCTGCTGCTGACTTTGGTCTGAGCTCGACGTGGTTTCTGCGAACAGGATGAAAAGGAAGAGAATGAGAGTGCGGGGCGATTAAGGTCAGTGATGCTCGACGCTGGACATGCGCATTGAGGCTGATACGCTTCAAACACCAGCGGCCTCTTTGTGACGAGGGAGAACCTACCTGATGCTGTAGAGTCTGCTGTTGCGTTCGATCCACTCGGAGAACTGCAGCGTGTCGCCTGGTTCACCAGAGTATGTCATGACCAGATGGTCGCTGAGCACCTTTTGCTTGTCCACGTCGGACTTCATCTTGACGATCGAACGGGCTGCATTCGAGTCGGATGCGATGATGGTGTATCCTTTGCCGGTGATACCGAAGGAGCACTCCATCTTGGGCTACAAAGTTGCTGGAAGGTCGAAGAGGTGTTGAAAGCGCAAGATGCGGAATAGAAGTCTGCTTCTTGCCGACGCGCGTGTGTTGAAAAGCGAATCGATGCAACCTCAAAACTGAAAGCCACTCAGTAGCGGCGGAGAAGAAGAGAGCGAGGCTAGCTGCGATGACGAAGTGGTGATGCGGCAGATGGTGTTGAAGAAAGGTGAGCAAGAGTATGAATGTAGGATTCTGCAACGCGGAAGCTTGACAGCTGCGTAATTCAAAAGTGGCACTTGCGCAAGTGCGGGTCTCTCTCATGTGGAGTGATCGACTCGTATTCCGCTGCGTCTCAGCTTCCGCTTATATTCTCAAAAATCAAACAAGTGTTTGATCCTCGATGTAACAACACTTAGCTAAATTCCTGCACGCGTTGTCCGTGACGCGACTTTTCGAGTTAGAGCTGCACAAACATGTTGAGGCTGCAGCTCGCTTTGTGTTGATCTTCTCCTCATCATCCTGTTGTCACCACATCCGCATATACCCTGGTCTCGCAACCTGCAGCTTTGCAGCAGCGACGCTCGAACACACAAAGATGCCATCAGCGAGACGATCATCACAAGCTGCAGCAGCAGCAGCGTCGCCAAAAGCGATTCCTACCACTACCGCGGCACTAGACGCCGAACCAGCAACAACAGCAACTACAGCATCAACCGAATCAGCATCGGCACCAGCACCGACATCGGCGGAAGCTGGACCATCAAATCCAGCAAAGCAAGTGCCTACGCAGAAAGAGGAGGCCTCTACGGATGCGCACCTCGAGCTGCTCACCGAGCATTTCGGCTACAACCCCAAGTCCTTCATCGACGCGCTCGTCTATCTCTCCAACGAGCACCTGTACAGCATCGCCACCGAGTTCGAAAACGTGGTTTTGGACCTATTGAAAGATGTCGACGGGGGCGAATTGGAAGCGGAGCAGGGCATGCATGCAATCTTGACGTTGATGGAGAACTCGCTCGACCACACTCTCGACACCTTCGAGCTCTACTGTTTCCGATCCGTGTTCGGCATCCGCTCGCGTCAGGCAAAGTACATGACGCTCGATCATCATCGAGGATTGGACTTGCGCACACAGCAATCGAGCGCTGCTGCCGCATCTTCGAAGGGTCAGAGCAAGTCAGCGAGGAAGAGCGTCGTTGGCGCCTCGACCAATCTCAGCGCCAACGAACGCAGTTACCAGTTGGGAGAAACCGAGGACTCGCTCAAACGTCAGATTGCTGCTGCGAGAGCAACACAACACAAACTGCTTCTCGCTCAGAACGCTACGAGGGAGAGTCTGGATCGCATGCTCCGCCTTGCCGAGCGCTTCTCATCGATCTTGTACGCTGGCGACCACAAGGTGGCCTCGGCCGGTAGCGACGTCAAGACGACGGCTCCAGTGCTCACCGAAACACTCGGCCAGCACGCTCGCAAACTCAAAGCTGACACAATACCGCTCCTTAGGGCGCTGCGAGAATTACGCGCAGCAGATCCGCTCGGTGCACCCTTGTACCCGGGTGGTGCAGCGGCTGGCAGCAGAGAGGCGGGAGATGGGGAAGCGGAGGAGGAAGGCGTGGAAGCAGCGGACAAGCGAGCATGGGAGCGCGGGCGCGAAGGGTATCTCAATTGGGCAGCGGATAAGATCATTGCCAAGAGCAAGCGAGGTGGTGCTACAGTTGGATCAGCCACGGGTGGGAGTGGTGCTGTGGGCGGTGGGGCTGATGCAGAAGCGGCAGCGCAGGACGTGACGTTGGCGGCTGAGGACGACTCGAAGACTCCCAAGCGGAAGAGGACGGCGGGACAGCCGACATCATCGAAAAGAAAGACTCCCGGTACAGCTACTCGCTCGCGAGGTTGAACGTTCTTTGCACTTGTCAGACACGCGCCTCATGCTATCATATACCACTTGACCGTCTGTCATCTATTGATTCCATCGTCTGTCTGGCTTGAGTCTAGTCGGTGACTATGAGCAATCTCGATTGAGGTCCTCTGACTTGTCCGCTTCGAATCGAGCAAGTGGCTTTGCCGCTGCGCTGCGGAGAAAGAGGTGCGTCGATAGCCTCATTGGGCAGGTGATGAGCCGGTGCGGAAGCGGAACGAGCTCCGTGGCCGCCTCTTGTGCAGTGAGTAGAGTCGCCGCGCGAGTATAAATTTTGATTTTGAAATTCGTGTTCAATTTGGTGGAGTGTCGAGTGGCGGGAAAAGGGTGCCGCCGAGCTGTCCTTTTCCGCAATCATCCATCGGCCCCTCGAGTTGGTATCAACGTTCATGCCATGCTATCGATACATACGTTTCACACAAACGATGGTCGCGCAGAGTGCTCAAACACATTGGGACACTACCGACAAAGAAGCATGTTACAACGATATGAAGATTTCAAATGTGATCCACTGGAGAAGAAGAGGGAGCAAAAGACGGTTCTGCAAATGTAGAGACTAACGAAGATATACAATTAGGAAGCAAGGTTTGAGGAATCCGATGGCAAAGATGTCTTTACGAGCCGAAGATACCGGCCTCCTGGGTCTCTCGCCTAGGGTCGACGGTACCGAAGATACGGTCCCAGACACGGGTCTGCTTTCCGTAGTTCATACCAGCTTTTCCGTACAAGTGGTGGTTGGAGTGGTCCTCGACGGTCAACTCCATACCGAAGGGCTGCAGAACGCGGCCGAGGATGGGGTGAGCCCAATAAGCGCGGATACCCGAGTGTCCAAGAGCCTCGACGTACAAGGTGTAGCAAACAACGAGCCACATCTCGATAAAGCTCATCTTGGGCGAAATCGCGGTGGCAAGGAATGGAACGACGAAGATTTCGAGCACCTCCTGGTAGTCATCAGCCAAGATCGACAGGATTGGCGTCGGGTGCTTGGTCGCATGATGTTGTCTGTGGATGAACCAGAGGCTGTCAAACTCGTGGCAAGAACGGTGGTAGAGGTAGAACCAGTAGTCGAGAGCGATCTCCCACCACCCGATCTTGAGGGGAGTGGCCCAGGAAAGGCCGGACCAGATGTTGTTCATGTCGCCGCGCCAGGCGAGCAGGAAGGGGGCGAGGGTACGGAAGATGGTGTAGATGAAGATGGACTGGCCGAGGTGGTTGACGTGCTTGTCGTCGACGAGGTCACGACCACGGTTCTGCTCGTCGAGGGTGCCGTACTCAGCCATGTACTTGTGAAGACGCTTGATCATGCGGACAGCGAACAGGATGAAGCAGGTGTGGTACATGACCCAGGCGGGAGCCCAGTGCATAGTGTGGTTGGGGAAGGCGGCGTTCCAGCCGGTGTGGAGCAATGGTGCGAGGGAAGCCGTGGATAGAATGAAGACGTTCTCCTTCCAGATGGGCTGTGTAGGAGGCGGACCACGAAGCTTCTCGTCGGTGCCACGCTTGGCGTAGCAGACGTCAGGTGCAATGTCCATACCGGCGATGAACTCCCACAAGGTTCGCTCGTTTTTGGGCTTCAGGTGCCAGGTAGTCTTGGGTCGAACACCGTAGACCTTGTCGTAGCCTTCGCCAGTGACAGGGTCCTTGCCGATGGCCTTGTGGCCGAATCCGCCTGGTGCGAATGGCGAGGGTTCGTCGCACGCATTGTCGGGTGCGATGGAAGGTCCCTTGGCATCGGTCAGCTTTTGGTCGCCCATGGAAGGGCGTGTAGTAGGAGCGCGACCAGCGTCCTTTGGAAAATCTTGAACTGCGGCACTCATGGTTGGTGATGTGAGGGGGGATGTGTCGTGGGGGAGAGGGAAGAAGCTGGTTGACAGTGCGGGGTGTATATACTATCTCGTACACAATGCCCAAGGTGTGGCTGGTCGCAGCAAAGTACTGCTCTCGATCCAGTGGCGGCTCGAGCCCAGTATACTTGTGTGTGTGCGGGTGGACACCGGAAGTTTGTGCGAGGGGTGGAGGGTGCGGCTGCAGGCCAATGTCTCAGGTTTCATGCACCAGCAGCGGACAAGCGAGTTGTGTACACTTGCCTTCGTGCCCACCTGTTCGCGTTTCAAATGCAAGAAATGTGCATCGTCAGGGCAGACGGCCAAACGATGAGCAAATGCATAAGCGCTCCAGACCCCGGACACATCAGCTTGTCAAGCAGAGGAAGCAGCTGAAGCAACGCGGAAAATTATTACATCGTTGCTCCGAGCTCCCTGCGAAGCAGAGATTGCTCCCATGAACAGCGACATGTGCTGAGGCAGCGCACTAGCATTGTCCGATTGATGAGCAAAGCCGTGACGGCTGTAGTGTCCACGATTCACGGCAGATCGTTGACGAACGGAAATTTGTTGTCATTGCGGGAGCCGACTATGCTGTACAAAAACGAATCCGCACAGTGCGGCCGCAGTGTGTCGAGGATCCGCAAATCCTGCAAACAAGCTTTTGAAAGAGGCGCACGCAAATAAGTCAAGAACCGCGGTGACGTTGTTGGAGAGCGGGGCGTATTCTCGCCAAATACAAGTTGAGGCTCCGATTTCAAAAACCTTGAAATGGCATTAAGATCACGCTGAAAATTCCTCCTCTAAGCGAGGACAGACCCGAATCTCAGCTCTATTCTGTACGATTATGCGGCTGCGTCACACGCGCAAACCAAAACGAAGATCCGCCGCCCGCAGGCGGCGAGGCTTTCTGTCTGCTTCAGAGTACGTGCGTCGGCTCCACAACAGCAGAGTGGTTTTCCCAACGCCAGAGCCACGATGGAATTGAATCCTCGACACCAGTTAGGATCTGACCGCCATCTGGAGCGTGAAAATTTCGAAGACTGTACTCCAACTATCGCCTGCGTGTGGCGAAAATTCTGCTTACCAAATCTTCCAAACAGCACGCGCGCAATTGGACATCTTCTCACTGATCCCACTTACCGTCGAAATGAGTGTCACTATCTAAGACTTTGCCCCAGCGCCTCCAAGTCACCTGCCTCGCGATCCGTCTGGCTTCCGTGTCGCGAAGCGTACCTGCATCGTATTCTTTCTTGCGAGCGGCAAGCAAAACAACCTCGCGATCCAGACCTCGTCGAGCTTCCCAGGTCGACACGTCGGCGTCTCTTGTGTCCATCGACTTCATTTCAGTCTGACCTGAGACAACAAAGCCTTCTCCGCTCAGCACTTGAACGCCGTCGCGACTTTCTTGACCCCACATTGAGTGTCAGTCCCACGCGAGGTCTCTCCCCATTTCGAGCTCTATTTTTACCACTGCTGGTGGGTGTGACGAGATGTCGGGTGCGCCTGGTCTGTTACGAGTATTGAAGAGAACGTCATGTCCACTGCTAGCTCACTTGATCTCCCAAATCTTCTTAGCCAAGCACCTGCGTAAGCCCAATCACCGTCTTTCCCCGCATCTTTCATCCCTCACCGGCCCACAGCTTGATTCCTGTCTCAGAGCTATACTGAGCGTGAGTAGCGCAAGTCGAGAACAATATTGATTACGGTACACATGTTTTCCCCGCAGGGAACCGAGACGCACAATGGTCGACATCTTCGGTTGTTTCGCCATTTCGCCGTATCAACGTTCTCCGTCGCGTGGCAAGGTAGGTGTCACAGCGCAGCTTGCCAACCATGAAAGATTGCCGACAGATTGCCAGCGTCCGTCGCTTGCTGGATCAGATCGTTGACCGTGTACTCGATGCTTAACGACGACGAAAGCTTGCTCATCACCGAGGTCACGGCTCTATCCGCACTCAATTCGGCCGTGTCTGTACCCACCGCTTCCGCAGCGTCGGTCGGAGCCGCGTACGGAGTTGTTGACCTCGAGACCGCGCCTCGCCCCTGTACCGCTGCTGGCGTAGGCGCCGGCGTAGATCGGCCGGTCCTCGAAGTAGATCCAGATCGCTCTAGGCTCAGCGCAGGCAACGAGCTTTCTTCGTCTTCCTGCGCCCTAAGCACCTTGATCGGATTCGAGGTCCATGCAAACAAGGGGTCGTGTCGGAACACCTCGAGCACCGTCTTGATCACGTCCTGGTGCGCGCGCAGCACCCTCAGCGTCTCTTCGCAGCATCGTCGAAAGGTTCCTTCGACGCCGTGCATGCCCATTCCATCAACAAGGTCACGTGTGAGACGGAAAGGGACCAGCTCTGGGATCGGCAGCAGCTTGCCTTGGTCGAATGCCACACCAAAATCGATGTGCACCAATTCTCCGCTCTCCTTGTCGAGAAGAATGTTGGAAACATGTCGGTCTCCGAGTCCTAGGACGTGTCCGACGATCGAATTCGTGCTGACACTGCGTGTGTACCTCAGCCGTGTTTCGTACCAGTCCCTCGGCATGCGCTGGGCATCGCTGAAAAAGTAACGGAACGCTGGCCGCATCTGCTCGCAGACGTCCAAGAACGCTTCGAGCTTAGCCTCGGCGGGCAGAGACTGGGCGTCGCGCATCTTGGTCCTTGCTTGCGTTGGCGTAATGTCGTTGGAACGGTATTTGTCATGGAGCCCGATCAGCAACTCTCCGAGCGGCACCGTGTTCGTAACAAACTCGAGCATACCGCATTGCGGACCGAGCGGCAAGACTGTGTAAATGCGGATCGCCAATTTGCGCTCGCGAGTGCGGCGATCCGACTTGAGCAGGTCGTTGACCATGCGGAACACTTGCTGCATGACCGCGTCCTGGCGTAGATCATCGTCGCGCTTGAAGAGCTGTTTGTACCGCTTTCCATCGCTTCCGATGCATTCGCTGATCTTGGGCAAGTGTATTCCTCCTGCGGTGGTAAAACTGTCGCTGTACCGCACAATGGAGATCACCTTCTCGTACTTGCACGTTGGGTCGATCTCGAGACGAGCAGTCGCAACAGGAACGTCGAGGTCTCGCATCCGCACCAGCCGCAGCTCGCCCGACGGCGGCATACGCAGAGCGCCTTTCTTGATGGCGCCGCTGCTTTGAAAGTAGCGATCTGGACGAGAAGCGAGGTCGAATTCCGCCCATTCGACGTACGCCAAACACAACTCCTCGAATATTCGGATCCTTTTTCCGTGCGACGTCTGTCGCTTGACGTGATTCCAGATCTTCTCCGCAGCGGTCGAACGTAGGACCGGGGGGGATAGGGATGTCACGGCATTCTCGGAGGCACCAATAGAGCTTCTAGGTCCAGTGCGATGCGAAGCGGCCTTGGCATCGGCGCCCGTCTTGATCAGCGCGAAGATGGCGTACAGGCAGTGGAAGGGATGGTCCTGGCACATCCGTAGCAGCAACTGATTGAGGTTCGATTGGAACAGCGCCACGGGCTCGCTCTGATCTTGCACCTCGGTCAAACGAGCGGAAAGCTGATGCATGAGAGCAACAAACTTGCGCGATGGGACCGAGGCGAGGCAATTCGTCAACAGTCGGTTCAACTCGGCATCTTCCGCATTTTCGAACCACAGCGAGATGAGCCGAGCAACAGCATCGTCATGCGCGTCTGAAGAGCTCAACGCACGTGCATACATGACGACGCTGCGGCGAAGGAAATGCGTTCTTGAAGCTTCCAGCTCGGTGAGACGAGTCTGATCTTGGCGAATGATCTTTTCGGCCTGACGCTGGAACTGAAGCAGCTTCCCGCGGTCCGTTTTCGAGCTCGTCCTCTCGTACTTGTGCTGGTTCAGAGCAATCTCTTCTGCACGACGTTGGATGTAGAGTCGGAGACGCCGGACTTCGGCCATGTCCGACCCGCGGTGATGCTCTTCCGCAAACCGTGCCCACCTGTAGGAAATGTCGGATTGCTCCATGGTTGCTTCGGCTCCTTTGGAAGTATCGGAGGGCGTGGAAGTGGCGACCATCTTGAGGGCCGGTTCGAAGAGGTTCCGATCGATCTCTCGCGGGTGCTGAGATCTCGCTGTTGCTCTCCACTGAGCCAGAAGCGCTAGGAGACGTGCGCCTCGACGTCGTTGCTGCATTGAAGCTTGCGTAGTAATGGCCAGGTCATCGACGATCTGCGAAAGAAGCTGCATCGCTGGAGAATGTTCCTTCTGATCCCAAAGCACGGCCGCGAACTCCTCTCGCGCCAGATTGGCACCGTCACCCAGAAGAAGCTCGATCTTTTCTGCTCGTGCAGTCGCGTTGATGGCTTTCTGCAATTTCTTGTGTTCGCGAGCTTGTTGGCTGAGTCTTACCAGTAGAAGCCTCTCGACTCGAGCGATCTCTTCGGCTGGACCGTCCAGAACGTCACCGATCTGAGTTGATTGCAAGCGCTGTCGTGCGATCTGCAACAACGACTGCTGCGTGTTGAGGATTGCTTCTGCTCTCTCAAATTGGTCTCCGACGTCGGCTCGCGTCCACACCGACTTGAGGTGCATCACCGCTTCTTCTGATCCTAACGACGACGACGCTTTGCGCCATTCTTTGATTTGTCCGAGTGAGAGCAGGTCACCCTGAATTTTGCGCATGTTGGCAATACTCTCGGCAGGGACGGAACATAGTCTCTGCAGCTGCGACTGAATCGCAAGCGAGAGAGGCTTGTCGACATCTTGCTCGTTGTTGACCTGACGCAAAGTGCGCAGCATCGAATCGACCCCATCGCCTCCTGCTAGCAACAAGCTCGAGTCCGTAGGCAAGTCCCACGTAGTAGAGACGACACCATTACCAGGGGCCAAATGCAGACCAACTGAGCTCGGAGAAGCCGATGCTGTACTGACACCGTGGACGAGACGCTGGAAGCCCAGCTGCGATAGACTTTCGCCGAGCGCACCCGCCTGCGCGGTGGCGCTCTCGCCATCAGAAGTTGAAGCCTCATAGGCGGCTGCATGGTATTGAAAAGCTCGCAGCCACTGCCCTTCGTGGTGCAGTCGTTTCAGAAGTAGCTCGCGCACGTCTCCGTCCGTGATGCCGTAGAATGCGTCAGGATCATCAATGTTCATGTATGCCTGGTGAAGCAACTCTGCCCTGCCTTTCATGTGCGGAGCATAGGATACCTGCGACTCGTCTGCCTCCCTGTCGCCGTGCTCCACAAAGAAGATGGCGGCAGAGTAGAGCCCGCACGCGATGCAGCATTTCGCAAGCAGATCCGTGTCGACCTGGAACCAAAAGCAGACTTTGTCTGGCTCCTCTTGGACGGGTCTGTTCGACCTCACGGCAAGAAGCGCGTTGACGATGATCGAATGACATTTCGGATCAGCGGTCTGTGCGGTGAGTATGTGGTCGAAATGCGTCGCCATCGCGGCACGGTACTGCTGTAGCGAAGCCGCTTGGTCTTGAAAGTCCGACCGCCTTCCCGATGTTCTTCTTCTTCCGCCAGCAGACGACGTTGCGACGTTTGTATCCATGTCCACGGTCGTGAAACAGAGAAGCAAGACGTGGAAAAGAGCCTCGGCGGCTTCTTTGTTCGTCGACACAAATTGACCGATGGGACGGAAAAAGTCTTTTCGCGGGAAGGAAGCGATAATGCTGCACATGATTGCCGTGATTCGGCGGATCCACAGCTCCGATGAGGTCGAGGATTCCAACAGTGCTTGCTCCGGCAGGCTCTCCGGCTGCAAAGCTGCGGCACGAGTCGTCAGAGCGCTAATGCTCGGCCGAATGCGATCAATCTCTCCTCGGCTGACGGTAGGTAAGGTGTCCATGAAAGGGTCCTGAACGACGGCAACAATGCTGCGCAACGTCTCATAAGCTTGGTAGCTCGGCTCGAGGGGCAGTGTTTGTGTTAGCTCATGTACCTTGAGAACAGCTGCAGCTGATAGGCTGCACGCCTGGCTTGTGTCGGCGGCAGCAAGATATGTCTCGGAAGCCGTCTGGCCTTGCTTGTGTCCATGCTCGGTGGATGCACGTTCACGCTGCATCAGGACAGAGTCGTCGACGCTCGAAATGCAAGCATAGATATCGCTGACGACATCGCTCGGCGATTCGCCTTCGGTGCAACTTGATATCGTGCCGTGGGAGCTAGCCATTCGCTCGAGCAGCTTCCAGCCTGATCTGAGACAAAAGGTCTCGAGCTGTGACCTGTTTGTTCTTCTGAGGACGTGCCGAATACGTAACATCGACGGCAGGCGAAGCGATAGTCGTGGACAAGCCTGCATCGCAAAAGCCACAGTATCAATATCGATGAGTCCTTCGATTGCAGCATGCTCCGTAGACGTGCTCTTGACTGGCCACAAGAGTATAGTGGAGGAGGTCGCGATGGGTGACGCCTTGGCTACTGCGCGTGCAGCTTCGAACAGCCATTCGCCAGCCTTTGGCGATTCAGTGAGCTGTTTTACTGTTTTGTCTGCCCAGGTAGCGATGCATGACACCAAAATATCAGGTTTGTGCTGAGCCAAAGACGAGTGGCTGCAAGCATACATTAGGATCGGCCCAAAGTCGTCGTGAAGGAGTCGCTGATCGAGCAGCAGTTCCACGCTCTGAACCAAGATGCGCACATTGAGCTGATCAGCCCAGAAGCTGTCGCCACACATTGCAAGATAAATACGCAGCGCCGCACACAAGCGAAGCTGCTCGTTGTGAAATCTTGATGTTGCAATGCGGTGGACGACGTGACGCAGCACGTTGTAGACGACATTTTGACTAAATGGCTCGATGCCAAGGTTTGGCAAAGCCAAAAGCGCTTCAGCAACGACGGCGCTCGCGAAGAAAGGTCGGCTTGGTTCGTGCAGGACCAGAGCAGAGGATGCGGTCGTTGGCGTCAAGCTTGACAGGGCTTTTCCGGCTTTAGCGTCTAGCTGCGTCAGCCGAGCCAGAGACGATCGACGACTTTCTGCCAGGGTAGCCGCTGGCTCGAAATACAGCGTCAGCAAGGTGGTAACGACCAGATCGTCCGCGCCCGAGATCATTCGTCGCAGCTCCTCATGCTCGGCGCTGTCGGAAAACCCGAGCTGAGTCAGTTCATGCAACGCTCGTGTGCCAATGGAGGCCAGATCCGGCCTTTCCTGCTGCTGCGTCGCTTCAACAGCAAAGCCCAAGTAGGCGGCGGTGAGGAAGGGCATGCACTCCTGCAGACCTTGCCGATGGGTCCTTTTGGTCAATTGGACGAGGGCGTCGAACTGCGTCTTGCCCTGCTGCGTCTGAGCCGCGAGCAACATGCTCCCGCTAGCGGCAAAAGTCGCATCGAGGCACTCGCGTTTGCTTGTAAATCCGACCACCTTCCAAGGCACCTGCAGCGGATCGTAGTTATTGGTAGCCATCCCCCATGTCATTTGACCAGCAAAGGCTTGGTAGCAACTTGAAGCGTCAGGGAACCCAAGTCTTGCCGCGATCTGCGCAAACAGGTGCTGTACGGTGATTGGAAACATATCGGTTGCAAGGACGATCTCGAGGAGATGGAACAGTGCCGACTGGCGAACCGCCGAGTTGACGATGGCGACATTGGCGAGGCTGAGCGCTCGTGTCAGAATGTGCTGAGGAATGCTGGAATCGCTAGGCAGACTGTCCCGAAATTCGTTGTAGAGGTCGGACGTCTGGCCTTGTTCAGATATTACGGTGTCAAACACATTTGCCGCCATCGGTGACCCGAGACCTCGCACACGTATGTCAGCGTCTGCGTTGATGCACAACAGAGACTTCCGCGGGGTAAAGCCGCTGGCACGAGCGCTGCCTGATCGGCTCAGGCGTCCTTCTCCATCCTGTCGTAGGCACTCTGCTAAGAAGCTGGCGCAATCAAGTTGCACCCCCCAGGGCGTTGGCCACTTGACTCGGCCAATCTGGTCCGCGAAAAAGACGGCTAGCTTCTGCACCTTGTCAAACAGATCCGACTGCTCGTCGAAATCTTCCAATAGCAGAGGCAAGACTGCTTTTACTGCGCGGATGGCGGCAAGACGGGCTGCGGGGTGCCGAGCGAACTGATAAGATGCCAGCAGCTCTGATCCGATGCGATCAAGTGCATCGACAAGATCCCGCTGGCTCATCCAAAACTTGCCTTTGCGGAGCAAATCGAAAAGCACTGGAGCCAACGCGATCATCGAATCCACCGGGCAGTCGAAGTAGAGTGACAAGACCAGTTCGTCCCGCCGGGAGTCTGCATTCGTAGAAAGGATTCGAGGCACGCCGACCAAGAGACGCACAAACGTGCTCACGATCGCGTCAGTCGACTCGATCGAGCCGATGCAGTTGGAATGTTTCTCGTGAAGAGCGTTGGGGGAAGCGCTTTCGGTCATGTCGTCGAACGCATCGAGGAGGCTTGATGCGGTAAGAGACGCTGGACCATTGTCGCCGTCCTTGTGGTCAAACACAACCCTTTCCAGCACCGTATTGCAGCTCGACAAGACTGTCTCTAGCATGCCCGCTTCTTGAATTGCTGTCCAAATTCGCTTGGAGAAATCGTCCGGATCCGCCACAAATACTGGGCGATCTTGCGGCTTTGCGAGCTGAGGTCCAGGAGCGACCCCACTCGCCGAGCCGGGAACGGCGAGCAAGTTGTTCGAGGCAGCGTTATCGGCAGCGACATCATTTTCAAACGGCGCGAATCGACGAAGCTGCTGCAGGGCAAGGTCGAGCGGTCGTGCGAGCGTGCCCTCGGACGATGAAGCAAGATCGACAATCTTGACAATGACCTGACAGGCGCGTTTGACGCGTGTCGGATTCTGCGAGCTGTTGCTCATTGTCACTTTGGACCACACGTCGACTGCAAGCATGGCTGCGTGGATCATGGACACTGCACGGTCGTGAGTCACAACTGGAACATCCTCGGAGTTCCGAGAGTCGAGCAGGTCCAAACAGATGCCGACCTTCTTTTCGAGGATGGCCGCCAACCTCTCGAAATCCTCCATCGAAAGCAGTGGTGGTCTCGCGTGGGTAACCCTTTCGCTCACAGTATTGATGTCGACTTCGAGTTGTGTACACTTGTTGCATAATGTCAATTCACGCAACGACTGCAATCGTGCTAGCCGACTGAGTAGTGTCGCCACCTCGTCGTTGTGTGCTGCCACACTTTGTGGAGCGGAAGATTCCAGCGCTCGCTCGGCAATGACGCAGCCCACGAGACGAAGGAGGTCATGATATGGTGTGAACAGCTGCATGCTTCGACCGGCTGCGCTTTGCGTCGACGACCGTGGAGCCTCTGCCGGCGTATACGAGTTTGCGAACCAGGCTCCAATCTTTCTGCGGGCGTCGAGATGGAGAAAGGTGCGATCTGAGGTGGTGCGTTGCAACAGCAATGTCATCAAATGGCAAACGGTATCGCAGAGGAACGGTGGACCTTGTAGATCGACCTCTGCTACCAGACGGGTGATATCTGGCCGCAACACTGAATCAGGGAGCGCTGCCCTCGACAGCATGGCGTTGAGCAAAAAAGCAGCGCTGCGGCAAGTTTCGGGTAATTCTAGCTTGCGTACGGCGATTCCCCAGTGATGGAGGCTAGCGCGCGCTGACGGATGACCGATTTCTGCATCCGCGGCCCCGCTGCGGTCGGATATGAGCACCGCCGCGCCGAGGCCTACCAAGCTCCATGAGACCAGCAGTGGATCTGGGTCAGCGGCCAGCGTCAGCAAGCGCTGACGTGCTTCGAGCAGCATCGACGGCTCGATGAGATTGGGTCGTGTGAGGAGAACAAAGACAAGCAATTGTAGAGCCCCGAGCCTTGTACCCGCACCCACGATGGGTGTCGAGGCAGCATTGAACACCGTGTCGAGCAACTGTTCCATGTGTGTTCGCTCTGGCTGGTTAAGTTGAGCGTCGAACGGGCTCTTCCGTCTTCGCTTTTGTGGACTCGAAGACGTCGTATCCGCTCCGCGTTTGGCATTGGACGGTCGGGGGTGTAGCACGGAGCGCTGACTTGCTGCAGTGCTCGATGGTGGTTCTTCTTGCTCATCTTGACGAACAGTCAAGGGAGCAGACGCGCCGTTGCCTTGCCGCGCGGACTCTGAGGTGATGAGTGCATCCAAGATTTCTACTTGCAGGCCAATCCGACACCAGGCGAGCGAGTCTTGTTCCTTCGACATGGGCCCAAGACCAAATGCCGCGTTGCTGAGAGCTGATTGGTGTTGTTGAGGGTTGAACCTTCGTTGCGCTGGCCAATAGAAGACAAGTGCGTCCATTTTGATGGGTTCGAGTGCCCAGCGGGTGTCGTGATCGTGAAGAAGGAGATCATAAACTTCGTGCAGAAACATCGTTGCGTTGGCTCGGATTGCCTGACCACTAGCGCCATCCTGTGACGGCGCTATCTCGGACTGCCCTCCTGCAAAAGAAGCCAGAAGCGGGCTGACGATGCGCAGGAACAATAGTGTTCGCTTTTTGAGCAGATGATTTTTGGTCTTCCAAAGTGCGATGATGGAGGATCGTAGAGCGAGCGATGCAAGAAGCACCGAGTACGGGTGGTTGAGTTCGAGGTGCTCCACCAAGGCTACCAATCCGGTCATGGCTGGCAAGTGAGCCGATGACTCCCCTGGAAAGGTGAGAAAGAATCGGGTATAGTCGGCAAGAAGTGAGAGACCATGGCCATTCGATCCGAGCAAGGGCGCTACAGTCGAAGCGAGAAGGTGGCGGAGGCATTCCGCAGTGACAGTGTCCTCGAGGCTGAGGCCGCGCTGGTGTGCAGTCAGTGTTGGAGAGGACGGCAACGAAGCCAGCCATGCGGTAGGGTCGCTGCCTCCAGCAGGACTGTCGAGGTCTCGTCCCAGAAGCATGTCAAAGCATAAACAAGCTGCTGCTCGCCAGTCTTCCGGATCGAGATGGTCGACGTGATGCTGGTGGCTCAAGACAGCGCATAGCGCAGATATGTATGCGGGTGCGACGGGTCGAAGGAGGGTGCCACGATGGTTGATCATTTGGAGGATGTGCGTTATGAGAGCCTTGACCACCTTTCGAGTCAAAAGGGGAGCAGCCTTGTCTACGAGTGAACGCAGCATCTGAGCTGCGCGCTGCAATCTGGCGAGGGAGACGGGCTGTGCATCGAGGAAGGAGCCCTTGCGGATGCAGGCAGCCTTCTCGGCGAGCACGCATGCGAAGAGCGCCTGAAACACCTTGAGCCACGCCTTTCCATCCTGTTTGGGGTCGAGGTTGACGACATTATTGGAATCCGAGAAGATGTGTTCGAGTGCCTCGAGGCCTGACTGACGGTCCTTGATCTTGTCGCTGCGGATCTGTTCGAGCGCTTCCTGCAAAGAGAAGGCCATATTGCCGCGGTACAGACGTGTGCGAGCCTAATGCTTTGCCATGCTCGGCTGATACTTGAGCGTGGCGATGTTCAGGTCGACGTGGGACGATACTCTCGATGAGCGTGCGGCCAGCTTGCCGACTGGACAGCTTCGGATTTCGTCGGGATCGTCAGCTTGCGATGAGCTGAAGTGCGTCAAGCGAGAGCAAAGATCGGACGGCGAAGGAGGACAAGGATGGCTGAATCTAGGAAAGCTACATGTGCACTCGCAGCGCAGAGCATGTCAGGGTCCAATTCAAGAAGAAACGCTCCCAAGTGTTGGTTTCCTCCGTCTGCGCTCTCGTGACCGCGACCGTGCGTGCGCAAAAAGTTCTCCACTACCAAAAAAAATCGCCGCTGCATTCCGGCATTCCTTGCTTTCGGCTTTGATCCCGAAGAGTCACACGGACCCCCGGACTCGTCGATCGGGCTCTTCCGAGAATTCAAGGTTGACGTGGAAACATCAAGACAGCCGCACATCTGCTGCTCAGCTCCTCACCACCATCCTCATCACCGCCATCATTCTCAGCGCCACAAGTCGTTGTGCAAGATGGCATCCTCAACAGAGATGGAGACGGTCGAGATCGGCATCATCGGCATGGGCGACATGGGGCGCCTTTACGCGACAAAGATGAGAGAGGCAGGCTGGAAGAAGGTCAACGTCTGTGACCGACCCGAGAACTACGACAAGCTTTGCAGAGAGCTTCAAGGATCAGGGCTCAACGTTCTACGCGACGGTCACCTCGTCTCACGGCGAAGCGACTACATCATCTATTCTGTCGAGGCCGCTTTCATCGACAAGGTCGTCGAGCAGTATGGCTCTTCAACCAAGATTGGTTCCATTGTTGCAGGCCAGACGTCCGTCAAAGCACCGGAGAAGGCTGCGTTCGAAAAACACCTCCCGCAAGATACCTACATCATCTCGTGCCATTCCATGCACGGTCCCAAGATCGATCCGACGGGCCAGCCGCTCATCCTTATCCAACATCGCGCGCCCGACGAGAAGATGCGCTTGGTCGAAAGGATCATGGCCTGCTTCAAGTCCAACTTTGTCTACCTCACCTACGAGGAACACGACACGGTCACAGCAAATACTCAAGCTGTGACTCATGCCGCCTTCTTGTCAATGGGCACCGCATGGTGCTGCTCGAATCAGTATCCTTGGGAGTCGGAGCGATACCCAGGAGGCATCGAGACGGTCAAGATCAACATCTGCTTGCGCATCTACTCTGCCAAATGGCACGTCTACGCTGGTCTGGCACTCCTCAATCCTGCAGCCAAGACACAAGTAACTCAGTTTGCTCAGAGCTGCACCGACCTTTTCAAGCTCATGGTGGCAGAACGAGAGGACGAATTGATGGAGCGCGTCTTTGCTGCGCGCAAGAAAGTGTTTGGATGGGAAAAGGACGAGGAGAGCAACAGCATCATCTCGCGCACAGGCACGAGGGAGGAGCGCAAACCCATTCTCATGAGCGACAAGCTGCTCGACCGATTCCACATGGCTGCTCGCAAAGCAACCTCAACTTCTGGGCACGCAGATGCTACCAGCGACGGGGATGGCGCAAGTGTAACGTTGAGTCAATCACCGCCCAACTCGCATCTCTCGCTACTCGCCATTGTCGACTGTTGGAGCTCGCTCGGCATCAACCCTTACGATCATCTCGACCTCGCCGCGACACCCATCTTCAGAATATGGATCGGTGTCTGCGAGTATCTCTTCCGCTCGCCCGAGCGTCTCCGTCAGGCATGCCACGCCGCAGCAAGGGACCACAGCTTCAGAGCAGACGACACCGAGTTCGTCATCGCATCCCGCGGATGGGCACAGGCAGTGCAATTTGGCAACTTTGACAGCTATCAGAGACGTTTTGAAGAGACCAGGGGCTTCTTCGAGCACAGATTTCAAGAGGCAGGAGCGGTTGGTGCGGAGATGCTTAAAGTTGTATTGTCAAACTAGTCACCCTCGGGAATCGCGGTTGACCCAAGTGGAATTCGAAGATGCTGTCGATCACGCTCGTGTTCTCAACGAGCTCGGGGAGGGCTTATTTGATCTTGTCGAGCGGTCTGTTGAATCCACCCTTTCGGTTCATGTACTGCCTCCAAGTGCGTTCCTTTTTCACCTCTGCTGCGCCCGCTGCGTTGCCCGTGACCTTTTTGCCTTTTGTGGTGCCGAACCCGCCAAAGCCCATCATGGCGGCCATTGCGTCTTCGTCGCCGTCCTCTTCTCCGGCCTCCCCATCATCTTGCTCTTCTTGTTCGATCGGCTTGTTGTGGGTATCGCTTGCATTCGGTGCTGATGTCGATGGTGCGCGTGTTGATGGTGGCGCGGATGATTGGTTTGTACCTCGACTCGAGCTCACTGATGCATCGTCATTCTGGCGAGGCTTTGATGGCGCAGAGCGATAGTCGCGCGAAGAGCATGCGTCCTGCTGATACGCGTCTGGTCTGTCTCGCGGAGGAGGCGGGGCACGATCCCGCTGTCGGTCGTCCCTATCTCTGTCTCTGGATCGATAGTCATCTCTGTCCCTTTCTCTGCGTTGGCTTCTCCAATCGTCCCTGTCGTCGCGATCACGTCTGTCTGACTCATACCTCGAACTCGATGATCTTGAATGTTGCGGGCTCGGAGAGCGCCGTCTTCGATAGTCATGAGAAGAGGAAGCTGCACCTCGATCGTCCCTGTAGTCTCTACGAGCTGGCGCATCGTTGTATGGCCGTGGAGGCAGTGGTGGAGATCTGCGCCTGCCGCTCATCCTTACGAGCTTGGATACTGAGGACCGTTTCGAGATGTAATCGTGATGGTAACAAGAGGCAACGAAGGGTGAGCGAATTCAAAAGAGCGGGAAATCAGGGTCCAAACTCACGATGCAGCTGCACAAGGTGGAGGAAAGCTCTTCTTTTCGCGCGAGAAAACTGGGATGGCCAACTGAAACGGAACCGAGCGCGATTCTGCGATATTTCGAGGTTCATGCAGTTCAACACATTCTCAACACCACTCATCATCATCCGCACCTGATCATCACCACAGAAGCGATCCACTTTGCGTTCCATTCCAAGCGCATCACAAGAAGCAAAAATCGTACGCCTCTACTCAAGTCGACGATATATAAATACAATCAAGATGGCTGGCGGAGGATATCGTAAGTACACCACGACGACCTCAACAGTGCACAACTCAATGCTGTGGTCGTACAGTAGTAAGCATTGCAACAGCCAGACTGACCCTCCATTGCCTCGCTACGCTCTGCTACGACAACGACAGACCCATACAAGGCCGATCCGGCGCTCGACCGATGGCAAAACATGCACTCGACCATGTACCAGCGCTTCCGTCTGACACCTTCGAAAGCACGAAATGTCGTTCTTTGGGGATTGACCGTCCCTGTCCTCACCTACTACGCCGCTCAGTACACCGACGACCGATGGGAACTACGAGGAAAGACTCGTCAGGATTCGCTGCTCCGCAACCCTCCCGCTGCCCCAGCGGCAGAGGCTGACGAGGAGTAAGGCACACACTGCGATGATAACATTGTCCAAGAAATCACACATACCGTTTCGATCCGAATTGCTTCGCGTTTAGGCCGTGTCGCTTTCCCCCTTGCTGCACGCACTCGACACCGGGACGCTACGCTTGAGATCGCTGCACCGACATGACACAGCACGAGCTTAATCCGGAAAGCATAAATCTTGCTGGGTTGCACACGATATGACACAGAATCCCGTTCACCCCGCCCGCACTCACGACATGACTCACACAAGCAACACGGGCAGCACACTCTTTCGAAGAACAACTAGACTCCTATTCACGTTCCGACTCCATGCCAGGCTCTAATCACTCGCCAATACCCACTCCCTCAACCCCTCACTCGCGCCCCACACCCGATCCAACACCACGACCTCCAACCACCTCTGCAATGCCCTCCTTCTCTTCTCCAGATACCTTGCATCGTACTTGCTCAACAACCCCGTCCTTCTTGTCGGCAGTTGAGGTAACCACTTTGCCTGATCCTTGCATTCGTTGAGCAGCGTACTTCTTAGCTTGACGAACGACGAGAAGCGTTTGTGCGCAACGATAGGTGTACCTTGCTTCGTGATGATGCGCAGTTCGAAAACGACCCAGCCGCGCGCTTGCGAGCCCACTTCGGACCATCCACGGATGCGCACTTCGCGCGCAAAGACGTCGGAAGAGCCGTTGCGAATCGAGGCTGATGATTGACGTCGCCTATGTGAAAAGGAACTGCCGCCGCTACGTCGACGTTCGAGGCTGTGGTGACTCGGTGAGCGCGAAGAAGACGTGAGAGTCGAAACAGGTAGCGAGATGAGCGAAGATGGTGCCGACTCGAGCGAAGCATTATCGACATCATCTTTGTCGCCGACAATCTCGGCTCGCTCGTGGTGTTCACTGCTTTGCCAATAAGCAGCTCGCTCGCGACGCGGAGAGATGAGTGGACTCGATGGTTCCGAAGCTGATTCGAGCCGCGTACGCGCGCCATTCTGGTCGTGATTCTGTGCGGATTGGTCGCTTGAGGTCGCTGGGAGCGCGCTTGTATTGGTCGGCGGCGATACAGCTGGCGAGTTGAGTTTTGAGCTGCTCCCGCTTCTCGCCTCATCCTGCGGTTGTATCATTCCCGACGCACGCGCTTGTCTTCTGTTGCCGTGCAAAACCACTGGATCTGCCTTTGCTTGACTCAGCTCGATGGTTGGCGTCGGCCTTCGAATGGAGGGCAGTTCCAGCTGAGATCTGGTGCTGTCCACTGTTGCGACGCCTTCAGCGGGAGAGAGTAGCGCTGTGTCTTTACCGGTCGACTGACTCTTGCTTCGATCCTCGCTTTGCAGTCGAAGACCGAGCAGTCCTTCGGTCAAGCTCTTGTCGACCGGCCTTGACGAGGCGCTCGAGGACAACCTCGCTTTCCGTGGCCTGGGTGACATCGAAAGCTGTTTGGACGAGGCCGAAGAAGGGGAGCCAAAATCCGACGCAATGTCGGAGCTGGTATCCAACACAATAGAAACATCGTCATTGTTGTCCCAGTGCGCGAGCGTCAGAGCACCTGCGACAGCACGAGGCGCTCTAATGATGCTTGGAGGACCGCCCCTAGACGGTCTGCGCGCCTTTTTCTTTACCGGAGGGGGAGGTTTGGTAGGGCTCGTACCAGCCGCAGACTGGAAAGCATCTGGAAACGACTCGAGAAAGAAGGCGGGCGGAGTTGATGTGCTTGTAGTCGTCGATTCAGATGTCGTTTTTGCTGACGTTGACGGGAGGATGGATGATGGATCGGGACCGCATTCGTCCGCTGCTGTAGATGGATCGCGTTCGCGAGACTGGGGTCGTGGCCTGCCACCCAAGGTGCGACCAACGACCTTACCTTGAACGACGCGCTCGCCGTATTGGTTGATGTAGATGTCATTGACTGGAGTGCGGACTCTGAGCTTGCTAGGTGATGGGACTCTTAGCTCTTGGTCGAACCCATCCGACAGATGCGACGATGCAAGGATCTGTGTATCATCATGTTCTTGCGCTGTGCCAGCCTTGACGGATCGCGTTCGGGAGCTCAATCCGCGTGCAGGTAAGTTGTCATCAGCATCGTCCAGGAGGCTTGTGCCAAGCTCGATCTTGATCGGATCATGCGATCTCGATGCAACAGTGTTGGACGGGCTGCCAGTGTTGTCTACGCCACTATTAACAGTGGAAGTGGGTGGTACTGGCCATTGGAAGGGTCGGACGTCGGTGGGCGAATGTAGAACCTCGAGCTTGGAAGATGCAGAGAATGTTGCAGTGCTTCGCGTCGATGCAGGCTCAATCTTGGAAGGCGAGACGTCTCGACGTGTCTGCTGGAGGTGGGGCGAAGCGGCGAAGGCAGAAGGTCGAGCAGGTGCAATGTCTAGGAGTTGATCGGTCGCTTCGCGCAGCTCTTTGGCCAGTTCGGCCTCCATGCTGATGTGCGAGCGGCGAGCTTCATGGCCATGCGTCCGCCGTGCCAAGAGTAAAGAGTAGCCTGGGTAAAGGAAACAAGCAAGTGGTCAGGAGAAACGCGGAGAAGCGAGACAGAACCCTTGCGATCTGCATCCGTGCGTCGGTGGACCCTTCGACGCACACGGCGAAATTTGGAACAATGTTAGACCTGCGGCTCGTCAAGGATGACGGTTCGGCGAAATAGCCACAGCCGAATTGACCGTCTTTTGTCGAGAGAAACCTCGCTTAGCTGTCAAGCGAAGATGCATGACCAAAAGCGGCATGGAGCACACCGAGATTGCTCCGCTCTGTCTTTGGTGTCATGCTGAACATCAGGTCGAGTTTATTCGCTGCGGCACGGAGACCAAAGACTTTCTTGGCGGGACTTCGGCTGTATACATTCGTACTTTCGATTCTTCCTCCCCATGCCGATGATTGCCGAAACTGGCAAGGCGGGATAATCCGTACGAAGGAGTGGTCGGTCTCGGTCGGTCTTCGAGCACCTTCCTAACGAGTGATTCTTGAAATTTGGGGACCCCGCGCTGCCGAGCAAGTCCCCCACACTCATGCCGCTAGGTGCTTCGTGCTGATTTGCCGCCGTGCTCCGGGCCTTAAGCTGCACAGTGAAAGCACCACCAGGTGCAATGCCGGAGCTCTCTCCATAGGTGCACTTTACTTCGAGGAGACATATAAGAAGAGCTCTTCCGAGACGAGTCCTTTACCGCTCCGCCACCAAAGGCTTCCCTACACCTCTCATCATGCTCTCATCAACCTTTGCCACCCTTTCGCCGTTGGCATTTGCCAGCGTCGCCTCAGCGCTCCAAAATGGTCTCGCCCTTACCCCACAAATGGGATGGAACACCTGGAACACTTTCGCTTGCAACATCAGCCAAGACACGGTGCTTTCCGCCGCACGAGCGATCAAGAGCGAAAACCTAGATCAATACGGCTACAACTATGTGGTCATCGACGACTGCTGGCAAGCCGATCAGCGTGACAATGGCACCAATGTCCTTCCTGCCAACAAGGAGAAATTTCCAAATGGGCTCAAGGCTGTCGTCGATGAAATCAAGAGCATGGGTCTCAAAGCCGGGTAAGTACAGGGAGTTTCGGTAGGGACGCAGTTGCAGGGCAGCACAAATTGACAGGTGTTTTTGCGCAACGCAACAGAATCTATTCCTCGGCCGGCGTCATGACGTGCGGTCATCACATCGGCTCACTTGGCTACGAAGAAGTTGACGCCACATCGTGGGCATCCGATGGATTCGAGTACCTCAAATACGACAACTGCTTCAACCAAGGAGAGTCTGGAAGCCCAAAACTTTCGTTCGATCGATACAACGCGATGTCGCAAGCGTTGAACAAGACCACAGGAGAGCCCATCCTTTACTCCATGTGCAACTGGGGAGAGGACTGGCCGTGGCTCTTTGCAACCGAGATTGCTAATTCTTGGCGAATTTCCGGTGATATCTACCCCACCTTCAACCGCGATGACGACCGATGTCCATGCACCGACATCACCCACTGCAATTTGCAAGGGTTCCACTGCTCCATCGCCAAGATCCTCGACTTTGCGGCCTCCCTAGGCCAGAAAGCGTATCCAGGTGCATGGAACGATCTCGATATGCTCGAAGTAGGAAACCGCGGTCTCAACCTCGACGAAAGCCTGGTTCACTTCTCCATGTGGGCCATGCTCAAATCGCCCCTCATCCTCGGAAACGACCTCACAAAGATGACCAACCAGACTCGAGCGATCATCAAGAACAAGCATGTCATCGACATCTCGCAGGATCCCACGGGATCGCCTGGTGTTCGACTTTGGAAGAAGCAACACGAGGATGGCAACACTCAGATGTGGAAGATCGCCTTGTCGAATGGAACCTACGCTGTCGCTGCTATCAATGTCTCCGAATCGCCAAAGAATGTATCGATCAGCATGGACGATATTTTCTTCGACGAGTATCTGGACAACGAAGATCTCAACGAACAGCCCTGGAATGCATACGATCTTTGGAAAGGTGTTGACTTTAGCAAGAACCCAACGGAGCCTGTTGCTATGGAAACGATGAAGGTGCAAGGTGGGCCCTTTACTGGAAAGTTGCCGGAGGTCACCGTGCCCACCCACGGTATCAAGTTGTACAAGTTGACCCCTGCTAGCGGAAGCACTGGATCGGCTCAAAAGAGGAGCTCCGATGGACTGGACAAGGTCTCGAGGGACTTCGCCGAGATGAGGCCAAGTCGAATCATGGGATCTCAGGCATTTCTTTGATCTCACGTAACATCTTCTGCTTGGAATGTACAATACACCGCGAGGTACAGAAGTGAACTCACTCAGTGAATCTAAACCTCGAGTGGCAAATGAGTCACGCTATGAAGTTTCAGTCGAAAACAAGCCGTGACAAGACTGCACATGTCTTTGATCCCAGTCAAGAACATCTACGCAGACATCGATTTGGTCATTGGTGAAAAGCAAAACGACACGAGACGACAAAAAGCAACAACAGAGAATTCAGACGAGCCTATCGTTCGCGCCTAGAAGAGGGACCAGACTCCGATGCAGGTGGTCATAGCAGCAACACCAAGAGCAACCGCGACACCGATCATTTCGCTCCTGACACCAGCCGCAACAGAGCTACCCTGGACGGTGGCAGTGCCGCTGCCATTCTTGCTCGGACCCGATGCGACGGGTGTCTGCACACCAACCGGCATGCTGAAAGTGGATGTGACCCCAGCTGCTCCTCCGCCAGAGCCGTTCTGACCACCTTCAGCCGGCGTTGGAGCCTTGGCGCCGTCCTGAGTCGAAGTGGCGTTCGTACCGTTGTTCTTCGGATCATCAGTGATCGTCGGCATGTTCTCCAAATTGCCCGAAGATTTGTAGCCTGGAATGTTCAGCTTGGGCACACCGACTCCGCCGCAGATGCTGGTGATGACACCGGCAGCACCGTGAAACTGTTGAGGACAGGTAGCGTTGATGCAGGCGAAGGTCTGGTCGATAAAGTTTTCGCTCTTGCAGAAGCAGTCGGGCTTGCTGAAGTCGTTTCCGCATCCAACCCCGGTGATGGAGCGCGTGGCGCAACCGGAGACGCACTGACCGTGATGTCCGCCAGGTTGATGACCATTTTGAGGACCGCTAGTCGAAGCCTTGTCGTCATCTTGACTGTCGGTAGAGTCGTCAGATGTACCCATCGTGTGCTGCGAGCTGGCGATGATTGACTGAACGTCATTTCCACTGGCAGGAGCGGAGATCGAGCCCTCGTTGTTGCCGGTCTGACCAGTGGGAGAGGTGGACTCGGTCGGGGATTCTTTCAGCTCAGGTGTGCCGCCTTGAGGGCTTGATGCAGGAGGAGCTCCAGCGGCAGAGACACTAGCAGCAACGATCAAAACAAGGAGCAGCAGCCAGGCGAAGGAAGAGCGGGATTTGCGACTGGTCTTCATGATGCGAGTCGATCGAGCTGAAGGTGGAAAGACAGGAGTTCCGGCTGGTAGTGATGCGGAAAGGAAATGTCATCAGGACTCAAAGATGCCTTTGAGGGGATTGCTCGAAGGTCAGGGACAAGCTGCTCCAACCATGCTAATCAGGCAGGTTCATTGCAGCCTCGACGCCACAGGTGATGGTTGGTGGGTGCAATTCAAGCTCTCATCACGTGTAACAGACCGCTCGCCGCTCGCATCAGAACGGTCAGTCGACACGAGTCATTTCATTGACACAGAGACACGATACTGTATGCAACCTTTTTTAATTCGAGGCTACTGCCGACAGCGAAATTCGAGCACCCGCCAAGCTAGGTCGCCTGAAGTGGGTCGGTCCCACTCGAAAGCCGCATTGTAGGCCAAAGCACATTGTGGACAAAAAGTCCACCTTTCGAGTGGGTTCGGGATACATCCTCGACTCTCTAACATACCGGACCTTAGCTCAATTCGAACGGTTTGAAGTGGCAAAGCTGGCAAGTCTAATCTATTCAGCCGTGACAACCATATCTATGTACATTGGCAGTATCCTACAGGCAAGTCGATCAGACCACAATCATTCAAAGTACTTGGCAACTTTCCCGAGCATGGTGGTGGGCTGATTGAGCGCATCTTCCTCGTCACACCTCCTCTGATCTTCTTCGATCTCCTTGATGCCCGTGACGAAGTCCATCTCTGAAGCCTTGACCACCTTTGTCTTCCACAAAAACTTGAACAGGACATAGAGAGCGGGGAACCAGGCGAGGGGCAGGTAGTTGCTGAAGAAGCTGGCCGAGTTCCATCTGCCGGGACGGAAGACTTCCCATCCGGAAAACAGCAGGACAACACCGACGATGAGAAGCGTCCAGTATGCTGCAAAGAGCGACAGAGGAGACTTCCAAGGCAAGGACTCGCGCGGAATGGATTGGGCTCGCATGCCAGCACGGAATCGCAGGTAGGTGATGGCGATCGAGACCCACGTCAAGATGCCCGAGAGGGCTGTGAGGTTGACGAGAAAGTTGAACACCACACCAGAGCCGGCAGAGCTGCCGAGGTAGGCGAGGCAGCCGACGAGCCAGCACACCGCCACAGCGTAGTGCGGCACACCGTTTTTCGTAGTACGCGTGAAGATCTTGGGAGCCTGCTTCTTCTGCGCCAACGCATACAGCGCCCTCGACGTCGTGTACAGGTCAGAGCATCCGGCCGACAACGCTGATGTGATAATTGCGGCGTTGATGATGCTCGGAAGAACACGGATCCGCGCCGTGGTCATGGCAATGACGAATGGAGAGGCGGCTGCGGTGCTCTCTGTGCCCAGCCTGGGGTTGTTGGAGGGGACAATTAGGCCGATCATGAAGACCGAGACGATGTAGAAGAAGACAATGCGGATCCAGACGGTGCGGAGGCAGATGGGGAGCACGCGACGCGGGTTGCGGCACTCTGCGGCGGCGAGCGCGAGCATCTCTGCGCCAATCATGGAAAAAGATGCCTGTGCAAGTACCGAGTAGAAGCCAAGGAAGCGGCCAGTGGAGCCCTCGATGCCTCGGAACTGGACGAACGGACCTGGGTCGCGCCAGTAGCTGAAGCCGATGGATTCACCGTTGGGACCACCTCGTGAGGTGATGTAGATCGAGACAAAGATAAGACCCATGATGGTGATGACCTTGATGCTGGCAAACCAGAACTCGGCCTCGCCGTAGATCCCTGCGCTGAAGGCGTTGAGGGCCAGCACAACGATGGAGCCGATGGCGATCCAGACGGCAGGGTTGATCTGCGACGTTGGCACCCAGTACGAGATGAGCACGGCGGCTGCACTCAGCTCGGCGGCCAAGATGAGCGTCCAGCAGATGAGGTAGTTCCAGCCCATGGCGGCGGAGAGGGCGGGATCGACGAAACGACCGGCAAGACGGATGTGTCCGCCGGATACAGGTAAGAAGGTAGTAAGCTCACAGACCATGAGCATGACAGCGACGACGACCGAAGCGATGAGCGAATAACCGATGAGGAGTCCGAGCGGACCTCCGCTCTTAAGGGCGCTTCCGACACCGAGGAAGATACCAGTGCCGATACAGGCTCCGATGGAAATGAAGATGAGGTGACGCGGCTTGAGCGCCTTCTGGAGTCCGTACTCTTCATGGTCCTCCACTGGCTGTGTAGGGTCGTTCTGAACCTGGGACTCGAGGACGGTGGATTCTCCGTAGAGACCCGAGGCCTTTTCGCTTGGTGACGGCGGCGTTGACATCTTGGTGATGGGATCGCTCATCTTTGCGGCCGAACGGACCTGCAGTTGGCGAGAGGTGAGATACGAAGGGGGAGCGTGTCGAGGAAAGGGGGAACGCGAATGTCTGTGCAGTGCATTATATCTTATGATGGATCATGAGGGAACATGAGGAACGCTGTCCAATCAAGGATGACTACAGTGAACCTCCTTGTGGGGAAGGAGGGGCGAGAGAATCGCAGAAGGCAGTGATTCGTATGTTGGGTGGGTCGACAGCAGCTTTACTTACTTGGCGAAAGATAGGAGTGTTGGAGCACCTGCACGCCCAATCTTCTGCTCTCGGTTGCCGGTGACCAATGATGAAACCTTTTCTCATCATCTCCCCGACGTTTCATCATGGGTCTCACTCACGCACTTTTGCACTCACGCCGTTATCAGTGTGGCGAAGTCGAAGCTCCCACCGATACTCTGAGTCGCGACTATGGACGCAATGGGTGCATTGCTGCTTGCGAGCGTTGCATCACGTTCGATGGCCGGTTTAAGGACGCTTCCTGATTGGTGTGCACACCAGATAGCTCGAATGCCACACAAAGCAATGGAAGCATGATTGTAATGAGAACAATAGATAGGCCATGGCAGCCACGCACGGTGTCCACGATTGCGGGGCGGCGTCGGTCGACGATGCTCACGACCGGCTGGTCCGATTGCGCAGGGAAAAAGATAAACAAAAGCCGAGGAAGCATCAGCACGGTTGACCCACCAATGTGGCAGAGCGAGCAGGTGTAAGTTGCATGCGCTGTGCTTCAGAAAAAGGGACAAGTTCGGTTGCAGGCTTCTGGGAAGATGAAGAGTGGGAGGCTGGAAGAACAATGGCTTCGGATTTCTAATTGATCTGATGCCAAGCCTTTCTCGCTAAGGTGACGATTGCGTCGGAAGAAACATTGCTCGATGTCATGTGGCCGTGCAGCGCAACAGAAGCAGTGTCCCGATGAAGTAGCGACCGATCGAGCTCGGATGAAGAACTTAGACAGCAGCCAGAAAAAGTGGCGCTGTCGGAGACGTGCAGGGATGCAGCTGGCTGAGCAATCTGGCGAATCAGAGACTGCTCGTCGCATTGATGCTCCTTTCTAATAACGCGCTCAACTACTATCTCAGAAGCGGGGGGAGCAGGTCAGATAAAGTCAGCTAAGCGCCTAATGCCGAGTTGGACAGTTTTACCGACGTTGGACCGTGCCAAGAGTTCCCGACGACCCGGTTCATGCCAATTGTTTCTAATGTCGTAAACAGTTGAGCCGTGGCACTGGAGAAGCTGCTGTTCACGCCTGAACGGATCAAACAACGTCGAAGGTGACTCGTATCTTATCTCTGGCGCTTCTGCATCTGATGTCGCTTCTGCATCTGGATGTCGCACGAGTGAGCTGTCACTCCTACGCCTCGATCAGAAGAAACATGTCCTCGGTTGCCAACGATATCGCTTGACCTTTGGAAACAGCATCTATTTAGAGTCCACCGACGAGCGTAACCGTAGCCAAGGATCGGCCTCCAGCAACCATGGCCGGCTCGAACCCGCGACTAACTCAAGCAGCCTATCAAGCGCTACCCGGCACACCTCTCGACGTCGACAAAGCACTGTACGACCGGATCGGATCTTGCTCTCGCACACTCTCGCATTCGTTCATCCTACCCATCCGAAGCGGCAAAGCATGGCCAGTCAAAGCGGGGCAAGTGTGTCGCATCGTAGCCGTCTCTGGCGCTCAAGTTGGCGATCTCAACGTGTGGTCGCTCTCCAATCCGCGAGAGCGATTCTGGGCTTCCCGAACACGACAACTTCAACGAGCCCACGTCTCCATCTACGATCGGCTCTGGAGCTGCCTACCATACCTTCGACCTCTGTGCACCATCACAGGGGATTCGCTTGCCGACTATGGAGCGGGTGGGAATGGTAAAGGTGGTGGAATGGACGCGGAAGGTGGCCGCGTGCACGATCTGTTGGGTACACGATGCGATCCCTACGTCAACCGCATGCTCACCGGTGAAGACTTTGACTATCACTGCCACTCGAATCTGACCAGAGCGGTCAGGGAGTTTGGATTGGAAGAGAGCGACGTTCACGACGTGCTGAACGTGTTCCAGTGCACGGGGCTGAATCAGGAGGACAAGTACTTCATGAAGACGTGTCCTGCCAAGAAGGGCGACTTCTTCGAGTTCTTTGCCGAGACAGATCTGCTGTGTGCGTTGAGCACCTGCCCAGGAGGCGATCTGAGCAAAGCAATGTGGGGAGAGGGATCCGCTTCGGAGGGCAACGATGGTGATGATCCGACGCTGGAATGCTGCAGACCTCTGGGTGTTGAAGTGTACGACTTGGTCGACAAGGAGACAGTACTCAAGGGCTGGAAGGAACCAGAGCCGTACGGCAGACTGTACAAGGGTCAGCACGGAGGTAAGGCCAGACACTGGGGTACGTAGCCGTCGTCTTCAACTTTGAATGAAGATACTATACACCACTGTTTGGGCACCGCTGTCTGGTCTTGGCTTGTGAGTGCACGCCAAACTCGGCGCCTTTTTCTCTGCTACGCGTGCCATGAACGCTCCGAGCTCGCATACTGCACAGCGACAGACAACCTTAAATTATCCTAAGTCCGGCTGAGGCGGTCCGTGTGGAGCAGAGCAGGCTTCGCCTGGAATGGACCCTGGATTTCCGAGAACTCGCACTCGTGGACCCGCACCATCGTTGATCCTCACCACCATCAATTTTATTCCTTCCGTTCGACGTCATGAGTCAGGTAAGCCACCTTCACCACTCACCCAGCAGAGAAGCATAGTTGCTGATAAGCTTTCTTGGCCTTCTGTAAATACACCGTCCGTCCCAATCGAATTTGGAACGCACCGCAGCACGAATACAAGTTTGAGGTCGTCATGACATGTTCCGGCTGCTCCGGCGCCGTTTCACGTGTCCTCGGGAAGCTCGACGGTGAGTGCGGCAATTCTTCTCGGCTCCGCTTTCTCGCAGGAGCCCTCACTCATACTTGTTGACTCTCATCAATATTGCCGTTACAGGTGTGGACTCGTATGACGTCTCACTCGAGAACCAATCCGTCGTAGTCAAGGGCTCAGCACCCTACGAAACCGTGCTCGAGAAGATCAAAAAGACCGGCAAAGAGGTCAAGTCTGGTCAAGTCATCTCATAGATCCACTTCACCAATCAAGCTTTATTGTGAACACGCTCCACGCGGTCCGCGTGTGAACAATCGATTGCAAGTCCATTGAGACAACGCTAGACGAACCGCCTGGCACGAGACCGAAACGGTGTGGCCCCCGGAGTCGCGATCATCGGAGTCTCGCCACCCGCCGCCTTTCTCTTCTCTCTGTCTCTCCTCTCTTTTTCCTTCACAACCTCATCCTCCCTGTCCTTCATCATCTGCTGCTCCAAGCTCGTCAACTTATCCAGATCCCCTTCCCTCCTCTTGCGCGCCAGTCCACTCGTACTCCCCCTCTCTTTGATCGAGTAGAAAGCACCACCCAGCTCGGCCAGCCAGTGCGGATCCACCTGAGTCACCGTGTTCATCATCTCCTTGCTCGTCAACACCACCTGATGATACACCACGTACTCCGGACTGTAACCCAAACCGTACAGCGCCGAAGTAGGGTGCAGGAACATTTTGATCCCCGTCCTACAGTTGACGTACTCTCCAATCCCCGCCGATCTCGCTGCTTGATGGAAGTACCCCGCGGTGATGCACTTTCGAATTCCATCCCAGTCCGTACCGCATGAAGCCAACCGCAGCTTTTGCGACTTCATAATGTCTTCCAGCTGAACTCGAACTTCCCTCGCTTTGCGGAGCGTTTTCGAGTGCAGGAAGTGTTTGCTGCACCAAGAGTCGCGGTATCCGTTGTTGCGCCACTGGTTGTACACGTGCAGCAACGTGAGATGGTCCGACTCTGCAACGTAGAACCTCTCCCTGCTAGCATCGCTCTCCTCCATCCTCTCCTTCGGTCGATAAAACACTGACGGAACCGACAACATGCTGACGATCGTCAACATCTCCACCGAACATCCATACTCTACGCTCGTGATCAACATTTTCGATAGACTCGGTTCCATCGGAAATTCTCCCATCTTTTTTCCGAGACTAGTCAATTCTCCCACATTGTTGAGCGCACCCAACACCCAGAGCTGATACATACTGTTGAGGATCGTATCCTGCGGTGGGGGGTCCATAAAGTGGAAGTCGAGCAGGTTGTTCACTCCCAAACTCTTGAGCATCAACACTGTGTTCGCGAGGTTCGTACGTTGGATCTCCGGAATCGTGTTGGCGAACAACTCGTTCCGAAAGGCAATTTCGGTATACAGTCGATACGCTGTACCGCTACCCGTTCGACCAGCTCTACCGGAACGCTGGTTCGCATTGGCCTGCGAGATGGGCGTGATCTGCAAGGAATCCATTCCCACCTTGGGATTGTACACCTTCAGCTTGTAGTATCCCGCATCGACGACGTACATGATGCCGTCCACGGTGAGCGACGTTTCGGCGATGTTGGTTGCGACGATGCATTTGCGTTCTCCATTTTCCGAGGAGTCGAAGATCTTGGCCTGCAGGTCGGCCGGCATTTGAGAGTAGATGGGCAACACGAGAAGGGGAGGTGCATCGTCGATTTGAGAGAGTCGTTCGGTGATGATCTGACACGTTACTTCGATATCTTCTTGACCGGTCATGAAGACGAGGATATCACCTTTGGGGTGGGAGAGGTGAATGGAGAGCGCTTGCTTGACGGCGCTGTCGACGTAATCTTCGCAAGGGGTCTTACTGAACAGCACATCGACTGGGAAGGTTCTTCCTGGAATCGTGAACGTCTGCGCGCCGCCGTAGAACGAAGCAAATTTGTCCGCGTTCATCGTAGCCGAAGTGACGATCAACTTGAGATCCCGCCTTCGTTGCAGAATCTTTCGGAGAAGACCCATCAGCACGTCAGTGCTCAGCGACCTTTCGTGCGCCTCGTCCAGAATTACCGCACTGTACCGATCCAGATCCGCCTCGTTCAGACTCTCTCGCAACAACACACCGTCGGTCATGTACTTGATCTTGGTGTCGCTGCTCGTGCAATCCTCGAAACGAATCGAGTAGCCCACGGTTCCGCCGAGCTTACACTCCATCTCCTCGCTCACGCGTTTCGCAACGCTCATGGCGGCTACACGACGCGGTTGAGTGCAGCCGACCATGCCGTATTTGGTGTAGCCGTCTTCGTGGAGAAATTGCGCCAGCTGCGTGGTCTTGCCGGACCCCGTCTCGCCGACGACGACGATCACCTGGTTCTCGCGGATAATCTTCATGAGGTCTTCGCGGCAGGCGAAAGCGGGAAGGTATTGACGTTGTTCCTTGAGGGTTTTTGAGCGACTGAACTCGGAGCCGCCGGTGCTGGTCTTGAGGTGTTTGGCGAACTGTGAGTCGCCTTTGCCTTCGGGAGCGGATGGGTTGTCCGAGGTGTCGTTGGGGTCGCCGTTAGCGTGTTGGGCTTCTGCTTTGTTTGATCCGTTCGAGGCCGCGGAAGGATCGTCTTCATCATCATCCGCTTTGACCCCGAGGATGTTGCCGAGTGTGGTACCACCCATGGCAGCAACCTGGCCTGCCGCTTTAGCGCGCTCAGCTTTCTCCCTGGTCTCTCTCACGAGACGACTTCCTTTGCGTGCAAAAACAGCCATATCAGACAATCCATCCTTGACGGGATTGATGGGCTCCAGCTGCTTTGTGAACACGGTCTTGCCATCCAGAAACGGCGGCTTGAGATCATGCACGAGCAAGTGGACGCGATTCTCGCCATCTTCGTCCATGTTGTCGAGGTCGATGGCTGTTCGATGGCCGACGCCGCTTGTTTGCAGTCGATTGCGCTCCCAGGCGTCCGAGTCGGCGTTGTATTGAGCTTGACGCGCTGTGACCTTTTCCTTCTTGGCAGCGAGAGGAGCAGAGACTTGACCGGCCAAATCTTCGTACTGAGAGAAGGGATTGTGTTCCTCGTCTGCGGCGACACCACCTTCCTCCATGTCGTACCAGTCGCGATCGAGCTGACGGTCGTCCTCGTCCCACGCTCGATCCTCTGAACGGAGATCGCGACCGAAAGCGGAGGGCGTCGGAGAAACACCTCGTGGCAATGGTGTTTCGTCCCAGCGACGGGAGCCAGCTGAACGAGTCGATGCGATCGAAGGATCGGATGATTGTGCTCTGGAGCTGTGTTCTGAGCGCTGCGGTGTCCAGCGATCCGTTCCGTTCGATCTGTGAGTGGAGCCTCGTGGCGTCGAGTCCCAAGTGCGTCTCTCCAACCTTTGGGGATCGTCTCTGCCATACTGCGAGCGCCGTTGATCGTCGTTGCGACTGCGATCGAAACTCGGTCGTTGAGCTTGTTCGCTATGCCGCTCCGATGGCCGCCATGAGTCCCCAGCTGTACGTCCTGTTGACTGTGAGCTCGAGCTGGTCTTGACATGGCTATCGCTGCCGCTACCATTGTTGGATGAAGCGGTCTGTTTCCCTTTGCTGGATGCCTCAGTCCTTGCATCGGCCGCCATCGCACGCTTTCGCCGGTGCTCTTCGAGTCTTCGAGCCGCTGTGTCGCTCAAGCCTCCGGTATGACTTGGAGTCTCGCTGCCGCGTGATCGCATCTGAGCCCGGACGGCAGAGGCTGCTCTAGACGGTGCCTTAAAGATGGGGTCTGTGTTGGTTGGCTTGGAGTCGGACGAGTCGAGGTCATCATGCAAATGGCTCAGTTGTGCACCAGAAACACGTTGGCGCTTTATGGCAGTCGCTGAGCTGTTGTTGGCCTCTGAGCGCTTGTTCACAGCCGGTTTGGCCTTGAAGACGTGTTTTTCTCCGCCTAGAGTCGAAAGACCAGCCCTCTCGCGCTGTGGTTCGGCCGTCGTCGTTGGGTTCGATTGGCAAGTTGCGATCCCATTGCTGCTGTCGCTACTGCCCGTTGCTTGATCTGGATGCGACGCAATGAAGCTGCGCAGTTCGACGAGGAAACTGTCTTGGAATCTGCCAAAAGCTCGAGCAGCGTTGACGAAAGCCTTGTCCGATGGCAGGGAACGCGAGAGCGAGATGACACGTTGTGCGAGCAGTTCGCTGGCGTTGGGCAGACTGGAAGCGAGCCTTTGCGCTACTTCTTGCTCGAGGGTCCACCGCATCGGTATAGGGTCGCACTGCAGTGTGTTGATTGTGCTGTGTCTGCCTGTTGTAGTTGGTCAAGAAGCAAAGACGAGCAAAGCCTTCAGGGTCCAACTTTGCCGAAGTTTCGGCTTTCGGTGTGGAGGGAAGAAGCGCAGGTCTAACATTAGCCGGCGGTGACCACAATCCCGCTGACGTACTTCCGCCAACACCAGCGCTTGTACCATCCAAGCACAACGTGTCCACCACAAATCCGCGGGGCTGCCGTGGAAGCAATGTGCAGTATGCATGATAGCCCCGGTGTGCAGCGCGTATCGCCTTCACAGTACAATTGCGCCCGTCTTTGCGAGGTTCAGCACAGTGGCCCTGATCGCTAGTGTTTAGAAGAACCTGTCTGAGGGCGGTGCTGTGACAGCTGTCCGAATGGCGCGGTGACCGTCCCGGAGATTGGTTACCGCTTCCATACTCTTGCGATCTTCGTCGTCGGAGCTTTGAACATGCCCCTTCCCTTCCACCATCATCCACCACATGATCACTTGCAGCCTCAGACAGAATTTGCGCGTTTGTTCCGCTAAGTAGTGGCCGCGTCATCAGCATTCTGGGCGTCACCACCAACACTACCTTCGTATAAAGCCAACTTCCGTTACGGAAGCGCCCGCTTCGTCTGTCCTCCCTGGTTGCGCTCTCCAAGACCACCCTTCATCATCATCATCATCATCATCACCATCATCATCATCATCATCGTCGTCGTCGTCGTCGTCATCATCACCACGCCATACATAGCTCGACAAGATGAAGTTCGAGCTCGCACCGTCCTCTGCAGCGTCTTTGCTGCTTTCTGTCCTATCACCACCCATCTCCCTAATCCGATCCTACCCCATCTCCTCCTTTCTGGCCTCACTCGTCCTCATCCCCCTTCTAGTCGTCGTTACAGCCGCCCTCGGCTTCCTTAGCATCGCAACATGGCGCTACATCTCACTTCACATCCTCGCCACCGACATGTACTCCCACTTTCCTCGCCCTGCTCGCACCGATCGTTACCCGCTCCTCACCGGTAATCTCGGCCACATCCGCAAAGCGCCACCCGTCGAAGGTCACCTTGCTTTTCAACGCGAGCTCAACACTAAGGTATACGTCTACCGTGGCCTGTTCTACTCGCCTCGGTTGATGATCGGCGATGCCAAAGCCATGCTGCATCTGCTCAGTGCAGCCAACTCGTACAACTACGAGAAACCATCTTCCACCAGACTCGTCCTCAAGAACTTTCTCGGTGAAGGTGTATTGGTTGCCGAGGGCGATGTTCACAAACGCCAGAGAAAGATTCTGCAGCCTGCATTCAACGTTGGGGCGATCCGGGAGCTGAACCCGATCTTCATGCGGTACTCTAGGGATCTGGTGGAAAAGATCGGTCAGATGGTAGACCGTTCTTCTTCCGAGAAAGAGGCCGTCAACGGTATAACAAAGCCGTTTGTCGCACAGTCGAAGTATTCACAAAACGTCAGCAGACCGGGAGCACCGGTCATCGACATCGGTTGGTGGTGCACGAGAGCAGCTCTCGACATCATCGGTGACGCAGGCTTCGGCTATCACTTTGAAGCTCTCAAAGTCGACGTCGACCCTTCCCTCGTCGTCAAACGTGCAGGCGACGAGCTCGGAGATGCCTTCAACACGCTGTTCAAACTGACACTCAAGATCGACATCTTCCGATTCCTGCAGCTCTACCTGTCCAACTTCCGTCTGCTGAAATGGGTCGATTCCATCCCTAACAAACGCAAACGCGCTACGGAATCAGCATACGGGGAGCTCGAAAAGGTTTCGATGCGGATTGTAGAGCGCAAGAAGAAAGAGATTCGAAACGAGATGCAGGCGGAGGTGGAAGCTCGTGGATCCAGCAAGACCGCCAATGGCTTCACCAAAGCTGATTTCGACGAAAAGGAATCGTCTTCGATGACCGGGTCTACACCAGGCAAGGATCTTTTGCATCTGATGATGCGAGCTAACATGGCAGCGGATGTGTCGCCACGTGAAAAGCTCGACGATGCCGAACTCATTGGTCAGATCACGACTCTGCTCATCGCAGGACACGAAACCACATCCAACCAAACAGCATGGACCCTATGGTTGCTGGCACAACAACCTGAGACCCAACAGAAACTTCGAGCTGAGATCCACGACCACTTTGGAAAAGGCATGGAGCGTGATCCCAACTACGACGAGCTCATGTCCATGCCCTACCTCGATGCGGTCTGCAAGGAATCCTTCCGAGTCAAATCCGCCGTACCCAGCACCATCCGAGTCGCCAAGACCTCGGCCACCATCCCTCTCTCCAAACCCTACCCCACACGCGACGGAAAATCCACCTTCAACTCGGTCCACATCCCCGCCGGTCGAGAGATCATCATCCCCATCTCCGCCATCAACCTCGACCAGGAAATTTGGGGCTCCAACGCTGCCGATTTCGTCCCCGAACGATGGCTCGACCTACCCGCATCGGCAAAACACAACGGTCTACCCATGCACCTCATGACCTTCATCTCCGGCCCCCGAGGCTGCATCGGAAACAGATTCGCCCTCGCCGAGTTCAAGGCTATGCTCTGTCATCTCGTGGGCAACTTCCACTTTGAAACAGTCGCGGATTGGAAGGTCGAAGCCAAACAAACCGCAGTCATAAGGAGCAGAGTCATCGGACAGGAAGATGTAGGCCCTCAGATGCCACTTCGCGTCTCTAGAATCACGACCTGAGCTCGCCGATCCATTTGTACATTTGCTCATACACCTTCGTTCACACGGAAACCTTTCGACACGCAGACCAAACAGATGAATCATGATGGAAAAACATGGTTGTGGGTATTCTGAGGGTTGTCAGGCGGAGAAACAGTCAACTACAAATAGGGAAACGGAGGGTGCACATGTATTTCACTCCGTAGTGTGGGCAAATGGACCATGCTTGAGAGAATCGTCGCTAAGAAGAGCGGACGTTCGCTCTTAGTTACCGACCGTAGCACCAACCTTGGCCTCCGCCTTCTGCGTCGTCTCGGAAGGAGGGTTGATGATCGCCTTCTGAAGAGCAGGGAGCGACTGCTCACGGACAAACTTGATAACGTTCAGGAATCGGGTGCTAGCAGGCACCTCGGGGTTGCGGGCCTCCTTGGCGAGACGCTCGTACGTCTCGGTGAAGGTCTCGATGACCGGTCCGACGCGCTTGCGGCTCTCGGCGGGCAAGCTCTGTGCGAACGATCGCACACGCTCAAGCTCGGCAAAGATGGCATTCGAAAGACCCTGAGCCTTCTCGGTTGCTTGGTCGCCCTCCTGCTTGCTTCGCGACGAGATGGTCTCGAGCGTCTTGGCGAGGTTCGCCTGGAGATCCTTGACGATGTCAGTCGCGCGCTGGAGGTAGGCGTTCTGGCTCTTGATCTCGTCGAACTTGGTCGAGGCGGTGTCGTAGACGGGAACGACGTGCGACTCGTACGCCGACTTGGCGGGGGTGTAGACGCGCTCTCCGTACGCCTTCTGGATGGCGGCGGCGTACGTCTGGACGAAGTCACGGGCGTGATCCGCAGGGAGCTTGGCTACGTCGATGAGCTCCTTGGTGTTGGCGTGGAAGGGGTAGCTCCACTTGCTCTCGGCAAAGTTGAGCGACTTGAATGCGAGCGAATCGACGTAGGCAAGCTGTGGGTGGAGACGGTTGGTGATGGGCTCGGCAGCTTTGAGTGAAGAGTTGAAGATGTTCTCGCCGTAGCCGTAGGTAGTGGCCAGGAGCGAGTGCGACTGGATGGTCGAATGCGCAAAGGAGAGCGAGTCGGACACCAGAGGTACCGAAGCGATCTTCTTGAGCGCCTCACTGTGGTCGTAGGCGACCTTGGATGGCGACGACGATACGCCGTTGGTGACGGGCGCGGACTGGGTAGCGGCAGACATCGTGATGCGACGTTGGGGTGTGTCGAACGTGCTGATGAGGGATCGTGATGATGGGTCGGAGGGAAGGCGCGAGCGTGAGAAAGGAGCCTTTGAAGTAGATGGGTGGGCGGTGCTGCTCTGGAGGCTGATAAGCGATCAGTAAAGGCTGACCGACCGTTATATTCTCAGCAAGGAGTATCCGAGAGACTGAGCCACAGCGAAAAGATCAAGGGTAGGAAAAAGACTGCCGTGTGCTGCCAGTTATGATAAGGCGTGGAGAGTGGCGCAAACTGAAGGGTGCGACGCACGGAGCCTGCAGCAGGGTTCAGCGTGCAGGTTTCCGTGGCTGCGTTACCCACAGCGCGGTGCAGCGTGTGAAAAAGGCGAATTCCAAAAATACTGCAGGAAACGGAGGCTCGAAAGCCCTCCGCTCCGGTCCACGACGACGAAAGCTCAGCCAGCTTTCAGGAGTCAGCTTTACCTCGGACTTCTCAACCATGAATCAGGATGAATCAGGGTCCGTCAGGAGCTAGGTACTGGCTCTCACTCTCTACCTATTCTCTGCCTCGAGTTCGGAAGAAGCTCAAACTTGTCGTGGTCGAGCAATCACGCGCACGCTTCCTCGAATTCAAAAGTGGGGAAGATGAGCGAAAGGTCGGTTGGAAGCAAAGGCAAACTAAGGCGCAGAGGCGAAGGGATTGCAAAGGAATCAAAGGGGCAGCGACACGAGACGAGCTCTGCAATGGCGAAATTTTTTGGTAGAATTCCCTGCTTTTCAGCGTCATCTTGAGCTCATTCGTCCGGGCTGTTGCGCAAGGAAAGAAGATGCCGCGTCTCGTAGGTGCGCAAGAGTGGGAATGGTCGGTGGCAGGCAGAGTCGCCGAGGGAGCGCGCTTAGGTTCAAGGCAAGGGGGGGGG